CCTGGTCAGTAAACAATAAGGAGGCCCTGGAGTGTGCCCTGCTACAGCACTGGGACCTTGGCTCCTGTCCCAAGTGCTGGTGCTGGTTCTCCTTGGGAATAGCAGCATACACTGGTCACTGCTGTAGCATTGGGTTCTAAGAATGTATGTGTGTGTGTGTGTGTGTGTGTGTGTATATATATATATATATATATATATATATATATATATAAATTTTCAAATACAAAACAGAATTATACACTCCATGTTGGTTTCTATTTCCCTCACTGAGCAGCAACTGCAGTCACAAGACATTGTTTTGCATTCCACAGTCAGAGTTACTGTTGGATTCCCACGGGAATGGGAGACTGGATGTGACGTACACTGGTTTCCTGTTTTTCACTGTTCTCTCGGTGTTCTTTGTTTCCGAGAGGAGTTGCTTCTCTGCTCTCACAGAGGCAAGATGCATGTTTGTATTCTCTCAGCATAGAGTGGAAATAAAGTTAAGAATGTGGCACATACTGCTTAGCCTTCTGCTGTATGGACTACTCTGCTTGGGCTCAAGATAAGACGAGCCTGTATCAGCTTCAGATGGGCCGAAGTTGGTCAAAATCTCACACTCTATACATCTTGGTTACATCTTATCTCTCTTTTTTCGATTTCCCTCAACTTGTCTGCAAATCCTTCATATTTTAACTTTTTACACATTTCTATTTTGTTATTAATATTATTACTGTGAACTTCATCCCATTTTAATGCTTATTATAACATTTTCCCATCACAGCGCTTCATTAAAACTTACAAACGTAATCTGATTATCACTTAATTTTTGCAAATATTCAATAAATTTTTCCCAATCTTCTGTGAATCTTTGATCTTGTCGGTTTCGGATCCTTCCTGTCATTCTGTCCAATTCTGCGTAGTCTATCATTTTTGTTCTCCATTCTTCTAAAGTAGGTAGCTCCTCCTGTTTCCATTTCTGGGCCATCAATATTCTTGCTGCTGTCACTGCATATAAAAATAACTTCTTTTCTTTTTTATTTATCTCATTACCTGTAATGCCTAATAAAAATGCTTCTGTTTTCTTAACAAATGTATATTTCAACATTTTCTTCATTCATTATAAACCATTTCCCAAAAGCTTTTTACTTTCTTACATTCCCACCACATATGATAAAATGTACCTGCTTTTTCTTTACATTTCCAACATTTATTACTTGTCTTATACATTTTCGCTAATTTTACCGGTGTTACATACCATCGATACATCATTTTCATCACATTTTCTTTTATAGTTGTATATGCAGTAAATCTTAAACCTTCTTTCCATAATTTTCCCCAATCCTCCATTTGTATATTATGTCCTAAATCTTTGGCCCAATCAATCATAACTGATTTTACCTCTTCATCCTTTGTACACCATTCTAACAATATCTTATACATTTTTGCTAGTATTTTAACATCATTGTTCAATATTTCTGTCGGTTCTGAGAATGTTTAAATGGATCATCTCCTTAGGAAGTTTCATTTATATTGGGCCGAGGCTACATTGCCTGGCAGCAGCTCTCCAAGAACTGAGAGCGGAGTCTCTCCTAACCCACCTGGAGATACCAGGGATTGAACCTGGGACCTTCTGCTTGGAACGCAAATTCTATGTCGCAGAGCTGCAGTATGGCCCTTTCCAACGATGCTGAATGGACTAAATTAGGTTACAAGTAGCCATTATACAGATCTCCATTGTCAAATAAAACCTCAGCCCAAGAAGTCCATGCTTGTATTCAGGGTCTTGCACTTCAAATGGTCCCCAGATCCTAAGCATGTGACTTGATTTCAAATGGATCAGTATTACATTGTTTGTGGTATGGGCTACTTCATCTGTCAGTGTGCCTCTCCCAGCTCCTTATTTTCTGGATTAGTTGGTTTGAACAAATGTATTTTCTAGAGTTTGAGGTTTATTCTCTTATCCTGAACAGTTGCATCAATGCCAAGTCCCATTGTTGTGCTCAGTAGAACTGCTTCCAAATAATAGGTTTACAAGATCATGGCCTACGTTTGCGTAGAGAAAATCCGGTTGAGTAAAATAATAAGCAACAGAATATCTTGCGCCTAACAGGATTAGTGGGCAGGGGTGGAGGAGAGGGGAAGGAAGTACTGGCCTCACCACAGAATATTTCAATAACAACATGAACAAGTAAAAATGCCTAATGACATTTTAAAAAGATAGTATGTTTCCATTTACTTTTATTTTGATAATCTTTCAACGTATTAAGCAATTATGACTTAGTCTTATACTGTGAGATCAAAAGGGTCTGTGTTTAATATTTTACAGGGGCAAGTGTCCATGTGGTCTGAGATTAGGTATTTGGAACATCAAAGTTGCTTTCCTCCAGCGTTGCCCTTGGGCAGCTCCTATGATCACATGGAAGCTATTGCTAGGACTTAGTTTCTTTTCTATGTGCATGAAATACCTCCCCACTAGAATGGGCTCTCAGGAGAAAGAAGGAAGGAGGGCTAAGGGATATGAAGACTCACTGAGGATCCTACATGGACCTTGGCTATCGGCAAAAAAAAAGACGAATTTACTTCTAAAAATTGTTTTCAAAAATTGTATTTTGAAACTCACTAAATATTAACAGCATTTGGTATCTAATAATATAATTTCTGGCTTTCTGTACAGTAAATCAGGAGTGATTGGGGGGGGCAGGATGCTGTTTCACACCGATCCTACCAACTTATTTTAAAGAGTGGGTCATCTTAGGGTCTCAGTATTTAACCCCCTTATTTGTGTTTGATCCCCTCTAGCATTTGTTAGGTTAACATAAAACAGTAGAAACATTTAGAAAATTTACTTTCAGATTAGTTTTGTTATTTTATTTTAATCAAAAGATTATAATTAAACAGACAACGGCAGGCTCCAGAAAGCCTCAGAATTTTGTTGCTGTGCGTTTATTTTGGATTACGTCTTGGATTGGGTACTTTACCCTGAAATATTATTATTGTTACGGTACTTATTAAATTTGTTAGACACTTTATATTGCCCAAGGCAACCCAAAGCAACTTACAACCAAGATGGCTCTCAATGAGTCACATAATAGCCTTTGGTGAAGAAGAAGAAGAAGAAGAAGAAGAAGAAGAAGAAGAAGAAGAAGAAGAAGACCAGAAACTATAGCAGGGATTATGGGAAGTGTAGGACTCCTTTACAGGAAGCTGGCTTCAGGCACCAGGCCTGCCGGCAGACCAATTCTGCATTATAAAGATGTATGCAAATGTGACATGAAGGCTGGCAACATTCATCGTTTGCAGACAACAGCAGTGCCTGGAGATAGAAAGACAGACAGTGTGTGAAATATACTCAGAGTCGCAAAGTGATTTCATGCTCTTTATTCAGCTCATAGTGGTGAGGAGGAATGAATGAATGTCCCCTCACAGTATCTGCTTTATATACATTATTTACACAATGGGCTGCACATGATTGGCTAATTCTGGAATTCTACTGTAAGCCAATCAGGTTGTGGATTCACTTCTATCTGGAGCAGGATTGGGTGGTTCCTGCCAACCAATCATACTGCTGCATTGTTCTAGGACCAATCCGACTGCTGCATTCTGAATCCTATTGTTCTAGGACCAATCAGACTGCTGCCTTTTGGATCCTATTGTTCTAGGACCAATCAGACTGCTACAGTTTGGATCCTATTCAACTCAGTACATAACAGTGTGTGTGTATTCATAGCAGTGGCCAGAGGAAAAATGGCCACTGGGAGGAGCACAGAGAGAAAAAATGCCATGGTGCATCTGTAGCAGTGAAAGCAGATGTCTTCATCTGCCCCAGCTGTAAGAAACATCTATCTCCCATATTGGTCTTTACATCCACAGCAAGTGCTGCAACTCTCCAACAGTTTGACTTTACTCCCAATGGTGCATTCGTCCATTGTCTCTCAAGACAGACTGATGCCAGTGGAGTCCAATTACATCTGAAAGGCCACCATGTCCTCACTCCTGCCTTATGTGTTTTGGTTACTATTCAATCTTATCATGGAGACCTGTTCACATGGAGACATCCACAGTAATACAGCTCCCTTCTTGTACGTGGTACACAGACATTTGGCTTAAATTAAATATCCATTATAAATTGGATGCTGCCAACGTGTGCAATTCTAAAAGTAAGGTTCTCGTGTACGGTTTCTGATTTCACTTAGTAAACTAATGTGCGTGAGAAGTGTGAAGGACTCTCAGACAAAACAATGCAGGACTTTCTTTGCTGTTCATTTTTCCAAAATACCCGTAGGCGCTTGACCACATTATCAGAGCTAAAGCAATACAGCTAAACATCTGCTATTACTATTGTGTATTTTGCCTCTGAGCATGTGTGTGTGGTCTGATAAGTTGTAGACATGCAACATTATCGTTTTTCTCTGGAGGCAAAGATTCTGTTACAAAGCTTCTGCCTACAGAGATCTGCTTAAAAGCCAAATTATTAACATATGGAAAAGCAAGAATGACACATAAGCCAATGCATAGAAAGAGCATCACTGCAATTCATACTCTGTTCTTACTGGAGACTGGATGTCCAGTGACCAAGTCAAGTCCTTAGAGACTACCATATAAACCTCTGAAATCACCACCATCTTGTACTTTATTACAGTCCATGCATTCAGTTGGCTTCATGATCATGCCCTCTACCATGTGCAACATCTGCTGATGGGACATTGAACAATGTAATTTTTCTGTGACGGCTGGTGAGCTTTGAACTTCTCTTCCTTTAGCAAACTGACAACCCAAACCTGACTATTTTCTAGATGTTGAGGATCTAAACCAGATGCCACAGGAGCTCGAGTCCAACAACATCTGAAGAGTCATAGGTTTGCTACCCCTGATCTAAACATGAACTGTCACTGGACCTGTAAAAGGGTTAAAAGAGTATTGGGAATAAACCATAATGAATTGAAAAAAAAGTTATAAAAACACAAAAATCCAGAGTCCTTTTTGTTGGGGATAATTCAGATGTAAATTCCTAGGTGTCAAAAAAGGTTATTTATGTATGCCACTACTGCGGCCCATGTTTTGTTAGCCCCAAAATGGAAAATGAGTGAGGTCCCAACTAAAGACGAATGGCAACTTAAGCTAATTGAATATGTGCAGCTTGCAGACTTAACAATAAGAGAACAAGAAGAACATACATTTAGAGAAGATTGGAAAATGTTTATTGAATATATAGGGGGAAATTGGGTACACTTGAAAATGTTGGCAGCATTAAGATAAATTCAATAGTGTAAATAGGTTTTGATGGATGTAATAATAGAATACTGAATGGTTTAGTTTATGTAAAATATGCAGGGATTTATGATATGCAAAATGAACCATGGAAAGAGAAGAAGGGAAGTCATTGATATTTTAAGGATGTTTAAATGAGTATTCTAAATTGTAAAACAAAAAATTTAATAAAAACTATTAAAAAATAAACATAAACTGCCTGTTCTCTAATGCCCTTCTCTGGGTAGACCTGTCTTCATAATTTATGTGCCCATGTGCTGAACATGTGAAGTGGTCTGTAATGTGTAAGGGTGTGCTTGTGTGTACACACATTAATTTGGCGTAATGCAGAAAACTAACATGGATTCCACACATTGTTAACTGGCCCCTCTGCCTCGTCTTGCTTATCCAGTTCCCAGATGAAACGCCAGCTAGTGCAATGGACAGGCTAAAGTTCTACATGAGGGACAGTTCTATATTAGGGACCAGTTAGATCTCACAGTTTTCAAGGCAGAAGGGTGGGAAGGGAAGAGCTTTCTTGCATTCAGTGCAGTATAGGAGAAACAAAGATCTCAGACCTCATTAGTATTGAGATGAATTTACAAGAGAAGAACTCAGAAATATACCAATCAGTCTACTCCAAAGCTCATTGAGGACTGGAATCAGTAGCACAGGGATATGTTTTAGGCATGGCTGAATATCTACACCCTGCGTAAACTTTACACTCCTCATTGTAACTTGGTGCACCCTATAGACATGTAGTATGTGACAGTCTTTGCATAATGGAGGCAGCCTTCTATTAACCAAAGAAGAGGATATGTCTGTTTCTTTATTTTGAAACAACAATGTGAGTCAAACAACAAAGAACAGGCAACAGTTATGCATTGTCTCCCTGAGTTAGTATCATTGATTGGCTATTTCTTTTTATCATTTGTGATATGAGTATCATTCAACATCCTCTAGAATGGCTATTTACATATCATCTACCGAACTTACATGTCATCTACCACTTCATTTCTCACTGTTATTTAATACGCATTTGACACTCAGAAGTCTTCTTGGCAGAGGATCCACAGATGACACAGAGGACACGGTGGAAGGAGGACGGAGATAAGCATGTGAGCAAAGTCGGGTGGTTGAAATCGCAAGAACGACCTGTTGATGTTGCCTTCAGTGGTTGTACAGCAAGCATTGACTCTGAAGTTCTGGTACACGTTGGACCCCTTCAGTATCTTCTTGATTGCCTACCATAATAACATCAGGGAGGGGGGGAAAACAAAGTGTTATGCATTTGTGGGAGGTAGGCTGTATACCTGAGCCCCCTTCCAATTCCTGGATCTGGCATGGATTCAATTCCTGGAATAGCCAGGCTAGCTTCCTCATGATGTACTGGCCTCCTAAGTATGGACCATTAAGGTACACATGGGTGCCTCCCACCTCCCACAACTGTCTGTTAGTTAGAAAGAAAAACAGTTAGAGATTGAACTATGTGAGCTTTAAGCTGGAAGCAAGGGCTGGGAAGCCAGAGAGACAGAGCCATGCCTGATCTCTGCTTCAGTCCAAGGTTGTGGCGATGGGAGTAGCAAGACCCTCTTGAGGTGCTAATGCTATGAGTCCTTCCATTGTAGGTTCAGGTTGTACATATGTGTAAATATACAATATCTCCTAAAGAAACAACAGTCTTCGGTTTTGAGGAAACAGAACCCTGAGTAAGCACCTGGAACCCCTAGAGTCTCACAACATTTGGAGACTAGGGTGGCATGCAACAATATTGAGAAAACAATGATGTCCTGAACATATTCTGTGCCCCATTTCATACATTCAATCAGAGGAGGTGCCGAGACAGTACAGAGGAGGGGCACCATAAGCCCTCCCTACCATTGGACAAACAGTGACATTGTGAATTGGGCCCTTCATATGAGCAGTCAACTGCATGTAAACCTGAGTCCTGAAGTTCTTTCTTCTCCTTTTTGAGGGAGAGAACTGTGCAGATTTCAAGAATGTTACCTCTGGCTTATACTTTGGCTCCCTGGAAATCTTTTCCTTCTTCCTCTTCAATTGCACATTCTTCTTCATCATTATCATCATCATCATATTTTACCTTTGTTTGAACCAGCACATTTTCTGTCTTGCTAATCCATTCCTTAAAAAATGTGGACATCATCATTTGTTTAAGCAGAAATTCTTCTTACTAGATAAAATCAACTGATGTGAAACCACTTTACAGTTCATTAACACAAGCCAGAGGGCTGACTACAATAGTCTGTAGTCTTCATTACAGTTTCTTATAATATTATACTTGTGCATTAAAATTCTACACCAGATGTCATTTTTTCTTCCTTTCAAGATGCAGTTTTCTATTCCAGTATTTGGGTACCAATGTCTTACCATTTTCCTATAACTTTTCTAACAACATTTAATTTTCCTAGTAAGACTATGGGGTCTATACTTAATTTATGTCCTGAAATCTTCTCAGTTTTTATCACCTCAGTCCAAAACATATTTTTTTTGCAACCTCTCTAAATATGTCTCAAGTTTCTGTGACTTTACACATTTGTAATGTTTACTTCTTTTTTGCAACTTATAAAGAGTAAGTACAAAATCTTGTAAAAAATAAATAAATCTTTAACTGCAACATCCGTAAAGTATATTGGACTTCCTTGAAAAATATTGATCCAGTGTTTTTTTGGTAATTGGTAGTTGCTTTATTAGGCTTAATAAAGATGTGAGTCCTTTGTTGCAGCAAGATAAAAGCATGGTTCTAGATTTGCTTTCCTCTCAATAGTCACATATTCTCTGGGGTATTAAAAATCACTTAATTTGCAGCTGGGAACACAAGAATGCATGCATATTTCAGAGGGATTAAACTAAGTTTGAGAAAAAGAAAATCAGAATACAAGGGAAAGAAACCTGGAAAAAATATGATGCTCTACCTGAAAGTTCCCATTATAATCGCTGAACAAATCAGAATATAGATGTTTGGGGTCTGGTACAGCAGGCATTAACATCTTCCTAATTCTGTAAAAAAAAGAAGAAATAATTTAAATGATTACAATAAAAAACCATAAAAGAAAAAGAAAAGCTGTGTTCGAAAAGTAGACATTAAATATATGATCGTCAGCATTTAAATAAAAGCAGAAACAGACATTTTATGCCCCAGATAATTTGAAGGGTCCTTAAAAACAAAGAAGGGATAATAGTTTATTCTAAAAATTAATGGCACATATTATGGGATGGGGAATGGCACCTTTCAGCTGATGAAAGACAAATATACCAGGCTTAGAGCTTGAAGTCAGAGCCTAGTTCATTTAAAGGGATTTCATAGAACCAGGCATGCAACTTCCCTTACACTTAAAAAGTCAGGTTGGGGACAAACTTGGCCCAAAAGTTCAGGATTTCACTCACCCTTGTCATGACCAGGACAAACATCTTTGAAAGTGAACAGGATTTTGGACCCCACATATATGAATCCACCACAATCTGATTATATGGCTCCATCACAAAATCATCATACTCAGTAATATTTTCTTACTAGTAAAGTGTCCATTTATTATGATAAACAGAGTCTGTTGAGTTTCTCCAGAGCACAGAGAGAGCACTGATTCCTTGCCAAGGAAGAATGGACAGCTAAAAGTTACATCCACTGCAAATGCAGTTCTAAAAAGAGGGGTTTTAGATACACGCACCCGTAAAGGTAAAGGGACCCCTGACCATTAGGTTCAATCCTGACCGACTGGGGTTGCGGCGCTCATCTCGCTTTATTGGCCGAGGGAGCCGGCGTACAGGTTCCGGGTCATGTGGCTAGCATGACTAAGCCACTTCTGGTGAACCAGAGCAGCACACGGAAATGCCATTTACCTTCCCACCAGAGCAGTACCTATTTATCTACTTGCACTTTGATGTGCTTTCGAACTGCAAGGTTGGCAGGAGCTGGGACCGAGCAACAAGAGCTCACCCCGTCGCGGGGATTCGAACCGCCAACCTTCTGATCGGCAAGCCCTAGGCTCTGTGGTTTAACCCACAGCGCCACCCGCGTCCCTATACACGCACCCATACAGCATGTTAAAAAGATGTGCAAGGGTGGTTACAATTAGGACTATAGTCAGCCACCTTAAACTGAGTCAGGCCTTTGAGCCAACTAGTTCAGCATTATTCATACTGACTGTCAGTCGCTCTCCAGGGTTCTGGATGGGAAGTCTCTCATACCTACCTGGAGATGCCAGGGATTGCTTGCCTCTCCCCCAACAGGAAACAGTGGCTCATGTTCTCCTGTCCTGTCCCCTTTATCTGAGGAATGAAATCATTACCCCACTCTTACTTACCATCTGAGGCCGCCCATCTGAGGCCGCATTGTTCTTTCTTTTATCAGATCAAAATGATCAGACAACAGCAAAGGTTGCTAGGTTTATCGAGGGTGCAGTGAGATTAAGGGCCACTATCTGAACTATAATCTTGGTCATTTGATTGCCCTCTTTTTTATTTGTATATATTGCTTGTTTTATATTGCTATGGCTGTTGGCTAGTGCGAATAAAGTTTATCTATCTATCTCTCCCCCAACACATGCAGCTGCAATGCCCCGACTGGCTGGCATGTGAAAGGACTCTAAGCACCACATCAGTATTCGCACAAAGCCCCTTCACACATTGGCCAAAGTGTGGAGGCATGCCTTCTCCAACTATTGGTGGTGGGGCGAGCCAAGATGGTTTCACGATGCTCCTCATGCATTCTTTAATGAGCCCAATCCTTAATTTTATCCAGGATGAGTGAAGGGAAGCCACTCCATATTCTGATTGGCTAGAAGACTTTACATAAACTTCCTGTACCACCTTGTGACTATTATGTTACTTGTTGGCCAGAGGGCTTCCTTTGAATCTTCTCTAGCGTTCCACCCTTTGTCGATGCCCCTTTCTTTGCCTTCAGGCTCAGCTCCTGCCTATCCAATCTGTTCATTCTTACCTACACGCAAAAAACTTCACACAGCTTCTCTGGGATATTTGTGTAAATCCTGAAGACATAGTTGGCCCCAGTCTGACTCAGATCCCATGCATTCGTTCTCTACCATTCTCAAAATTATAAACCTGGAAGACCCACATCATATACTATATATAGCAAATTCCAAACATTCCATCCCATAATCTGTAATATGGGAGTAAAATTCCCGGGGGGGGGGGGAATCATCCTCATCTCCACCAGCCAAGATCCAATGGATAGGTGCAGTTCATCCTTTCTCAAAATGCACACTGTACCCATTAGATCCCTGAAATGTGTAGGCCTTCCCGCCACAAATATTGTTCTGTCATTTTGATCATTTTGATCAAGGGTGCACAAAGCAGCATTTACCTTTCCCATCTGCAAACGCACAACAGAAGGGCAAATATTACCAGGACGCCAGCCATCACCAAAGTCAAAGGGATTACTGTAATTGATTTGGGTTCAGAGACATCTATATCACAGGAATCTTTGAGGAATCACAAAAAGAAAAAAGTTCAAAGTGTTTTCCAGTATATTTGATAAAAGAAACATCAGATTCTTTAAAGCATATTTTGGCCAACTCTTTCTTTCGAAAAGCAATTATTAAAAAATGGAATAATATATACTATTAATCTTTAGGCCACCATTCTTTTAAGCTTCTACATTTCACAATAATGTGGAATTTTGTGTTGTCCACTGAAGTACCCTTCTGCTAGGATGAAATAATACAAGAATACCGGTATGAGATTTTTCTGCTTTGTGAATAAAAATTAGCTCTTTATATTGTCATTTAGCTCTTTATATTGTCATTTATATAACTAACCTTCTTCGTTCCAACAGAAAGTGTGACTATACTGGAATAGGAAATATGGTGTCATGTACATGTGCTGATGCCTGCTAATGAATGCTTTTAAAGGAATATATTATAACAAAATGTTGTCTGAAGAGAATATCAACTGAAATTCATTTAAAGTCCTGTGTCCAATTCTCTGCTGTTTCCCAGTTGTGAAATGGACCACTGGGGTGTCACTGTGTTGACTAATCACCCTCAGTGCTGCAGCATTTGGAAATATGGCTTGGGACCGTTATGGGAGAACTCTGCTCAGTTTGGATCTTGACTTTTATAGTCACTTACTGGGGTTGAGGGAGATTGTAGTTCCACAATATGTGATGAATCAAAGTTTTCCCTCAACTGCCCTAAAGCATGCCCCACTTCTGACGCCCTTCCCCAAAACGCACCCTGAAATGGTAAGGTAGCAATACAATGGCATGATTTCGCTGGAGTTGTCTGTGCAAAACCTCCCAGCCCCTAGAATACTGCAATGGCAACTTTCCAGTGGAGAACTACATTTCCCAGACTCCTCAGTGCCTGGAAAGAATCATTGAAGGGATTTTGTCATTGCCCTGTAATCACTGCTAATTTGGGAGTGGGGCGATATGACAGCAGGGCAGGGGAGGGTTAGTTGTTGGTTCTTAAACAATTTAAAATCAAATAAAATAGTGGATTTGTTGTGTTATGGTGACAGAATGCGGAGTATAAATATAATAATAATAATAATAATAATAATAATAATAATAATAAACTTTAATTGTGCAAACCTAAAACTTATATGCTTGAATCCGTACTGCAGAAGAGTGGCAGTCTGGGGGCACCCTGTATATAAGACAGCACTAAATAAATGACAAGAAGTAGGTCTGCATGTTAGCATTACAGTGGTGCCCCGCAAGACGAATGCCTCGCAAGACGAAAAACTCGCTAGACGAAAGAGTTTTCCGTTTTTTGAGTCGTTCCGCAAGACGAATTTCCCTATGGGCTTGCTTTGCAAGACGAAACGTCTTGCGAGTTATTGCGAGTTTGTTTCCTTTTTCTTAAAGCCGCTAAGCTGCTAAGCCGTTAATAGCCGCTAAGCCGCTAATAGCCGCTAAGCCGCTAATAGCCGTGCTTCACAAGATGAAAAAACCGCAAGACGAAGAGACTCGCAGAACGGATTAATTTCGTCTTGCGAGGCACCACTGTATCTAGAAATAGAAGTTTCAGAAAGAAGATTTACAGTAGCAGTGCATTTTATTTTATTTTTACCTACGGAGCTGCCATTTTTCCAATGTGTTTCTGCTCCCCATTCACTGGAATAAGCAAACACACTGCAACTGTGATTCAGCCTGAATCGAAAGGAATAGCATTTCGCTGGATCAAATCCTTGGTCTTTAATCTCACAACATTCTTGGTCCCTAGACTGAACAGCAAGAGTATCAGTCAATAATAATTTTGGTCATTGTATATTTTCTAGGCTATTCTAACAGGCTTTTGGAATATTTTGGTTTTCAATAAAGACTGTCTTTCAGGGCCTAATATCAGTACTAGGAAAAGAGTTGTTTCTTCAGACTTTGGAACTCACTTGTAGCTTAATTGTTTGCACCACAATTCTAAACACTATATATTGAATCATAGACTACTGAGAGTTTTCTTTAAAATCCAATATAGTAGATCACTTGGAAGTTCCACATTTCTGTTTTTGAAGAACAAAGCATTAGGTTTTAATCTTACCTCCCTTTGTATCATATTTTGTTCTTTATTTTTCTCTTCATTTCTTATCTCAGGGTTATATCCTATGCTTGCCTTGCACAGAGTAGACCCATTGAAATCAATAGACATGACGAACTTAGTTTGATACAACCCTTAGTTCATTACTCTGGCAATGCTTTGAAAGAAAGAAGCTTGTACACCATGAGGAAGTAATCAACATATGAATTAGAACAATGAAGTAGCAACTCAGAGATTTCCCCAGCTTTCTTGCATATAAAGTCCCCAAGGAATTATCAGATCTTTAGTTGCCTAAACACAGCTACTAAAACGCAGTTTGTGAAATTAAGTTCCACTCAGATAATTGGGACTGTGTGTCAAAATACACAGATGAGGGGGATGTGAGCAACAGTCCACTGGCAATCAATTTAGAGTGCACTGTGATGTCATTACATAACCGCCAACATTTCTCCAATGAGAATTTTTGTTATTTATACCCCACCCGTCTGACTGGGTTGCCCCAGGCACTCTGGGTGGCTTCCAACAGATATAAAAACATATTAAAACATTAAACATTAAAAAACTTCCCTATACAATGGTGCCTCGGGTTAAGTACTTAATTCATTCCAGAGGTCTGTTCTTAACCTGAAACTGTTCTTAACCTGAAGCACCACTTTAGCTAATGGGGCCTCCTGCTGCCGCCACGCCGCTGGAGCACAGTTTCTGTTCTTATCCTGAAGCAAAGTTCTTAAGGTACTATTTCTGGGTTAGCGGAGTCTGTAACCTGAAGCGTATGTAACCCGAGGTACCACTGTACAGGGCTGCCTTCAGATGTCTTCTAAAGGTTGTATCTTATTGGATCAGGAGTCACATAACTCCATACCCTCCAACATTTCTCCAGTGAAAATAGGGATGTCCAGGATCTAATCAGAAACCGTGACGGCTTCTGTAAATCTGGGCCTGTCCCTGGAAAATAGGGACACTTGGAGAGTCTGTCCATGCTCAGATAATTGTTTTCCCTGCATCCTGTGTCTTGCATAAGTTCCAAGCTGCAAATGCAGGAGATTTGTTCTGCACAATAATCAGAACACTTTCCACAGGTGGGCCTCAGCGGTCCATTTACAATTCTGGACATCTCAGCTTTGCCAGGCTTCAAGGCCTTCTTTCTTGCTGCTGGCAACCCAAGATGATGAATTTCAAATTCATTGATTCAAGACTATGTTGATGTGGTGGAAAACTCCTAACAAAAAACACCCACATTTATTTCTGCACTGCAAAGGAAAAAGTCCCTTTCCAGATTTCCATTCTGCAACGCAAAGCTGCACTTATCTACCCACCTGCCAATCTTTGTCAAGTTGGCTTTTGTACTGAAGTTCAAAGCGAAAACAATGTTCCTTGTCAACTCCCTTGCACTGCACAGTTACTTTGTCATCTGCCCATTGGAAAGTAACGTGTTCGGGTGGGTTGGGCTTCACTGGTGAAGATAAAATTAATACACTCAATTACACAGTCTAGCTACAAAATGTTTTAATTGAACACATTGGACTTGTTAGCATCTCATGACTGAAGCCTGCTCAAATAACAACAAAATATGAAATCACATAAGCTATCAGTCAACTAATAACTGCTATGGCATGTTGTTGCCGTAAGGTTGAATATGTGGCAAGAACACTTTTATATGCAGTCAGATAGCAAAAACTACTGCATACTGAGAATCAAATGCTGTTGTGTGTGATAGTTATAAACTGATTCCTGGGTTCTTTGAAAGCATGAAAGGCAGTCCCTCATTGAAAAGATGAGTGAGAGAACACAAGGTTCTTAGAAAGACACTTTGTCCCTGTCATAGTTTTTTTTCCCAATATGGTAGTCATATTTGTCACAGTGAAACTCCAAAGCATTCTGTGTTAACTGAGTGTGTGCCTTAGAACATTAATCAGAATCCTCTACAACACTGAATTCCTAGGCAGAGATTGATGTGGAAAGGTAGAAACAGCAGAACAGCTCTCCGTACTGTAAAATACAAAGTACTACTGCATATAAATGGCATCAAAAATGGTAAAAAAATGAAATTAGGCAGCATTGGGGAAAGAAGAAGAAGAAGAAGAAGAAGAAGAAGAAGAAGAAGAAGAAGAAGAAGAAGAAGTAAAGGACCCCTGCATGGTTAAGTCCAGTCAAAGGTGACTATGGGGTTGCGGCGCTCATCTCACTTTCAGGCCAAGGGAGCCGGCGTTTGTCCACAGACAGCTTTCTGGATTATGTGGCCAGCATGACTAAACCACGTCTGGCACAACGGAACACCGCGATGGAAGCCAGAGCACACAGAAATTCCGATTACCTTCCCGCCACAGCAGTACCTATTTATTTACTTTCACTGGTGTGCTTTCAAACTGCTAGGGTGGCAGGAGCTGAGACAGAGCATCGGGAGCTCACCCCGTCGCGGGGATTTGAACAGCCGACCTTCTGATCGGCAAGCCCAAGAGGCTGTGGTTTAGACCACACCGCCACCCACGTCCCATTAATAATAATAATAATAATAATAATAATAATAATAATTACACAGATATTTACTAAGCAGAATTTGAAGAAGTCAAATTGCTGTTGCTTCCCCTTTTCTTTCTTTTGTAATCCTAGCCAGACACTGACACCTGAAAAGGTTACTGCCAGAGTGAGAATAGTTGTTAACTTACACAAATTGCTGCTCTCTTGTTCATCAAAGTAACCTTCCTCTGTCTGATTTGGATTCCTAATGTAAATGTGCAGATATTTCCCTTCAGTAGGAAACAGACACCCACTGTTGTATCCTTGGTCATGCAAATATTCAATGCACTGCTTCTCTTCTTGTTCATCAAACCTGCAATTGAAATAATCATACTCAATAAGATGGCAAAAATCTTTTCCATTGATAATCAGGATATTTGGAAATGCTTTAAAGGGGATAATCCTTGCCTAGCCCTCTGCACTCTAGAGGGGATTCCTGTTCTATCAGGTCCTGTTCATTAAATGTAAGATACTTTTATTTTATTTTATTTTATTTTATTTTATTTTAATAATAGAATGTAGTAGTGTTTAGTTGGCCTCACTTGAAACACTTTTTCCAAAAAGCAAGGCAATTGACAGGATTTGACAACTACAAGTCATGTATTGTTCCTTTGAGGTAGGGACAACATGATTTCCAACTATACTGGTTTTGACCATCTATTTAATTTCCACCACTTCAATACTAACAGCTTCACTCTACAACAGTTCACAGTTTAAAATAAATAAAGTTATTGTTTTGGATATTTACAATTCTGAGAGTTCAGCCAGCACAGTGATGCTTGTCTTCTATAGTAACAGGGCTCATCTGCCGCTAAGTTATCAAAAGACAGTGCTGACATCTAGAGCAAGAAGAGTGAATATCAAGGTTACTGCAAGAAGTCTTGCCTGTTCCAAGATAGCCTTACTCTGCTGGTTCTGCAGCTTCAGCGGGCAGCTTGCCAGAGAGCATGAAAAGCCCGAGACTTCCAGGTCAGCGCCATTGGTGAATGGCGGAGTTCCTCCGACCGGAGGAACGGGCTCCGTGAAAACTGGGTCTTCCCGCCGCGGCGAAGGTGGGGACCCGCTAGAAATCCCAGGCGGAGGAAGCCTGGGAACGTGGGGTTCGGCAGGGCACCAGAAGCGCCCCTACTCGCGGGGAATCCCATCTAGGGGCTCCGGAGCGAAGTGGGGTGAGAAGCGCGGTGCTACGAACTGACTGCTACTTTCACGGAGTGAAGCCGCACAGCCATTGCCAGAGAGCGCTGACTTTTTCCTGTGGACAATTGGACTTAAACCAAGTACCCGTGAGTAGAAATGGAAAATTGGATCAAGAAATTGCTTTAATTTGGTACCGAAGCGGGAAGGTGTAAACAGGAAGTCCGCCTTCCGCTTTTTTGTATATAGACTAAAGCAAAAATTTTGCAAGCTAAAGCCGGGAAGCTGTTAAAAAAGGACTAAATTTCCTTCATTTAGAACCACTGAAACCCCCCTTGGAAGCAGGAGAAAAGGGGGGGGGGACTCTGTTTAACCCTAGCAGGAGAGGGAGTGAAGAAGGATAAGTTTCCACCGTCTCTAACCTGGGAACGGGGTGTCAGAGACAGAAACTGTTGCTGAGGTTCATTGACTGTGAACGTAATACTTTGACAGATAGCTAATGAAGAGAAACAAGTTGATTCTAATGTTGCCTTTTGCATCCTAAAGAAACAAAATATCTGAAAAATGTCTGAAATATCTGAAAAATGAAAGTAACTTTCCTTTGTCTTTAAAAAAAAATGGATACAAGTAGATTGTCTCCTCTAGAGGGAGCTTGCTAAATTGTTGTTGCAGCATATTTGAGACCCAACATCTGTGAGATTAAGACTGTGGGAACAGTCTTTTCCGACCTTGAACAAAGATGAGCTGGGAGAAAGACTGGCTGCTTGCTCTATGCAAGACAAATGCTCTGCTGGAACAGATGCATGAAAAGATGGATTTGATGAATGAGAAAATGGATTTGACTGTTGTGGCTAATAACATTGATACAGAAATCATCCAAGAACCAACCTATCAATCTGTACCGACTGGGCAAGTGCAGTTGACAATGGAGGAGGATGTGGCTGCACCCCAAATAGTACAAATGGAGAGACCCGAGGCCCTACAGGAGCATAAGCCGCTGTTATTGAAGATTGAAGCTGGAGTGGGCCAAGGGAGTCTGGAGATGAGGAGATTCCTAGCTTTGGAGAGATCTTGAAATTTGATTTTAAATTCATTTTGGATTATATCGAGGACTGTGGGGAGTGGGACTGTAGGGAATGGGTGAGCTGGATGAAGGGTGATGGAGACAATTTTGGGTTGGAATCCCCAGAGACCTACTCCTCAATGAGAAAGGAAAGAAACTAAGACAGAGACCAACAAGAGACAAGGAAAAGGGCAAGCACAAACAAGATGAAGAAGAATTGCAGAAGGGACATGGAAGAGATTTAAGGGCCTCGGACATAAGGCTTCCAGGTTGATGGACTAGACGGAATGGACAATAAGGACTGACATGACCCGAGACCAGGAAGAAGAGACGCTGGATGATGATTGGAAGAGAATTTATAATGGAAACTTTTTATTTTAGAATCAGCTAATGAATATTAGGGAAAATGTGGGAATGAAACTATACGACTCTAGCAGAAATGATATTAGGAGTTATGTATATTTGAAATTTAAGATTTAAATCTTAAGGCACTTAGGGGTAAGATAAGGTTAAATAAATTAAGGTAATCTGAATAATAGAATATGGGGAAAGATGGTAAGGATTTGTTGAGTTAATTATTAGGTTAAATTGTTAAGATAAATTTTATAACAAAAATTGAGAAAGATGGAAAGAATTTGCTGAAATAATTACTAAACTAGAATACAAAAACGGAGGTGTGAGGAGGTCAATGAAACAAGCAAATGGAAATTATGGATATGCAATTTGGGATTTGCGGTTTTTTCTTTTTTTTCTTCTTTTTTATTTATTTTATTGCTGTATTGTCATATTGGTTTTCACATTTTGTGCTTTTCTCTTTTTTTTAATGTCTTCTTTTTCTTTTTTCTTTTTTTGTATTGTAGTGTTGTTTTTTATTTTTTATTTTTCTTGTAATTTTGAAATTATCAATAAATATTATTATTTTTTTAAAAAAAGAAAAACCCCACCAGCCAGGAGAGAGGGGTGTTGTGTGTGACATGTTCCAGCAACTCGCCCATTTATTCTTGTACTTTTTGCACTGTCTGGAGGCTCTATATTCCACTCAGTGGCTTTAGATACCACCGACTATCCTTCTGGAGTGACTGTCCAAATTAGTGGTGGGTGGCACCATTTTGTGGTGGTTCCAGTCCTACTTGAATGGTCATTCCCAGAAGTTGTTGCTTGGGGGATGCTTTTCAGCCCCATGGAACCTTCAATGTGGGGTTCCTCAGGGCTCAATCTTATCCCCTAAATTGTTTAACATCTACTGTACTCGAAACTGCTGGGTGAGGTTATCTGAAGGTTTGGAGTATGTTGTCAGCAGTATACTGATGACATTCAGCTCTATTTCTCCTTTACATCCGCAGGTGAGGCAGTGGAAGTGCTGGACCAGTGTCTTGCCTCAGTAATGGACTGAGAGCCAACAAACTGAAACTCAGTCCAGATAAGATTGAGGCACTGTTAGTGGGTTGTTCCCTAGACTGGATGGGTGGGAGGTCGCCTGCTGTTGATGGGGTTACACTTCCTCTCAAGGAGCAGGTTCATAGCTTGGGGGCACTCCTGGATCCTTTGTTGTTGCTCGAGGCTCAGGTGGCCTCAGTGGTCCAGAGTGCCTTCCATCTGCTTTGGCTGGTGGCCCAGTTATGCTCCTGTCTGGACAGGGATAGCCTAACTACTGTTGTCTATGCTCTGGTAACCTCAAGGTTAGATTGCTGCAATGCGTAATACATAGGGCTGCCTCTGGAGACAGTTCGGAAACTTCAGCTGGTGCAGAATTCAGTGGCCCGGTTACTCACCGGAGCAAGATGGTTTGAGCATATTACACTGAGCCTCACATGCTACAAGAAAGTCCAGTGAAACCAACAGTCACATTTAGAATTGGCCATAGGTTGTAGGTTTTTAAAAGTGTTGAGGATACAGCTTTCTCCCAACAACCAAACAGAAAAGCTATTTGTGGCCTCCAGACAATATGGAATGGACAGTGAATATGTGCAATAAGAAGGAAGCCAGATCAATATTCTCACCAGCTTGAGTTCAGAATATAAATATAAGATCTTGTCTATATCATGCTTTAGTTCCTTTGGATAAAAGGGTGTGAAAGGAAAGGGGAAAGGGGGGGTGCATTTATAGACCAATTTGTTTGAAAATTCCCAGCATTCAAACCTAGAAATCCAAAGAAAGTCTGTTTGCCAGTACTTACTTATAAGACATCGTCATGTTCCTGCCTGGAAAATTTTTTTTTGCATGCCATGAAATCTCCATCCTCTTACCATTGACATTCTGTATTTCGTATTCTGGGCAACCATCTAGCAAAGATGAAAGGTTGTAATTGTTTAAAATAATCTGCAAAATAAACGGCTATCAGTCTCATCCAAGTTAGATCTTCAAAATAAACAGCTATCAGTCTCATCCAAGTTAGATCTACATGTTTCTGCTGCACCTCTCAGTACTAAAAAGGAGAAACTTTGGGCTTGGATTTATCGTATAACGCTAGAAAATAACCAAGCAAGCTTAAGTGCATATACTGGACAACTTGCATACATCAGACCATCCAGAAAAGGGTCATGTACTTCACTAGGTATAGTAATTACCATTTGCCAAAAGCTCTTTGCTTTATTTCATTCCCACCACAGCAGAAAAGGTCTCCTTTTTTGGCACTGCACTTTCCATGCTCCTCTTTCTCTAGCCTTGAGGGACTTCCAAGGTATTTAGTGCCATTGATGTAACATTTTCACACAATATTATTCGACAGCTCAAGGTTGATATTGCTTAATACAATAAGAAGGTCCAAGCATTTTCTGCTGAGAGATTATTCCTCCCTGTCCCTGCTAGAATGAATGCTTAGGTCCAAGTGCGAGTTGTCCTAAAATGGCAACACCAAAGAGAAGCCTATTCTGCTGAAGCATGGAGATTAAGAGGAGGGTTTCTAGGTTGTGTGTGAATATATTTGAGAGCTCTGTTTTTGTATCGTTACCTGCTAAGACGTCTTCAGAACCATTAAATTGATTGATGGGGTATAGACCTTGAAAACAAAGTGAATAAGACTGAATGGGAAAGGAAGAATGGCAAAAAATCCCACACTGCAGATGAAAAGCATGGGTTGGGGAGGAATCCATGTAATTTTGTACAGTATTAACTAGCAGATCATTATTTCCCATCATAATCGTGATTTTTAAATGGTAGGTTGTTGTTCTTCTCTAGAATTCATTTAAAATAAAAAAGAATAACCAGACCATGGATATAACATTAAATTACATTTATTGAACTACTTCCAGAAAACAAAAGACACACATTCCTATGGCTTTTAGTTATAAGTAATGCTGCTTAGAATTTTTAATGCAAAAAAAAAATATTAAGAAATCCCACCCCCAAACCAAGTAGAGTGGTACCTCAGGTTACATATGCTTCAGGTTACATACGCTTCAGGTTACAGACTCTGCTAACCCAGAAATAGTGCTTCAGGTTAAGAACTTTGCTTCAGGATGAGAACAGAAATTGTGCTCCAGCGGTGCGGTGGCAGCAGGAGGCCCTATTAGCTAAAGTGGTGCTTGCTTCAGGTTAAGAACAGTTTCAGGTTAAGAACAGACCTCCGGAACGAATTAAGTACTTAACCCGAGGTACCACTGTAATAAGAAAACACTTAATTTATTCAACATTTTTAAAGAAAAATCTTTGTTGCATGTTACAGATCTCTGTAGTTGTAATGAGATCTTCACCTTATGTAACTATTGCATAACTATTGTGTTCTGTCCTGAAAGTTGCAACATATACTATACTGTTTGAGCTTACTTTATACCGAACATTATGAATTTTGCCTCTGACATTTAGTGGTACAAAGACTTGGTTCAAATAAACCTTTACAATTGATTTAGCTCTAAATTTCATTCAAGTCTTTGTAATTTTTGTACATTATAAAGTGAATGGTTGCTAATACTGAGTTGTTAATACTGGTATTTGTGCTAAAATTTCATTTTGTCAGATTTTAACTTACATGGTGCCCATGACTGAGAAACCCGCAGGAGGATGCAGAGCAGAACAGCAGCAGAGGACTTAACGCTCAACCCCATACCTGGAAATATAGTGCTTGATCAAATTATTACCAATATAAACCACAGCAGTACTTTTCTAGGACTGATCTTTACTACTGAATAGCTTTGTATCAAAAATGAAAATCTAGAGGAAATGACTATAGGAAATATTTGCAAATAGTGAGATAATTATAATCTGTTCTCACAGATCTTAAAAGTTGCATAGATTAGGCTTCTTTTTTTACTAAGTGGCTATGGGTGTCAAATATAAGTCCTCTGAAGAACCTGAACTGGAAATATATCTTGAACAACTCAGCCATGGAGTTTCTTAGGTATCCCAGTGCCCCTGTCACAGCTTAGTAGGGGAAGGCATTTGGTAGGATCCATAACTTAAGAGGGATTCTCAGAAGGGATATTAGCTGTGCCATAGCAAGTCCCTAGCTCCAGTCAGGGGAACAGCGACTGGATTCCACACATCTAAGTTGCTGTGGGACCCACCGGATCAGTCTGTGTTGTGGAGGGAACCTCCTGTTGGCAATTCCTATGGGTTACCCAGCAGGCAAGCTGGGAAGGAGATTAGGCCAGCAGTCAGGCTGCCCAGGCATAGAGGAGACAGATCCTTATGTCACGCCATGCCCCAATGTTCCCGTTACCAATAAAGTTGTGGCCTTGTTATACCCTACATTAACGCTGCCTGTCATTACTCCCCACTGTGGCGTTTGCCCTCCTAGGTGTGTGACATGATACTGGGTTCATAAGGAAAGGGTTAACTATTTTTTATAATAATTTTTATTAATTTTAACATATGAATTATGATACATACCACAAAACTTAACCACTTGAACAATCTTTTTATGGACTCCCATCAGCACCTCTGATGATCCCCCGTTTTGACCACTTCTTATGCATTTCTTAAATTCATATTGCCTTTAATTATTTTAACTAATCATCCTCCCCTTTATCTATTTTTGCAATAATTCCAACAATTCACCTCACAAAACTTCTTGCAAACCTACAAACATAGTTTGATCATCACTATTACTTTTCAAATAGTCTGTAAATTTACACCAGTCTTCTGTGAATTTCTGGTCCCGCAGATTTCGAATCCTTCCTGTTAGTTTGTCTAATTCTGCATAGTCCATTAATTTCATGCTCCATTCTTCTTTCGTCGGTAATTCTTCTTGCTTCCATTTTTGTGCTAATAATATTCTTGCTGCCGTCGTTGCACATAAAAACAGCTTACATTCTTTTCTATTTATATCACTTCCTACCATGCCCAGTAAAAATGCTTCTGGTTTCTTTATGAATGTATATTTCAACATTTTTTTCATCTCATTATATATCATTTCCCAGAAGCTTTTCACTTTTTTACATTCCCACCACATGTGATAAAATGTTCCTTCTTTTTCTTTACATTTCCAACATTTGTTGCTAACTTTATACATTTTAGCTAATTTAACAGGTGTAATATACCATCTATACATCATTTTCATCACATTTTCTTTTAAGGCATTGCATGCAGTGAACTTTAAACCTTCTTTCCATAGTTTTTCCCAATCATTCAGCTGTATATTATACCCAAAATCTTTAGCCCAATGAATCATAACTGACTTTACCTCCTTAGGACAGGGTTAACTAATTGTAAAATGACTAAGCAATGGGAACCCAAGGGGCAGAGTTAACTGTGTATAAGGTTTTAGCACAGAGGTTTTTTTGGAGTGAGAGAGTTAGAGTTAGGGTGGTTGAGAAGACAGTCTGGAGTTACAAGAGACAGAGAAGATAAGTCTGTGGGCTGGGCTAGTCTGGTGTGAGAGAGTGAGAAAATTTGTTAAGAGGAGTCAGTCAAACAGTTGAGATAATCAGTCAGAAGGTATTAGGAAGGTATAGGCTGATAAAGAAACTAAAGTTAAGATACTGACAGGAATATTATCTAACAAACCATAAACTTGTTAATGTTTGTAAAATAAATTTGGTTTTTTGGTTCACTTTTAACAACTGTCTGGACTCAGTGTTTTACCAGAGAGTAACGGGTTGGTGGCAGCGGAGAAGCGAGCACAGTGGTGGCACAGGGATCAATAGACCGTTAAACGTCCGGGGACCCTGTGTGATCTCCACACCCACCCACATGCCTCCCTGTGCCTAGTGGTCAACTGCAAGCATGGTTTGCTGTACACACAGACGAACAAACTCAACAACATAAGTGAATGCTGTTTTAATAGAATGTATAGGATGAAAACCTCATTGATTAGCCTAAGAAAGCAGAAACGGGGTGGAAGAAATTCTAAAGTATGCTTACCAGATGTCCCCGTTTCCTGGTGACAGTCCCTGGATTTACAAATCTATCCCCAGACAAAATCCATCCCTGGAATGTCCCCGGATTTCATTTAATGTCCCCGGATTTATATTCTAAGTGTTGTAGATTTATTGGCAGGGAATGAATGTTGTGTGATTGGTTCAACGGCACAAGACACATCATATGGGGACTTCCGGTGAGGCAAAATGGCGGGTGCCATGGCAGCGAGCAGCTCCTGAAGCCAGCCAGAGCCAACTGTGCTTTCAGACTGGCTCTGAGCTGCTGAGACTGCTGCTGCCACTGCCACTGCCAAGGGGAACCAGGGACGCCCAGCGCGTCAACTGGGGGAACCGCTGACACACACACCCGTGATCCAAATCGAGCTGGGAACAAGAGCACCCAGTCAGATTGCCCAGTGGCACTCCGGGGCCAGGGAAACTCCAGAGCCGAAGCAGGGATAAGGAGGAGAGTAGAAGGAGCCCTGACCTTGCCGCACCACTGCCACCGCCCCCACTGAGGAGGAGAGGTAGGAGAGCACCAGGAGGGCAAGGACACATGGCTGAGCCCAGGCCCGACCCGAGCCTACTCCATGGCAACTAGCGCTCCAAGAGAGCAGGCCAGGGCCCAGAGGAAGGCCGGGTGACAGACGAGACCACAGAAGAGAAGATATTACTTCTTAATTATTATTATTTTAAATAGCTTTTTTAAAATAACTTTTTTTCTCTTTTCAAAAAAAAAAAAGTGTCCCCAGAATCTTTGAAAAAAATCTGGTAGCCTCATTCTAAAGACTATATAGATGCAACTTGCTCCAAGCAGCTAAGGACAAGAGGCAGCAGGGTGGCTCATTCTAGATGGTTCTATCCGAAGTAAGAAATTTGAGAAGACAAAGGAAACATCAGTGATCTCCGATAAGTTCACATGCGTACAGTAATCAGACAGAAAATCTCCAAAGGACCAAAATTGTGCTTAGTAGTAAGTTTGAAAGCTTAAACAGCAGACAGGCTGTTTTATCAACGGGGGCGGGGAGCGGGGAGCCTTTTCAACTAAAAAGCACATTTCTGATATCTGAGAAAAACCACACCAGCTATTATTTATTTATTTGTGTGTGTGTGTTTGAAAGGTATATACAGTGGTACCTGGGGTTACATACGCTTCAGGTTACAGACTCCACTAAACCAGAAATAGTGCTTCAGGTTAAGAACTTTGCTTCAGGATAAGAACAGAAATCAGGCTCTAGCGGCGCGGCAGCAGCAGGAGGCCCCACTAACTAAAGTGGTGCTTCAGGTTAAGAACAGTTTCAGGTTAAGTACGGACCTCCGGAATGAATTAAGACTTAACCCGAGGTACCACTGTACTGTACCTTCACCTAAAAATTGGTTTCAGGGCAGAATGCATAGGAAATAAAATGTAAAACATAACCAACAGCAATGCAACAAAACTAAGAGGAATAAAACTATTCAACCAGCTTAAATACACCATAATTCTCAATGCCTGGGTAAATAAAAAGGTTTTAACCCAGCAGTGGGAAGAATATAGTGCCAGCACCAGGCATACCACTCTTGGAGAGCATTCCACAATTGGGGCACCAACGCAGAGAATATTGTCTCCTTTGTATATGTGTGCTTTCCCTAATGATGGGACATGGGGAAGGACCTCCCGCGACTCTCTCAAAGCATAGGCAAGTTGATAAAGGAAGAGGAACATCTTCAAATATTTGTGTTCAAAGCCATTTATGTATCTATTGCAACATACATTTTCCTAGGAATCACCCCACTAAACACAGTATGCTTTACTTCCTAAAATACACCAAAAGTTCATTTTTTAAAAAAATGTTCCAATTCAAGTTCACTCACTCCAAAAAGGAATTAGTTCAAGTTGAAGTTCACCCCCTGCAGAAGGGAACCAGTTCTGCTCCAGTTCAATTGACAGCTCGATCCTCAATTCATCCCTGCCATCCTTGGCATTTTTATTTCAGGCCTTCCTAATTTTATAAGCTTCTCTGATAAAGTGTAAAATATACTTGAAAAGACCAATTAAGAAAACATCAAAGCACACACAGTGTACTGTGAACAGCAAAGATGCACTACAAAATGAACTTCATTCTCATTCAGTTCTCATGGAAACTTCAGAAACTGCATCAAGTGGCTTAAGAAAATCATAGAATCCCAACTACCACCCCTTTAGCTTTGCTTTTGCCTTTTCAAATTATATCTATATAGCTATCTATCCACACACACACACACCCACCCACACACACACACACACACCCCTCACATTATTTTCTTGGAGGAAAGAATCCTCAAATTCGGGTATCCTTTTAAGAAAGAATAGAATCATAGAACAAGCCAGTTCAAATGATACAAAGATCTATCAGACCCAAAGTCATTTAAGATCAATCCAAACATTGAAAGTGTTTTAATAGAGCGTTCCATATTTACCGAAGTATTGATGCAGTTTTACTTAGAAATGAAAGAAGGAAGTAGTAAAATACCACAAGAAGGCGTTTGGTTCTCTCTCTCTCTCTCTCTCTCTCTCTCTCACACACACACACACATTTTAAAAACAGATTTGTGTAAGAGCAGCTTTCCAGATACAGTACTGTCTGTTCTTATTTTATCAGTTAATGATGCCCCTCACCACAGAGAAAAGTACACACACAAAGGAAAATACCACAATTATTTAGCTAAAACAAGTGGTGCTGTTTCTGATGTGTTTCCATGAACTTTAACTTTTAGCAAGAAATTTCTCTTTCATAGTCCCACTCAAACTCTGTGAAATGTTTCCCAACCCAAGTGCTAACAATAGTTCAGTCACCAACCTCTTTGAGCCAGTGGGCACAGTTGAAATTTTGAGAAAGTGCTGTGGGCATCAGTAATAAAATGAATGCAACTGAGAAAGTAGAAAAAAGACAAAGGACCACAAAATGGTGCAGGCATGTTGCCACCTCATCTTCAGGTGCACCTCACCTTTGTTCAGACTGAGCCCTAGGTGTTCAATCACTTCATCAGAAAAATGTAGGCATGTTTAAGGTGGCCAGTTCAATGGAGAGGAGGCCCCCTTCCTTGGAGGTTCTTAAGCAGAGGTTGGATAGCTGTCTTGTAGGGTTTAGTTGAGATTCTTGCATTGCAGGGGGGTGGACTAGATGCACCTACCAACTTTATGGTTCTGTGATTCTATTATAAGGAAAGCATTAGGTGAAGTATTAACTCAGTTGGGTTATTTATTGTGCGTGTTATTCTTCATGAACCTTAAAATCACCATCAGCAAAACATTTGGGCAAGGACCTCTCTAGGGTTCAGTGGGCCTGTTTAGGGTGAATTATTCTTCATGCACCATCAAAAACAAAAGGAAGTCACCAGACGCAAAAGAAAGTGCTCCATTATACTTCCTTGTTCAATGAATTGGAAGCGAAAAAGGAAATTCATGAAAGACTGATGCAACACTCCTCATGAGAACAACATATATACCCTTGCTTTCTCAGTAAAGCACACTTTGCAAGTGCACTACCAAAGCTTCTCTCAACTACACATCTCTCTGAGCCCGTATGAGGAGGAGGTAAGAATAACACCCCACTCAGCAGAAAAGGGGCTACATTCACAACCTTTACGACAAGCTTGATGGAGAAGGGGTGGGCAGCAGCAACAGTAGTTCCCCTAACCCCACCACCCAATCCCTATCTGCTAACCTTCCATATGCTAAGTGCCCAATCCCTCCATCAGCATGGCAGCAGTCACCAGTCCTGTCCCACCCCAGGTCTTTGCCACTTTCAATTCCTCATCATCAAAGTTCAACCCCCCCTTCAAACTTCCATTGTTTTGGCCCTCCAGAATATTCCCACAGACCCAAAAAGGTGCTTCAATCTGTTCTGTCAGTCTCAACATCCCTGCCATCCTTCTGGCCTCAAACATCCACCCACCCACCAATCCTCTAACTGCCAAAACTGTTCAGTTGCAAGTTCTACACTCCCTGTACCTTTAGATTGCAGCAGTTTCTTGTTGGGGAAATGATTTCAGGTTCGTTTGGTCCTTGCTTGTGGGGAAAAAGGTTACTGCCATGTTCTATGAGTATTTCTTTCCAAAGCTTCATTGCTCACATGGGCAGTCCCCATCAATGTATTTATTTATATTCAAATATTTATAAATGACATTTTCATATAAAATATAGCAAGCACAGCAGAATACTAGGGGAAAAAAACACATGATAAGAAAACTGCCTGGTAAATAATCTATCATCTGTCTATCTGTCTATCTGTCTATCTGTCTATCTGTCTGTCTATCTGTCTATCTACCTATCTTATTAGCCAGCTCTAACAAGAAAGAACATTTTTTAAAAAGCTGAACTTCTGTATTGCATGTCCCATTGAGGGAACATTGTAGAACATAAAAAGAAACCTTCTTTATAAAAGCTACTGAACACAAAACACAGTAGCCATCAGAGTTGTTTTGTCCACAGAAAGTCTACACAAAGTCTTTCATTTATACAACAAAACTTGTCCCCTTCACACCTTTTCTAACACACCCTACAAATCTGTTTTGGGGGCTTTGCTAACCCTCCAACCCAGATTTGGGGAGGGCACAGGAAAAGGGGGGGCAGTTGTGTTACACAAATGAAAGTCCTTGCGGCATGATAACAGAATGGCTTTGCAGAATACCACTCAAAGGAAAAATGTACCAAAGGAATGAAATAAAAGAAATCCCCCTCTTTCACTTTAGGACTCATTCCTCCCCACTTATAAAGAAAAGAAAAATAGCATGGTGGCCACTCTAGGATTTGCTGACACAGTTCGGCTCATTGTTCTGTTGTACTCTATTTTCTACAGAACTTTTGCACAAGAGGAGGGTAAGTATATATTTTCAAGTTGATTAGCAGGTTATATTGCAGATATTAATATTGCAGAGATCGAAGTGGCTGGGTGCATAAGAACTAACTACTTTTGGAAATAAACATTGTCCAATCCCGTAAAAATATTATTCAAAGCTTACTTGCAGAAATTTTTCGAAAATAGAACAAAATACATCAAATGATACATCCAAAACATTCGTGCAATGTCTTGTGCTGTCTAGCACAGGCTCAGCAACTTAGAAATGAAAGATAGTTCCAAAAATCCAAACTGGGTCTCTGTTCCACATTCCAGCCCCCAGTGACCTTAGCCTATGGATGAGTTGGTGAGCCATCTACATCCTTTTGTTCTTTGTGGCATTCAGAGAAAGGCTAAAAGCCACCATTCTTTCAAGATGGCGAATTTGCAACTCAGTAACTTCATCACATGCTCAAAGGTTACATTCAGAGTAACAGGATACATTAGAGAAACAGAAAACACTCAACGGGTAATCATTGACCCATTTAGGAGCTTAGAGTACCTTAGAAAACTGTGGGAAAAAATCCATGTTAGAGATACACATTTATCCATTTTCCATGTTAAACTATCATTAATACACAGGCATTTCCTCATTTCTGTGTAAATAAAACCAATTACTGCATACTTAATAGATGATGCCAGCATACAGGTATATGAGTCATTCATTCCTATACCACCATGTTTGAGTCCATCTAAGTCATTCTAGGCAATCATATCATACCTACAGAAGTACAGAACTGCTGCCAGGGTATGCATAACTCTGGTGACAAGGGGTGTGATATGGGATTAGCACTCCGACCTCATATTGATTGAATTTAGAACACCCTAGGGTGAACACTGGCAATGGAACTTGTAGTGACCTTAAAAAGGAAACACTTTCATAGAATCATAGAAATGTAGGGTTGGAAGGGACACCAAGGGTCGTCTAGTACAGCCCCCCTGCAATGCAGGAATCAGAGCTGAAGAATCCCAGACAGATGGTCATTCCATCTCTGGTTAAAAGTCTCCAGTGAAAAAGAGTCCACCACATTCCAAGGTAATCCATTCTATGGTCCAACAGCTCTTGCCATCAAAAAGTTCTTCTTCATGTTTAGTCTAACCTCATTCAAACTTATATGATGAGCACATTAACTTAAGGTTACCAGATTTTTTTCAATGAATCTGGGGACACTTTTCAACTTCAATGGATTTTGTATGGGGACTGATTTGCAAATCCTGGGACTGTCCTCGGGAAATGGGGATGTCTGGTAACCTTACATTAACTCTTCTCAGAAGAACCCATGCAGGCAGCGGCGGAGCAAGCCGATCAGGTGCCTGGGGCAGCGTGTGTGCCCTGTGCCCAGGGGCGGGGCCAGCCGGGGCAGGACGCTCCGCGGGGCCTCCAAGGAGTCTGCCTGCCTCCTCCCACTCAGCTGCCCTACAGTTGAGGGGGAGGCGGTGGGCAGACCGTTTGGGGCAGAGCGGAGCCTGCGGGTGTCCCAGGAGAGACGTGTGGCTTGGGCGCGCTGTAGGCCCTGCAGTGAATGCCACCCAGCATTTTGTCACCCCCCTCAGTGGGGACACCTGGGCAGATCGCACCTACCCACACACCCCTTCCTTCACCCCTGCATGCAGCTACTCAGACTCAGAACCAAACTCATAAACATGGATGACACATATATGAGGTGATGATAAAAGTACTCTGAGCACTTCAATGTATGTTACTAAACATGATCTTTCCTAATTTTTTTCCCCAGGACCGGAAGGGACATCAGCTGAAAATTTATCCTGTGTCATTTACACTGTTCATGTTACCTCAATGGATTGCACTTGGGAAGTGGGCAGGAATGCTCCTAATGACGTCCAGTATTTTCTAAACTTGATATATTTGTAATTCATTTTCATTTGTTAAATGGGGGTGGGGAAGGGAATGGTTAGAGTATGCTACTCCTGGTTGGGTTTTTAACAAAATATTTTTGCATGCAGCGAAAACGATGGAGAAAGCATTGAATGTCCCCAATACAAAAATAATGAACTTGGAAGACATGTTGGGTGCCATTTTCCTAATATGAAAGTTCCTGAGAATCATATTACCCTCCAGGTGACTGGCTCAAGCAAAGAATCACCAATTCAGACACTGGATCACCAAGCCTGGCCTTTCGATTATGGTGAGAGAGGGTGGAGTATATTGGTTTACTTTTTTTTGCCAGCAGTACTAGAAATCTTTATATAGCTATAAATCTGGGATGGGAACATGTGGCCTCAATATTAGATTCTGACTCCCATTGCCACTGATCACAGGTTAGGTTGGCTGGGGCTGCTGGGAGTCCAGCCACATCTGGATAGTCAGATGTCGTGCAACCCTGCAATAGGCCTTTAATTTAAAATGCTTGTAAAATTATCATTAAACAACCTCAAAAACATATCTGACTGCTTCTACATCACAGCTTTTCAGTGGCAGATACACCCACCCACACCCTGTACCCTTGCATGACCTCACACCATAACATTCCTGGCTATCAACCTGGCCACACTCACCCATAGCATATGTGAATATGAAATATTTAAGAGAGGGATGAAAGACTCACCACTCTAATGCCCTTGTAATCTCACACCTCTCCTACTGTCAAGTAAAAGATGGGTTATTTCATTCCAGAAAAACTTGCCCCACCGCAATGTATCACTGTGAATTGTCGTGAACTGCTGTTGTATTGTAAAGTAGAATGGAAACCCCCTCCAACTGCTACTACAAATGCAGATTACTGTTTTAAGTACCAGATAAAGGTAAGAGGCCATTGTGGTTCTCTTTGTTGAATTGTTTTTGGTCATCTTTGCTTGTCCTATGTGCATATCTCCCCCCCAAAGGGGGGGACGGACCATTTCACATTTTGAAATATGTCCAGCTTTCAAATGTACATAGAATTCAGTTTTAGAACCATCCATATCTGCTGGAATCAATGACAATTCTTGAAATAAACAGAATGAGATTCAGATTTGTTCAACTTCCACGTTAGAAAGGCTATGACAAAACGTGGGTGGATAGAAGCAACTTGCAATGATTCACAGGATGAGGAAAGTTCTATAGAGAGCCGAAGAGGGGAAAGGTGTTGCAGAGGACCCAGTACTGCTACTCTGGGATTGGTGAGGCACATGAGGAATCAACAAGATGGATGGGCTGAGAAAAGGGTCCATCTGGCCCAGGACCTGCAGTGTAGAATTACCATCAGCAAAATGCCCCAAGCCAATCCTGTTTGTCATGTCAAACAGTGGAGCAAAGAAAAGATTGGGAGGAAAGTTAAACCACCTACCAACAAGTAAGTCACAGACACATGTAATCAATTGCTGTTGACAACTTTTGCCTTCCTTGCTGATTAAAGTACCCAGCTGAATTTGTGAAATCAAGCATAATTTGAAAATAGCACAAAGAAAATTTGACACCAGTACCAACTAAAAATGTTACCCTTTTCCCTTAAGGATGAACTGAGAAATGGAATTATAACAGTAAGTATTGTTATTTTCTATAAACACTTACACATGGGGGAATGAATTTAGGAATGAGACAGCCACGTGTAGGCTGCCAAGGGTTACATATTGGAAGAAAAATGGGGTATAAATGGGCGGTATAGTAAAATTTGATCACAACATTCTGAAATAGGGCCAGTCTAGAAGTTCTATCTAGGTGTCTCCCTGTTTGTTTTGTTTTGTTTAATCTACTTTGCTTTTTGATGTCTTCTAATCTGGGTTAAAGGGACACGGGTGGCGCTGTGGGTTAAACCACAGAGCCTAGGACTTGCCAATCAGAAGGTCGGCGGTTCAAATCCCCATGACAGGGTGAGCTCCCGTTGCTCAGTCCCTGCTCCTGCCAACCTAGCAGTTCAAAAGCACGTCAAAGTGCAAGTAGATAAATAGGTACCACTCCGGTGGGAAGGTAAACGGCATTTCCATGTGCTGCTCTGGTTCGCCAGAAGCGGCTTAGTCATGCTGGCCACATGACCCGGAAGCTGTACGCCGGCTCCCTCGGCCAATAAACGAGATGAGCACCGCAACTCCAGAGTCGGTCACGACTGCACCTAGTGGTATGGGGTCCCTTTACCTTTACCTAATCTGGGTTAATGATAGATGGCTGGTGAAAGAGGCAGAGAAGGGAAAATCTTCCAGGGTGGGAGACTGGGAACATATAGAGGGAATCTCCCAGGTAAGAGCTGGGAGGGTCCACCCCCTTCTGTGTGAGACAAAGGTTAAGATATGCTTTTGAGAGAGGCCTTTGTATCCTCCACCCATTTCTATTTCTATTATTTCTATTTCTTTTTCTATTTCTATTATTACTATTTCTATTTCTATTACTTCTATTTCTATTTCTATTATTTCTATTTCTATTTCTATTTCATTTCCCTTTTTTCTTTTTATTCAGATTAGTTTGCTTTTTAATGTATGGTATAATGAAACAGTTCAATAAAAATTTCATGGCAAATCCCCTCCCCGCAAGAAGGCTTTGGAGAATCACAGAAGTAAGGATGTGGACCATAGTTTGAATTGGCTATGCATACTCAAGTAAATCTAGGAAGGACCACAGTTCTCCTCTCCCTTGCCCCTAAGACAATCATATTGTGACTTTTCGACTTCTAATCTCTTAACAGTAGTTGTAAAACTGAAGAATTATTAATATCCTGCCCCTGAGCATATTTACTTAAAAGGCAGCTATAGTGATTTTCCAAGGGGAAAGTATTTTCCTAGTGAGTGAATTAAGGAAGCAGCTTGTTGAATGCTTTTGCACAAGAGAAATAGCCGTCTTTACATTACACAGTGGAATTGGGTGGGCACCACTAATTCTATTTTAAAAAATCAAATTGTTGAATGTCACTTCACCTACAAAGGAATAAATCAGATCAATATCCTGCTTTTAGAAAAAAACGGGGGAAACCTACCACTTGTTTCTAAAGGATAAAGAATACATCTTGAAGCTTCGTGCAGCTGGACAGTATTGCACTGTTGGAGAAGAATGGAGTGACTGGAGTGAACTAATTAAGTTTGGTAACGTTACAGATTTTTTCTCTCCAAGTACTTCTTCCTTTGGCCTGATCTCTATTATTCTGCCTAAGTGGCTAACTCAGGTTTGAGAAGTGCCTCTATCAGTCTGGGAAACAAGGCAATCAAAAATGGTTTTTTGCACATTAAACAACATCCTTGGTATTCAGAAATATATACGGTTTGTGGTTTGTTTGTTTTTTAAAAAATCATTGTTTAATAAACAAAAACAGCTTATTCTTCCAGCTTCCAAGACTTATGGAAACCTGTGTCAGGCATCAGGGAATCCGATCCCCCCATGGTAGGCTGCCAGGAATAGATAGGCAAGGAAAGTTCTTACCAATGTCTTTTATTCAATATTCACAGAGAGAGGCTTAGAAATGCAGCCTATTGGCGTAATGACGTTGCTCCGAGTAATCTCCACCCCCCCTTCTCTCCTCAATCATCATCAGCAGCACCCACCCTACGGTGGCTGCTTAGGGCCATTTGCCTCCAAGCCCTTTGCTCTCCTACTTTCAATGTTCACCAGCTTCTGGGGAAGCAGTGTCTGGAATGCTTTCTAGTAATAATGTGTCAGCCAGCTGTTCTGGCTCTGCCTCCTCCTCCTCCTCCTCCTCCTCCTTCTCCTCCTCCTCCTCGTCCTCTTCCATTATTTCCCAACTTTGCCCCTCATCTGCTTTTGAGCTGTTACCTTCCGCAAACCACTGCTGTAAATCTATACTGTCTTCCTCTTCTCTGGAAGGTTCAGGAGGAGGGAGAGGCAGTCTCCACCATTCCTCCTCTTTCCAGTTCCTGACAACTTGATGCCAGTTGAGTCTACTTACTTATTATATATTTATTTCATGGAAAATGTACACTGCTTGCTTGTAAATAAAACCTGAAAGCAGTTCACACACACACACACACACACACACACACACACACACAAATATTTATTAAATTTCGATACCACCCTTCACTCAAGGGTCACCGGGTGATATAAAAATATAAAATATATAAACATAAAAATATGTAACATAGTAACAAAGACAGTTTAAAAGGCTATAGATTGTTTAACTAGTCAAAGGAATTTAGTTTGGTCACACAAAATCCGCTCCCAGTTAGTCAAAGCTTTCTTTATCTGAGCAGTGTAATTTTGAACCAGAGGGTGAGTCATTTTGTTGATCCTACTGTTTGGAGTCATAAAATTTCAAATGGACAGTCCCCTTTAACTCCAATGGGATTATTCTAGGGTACAAAGTTTAGAGCTTTCACTTTCCAATAGGTGAAGGCTGCAACCCTTACTTTACTTATATGAGAGCATTCCCCCTATTTTGTAACAGAACTTGATGTTTTGTAACAATTGTTATTGGATTTTCAGGATGCAGAAAGAAACCAGGAAAGAATACATACACCTGTGAAGAAGGTTAAAAACTCAAAAACAATGCTAAAAGATGGATCACATCAACAAAATATTTACCATAGTCATTCAAAGTCAAGAGTTTAAAACTTCTATGGAAACCTGAGACCTGAAGATATAGGGTGGCATACAAATTTATTAATAATAAATCACTGAGATTTCTTGCTGCAAGTGGTGTTCATTAACTTATGTCAGAGTTCCATCGTGAAATGTATCAGGTTTAACAGTATGCCATAGAGCTCGCAAGTAAATTTGTGATTCTTTCAGAAATATATTTCATATATTTTTGTACCATAATGGAAGATCTGTATCTTATAAAGTTTTCAGTTACTGTACAATGGATAACCAAGCACCTACCAATAAAGAGATCAAGAGTTATGCAAACAAAATGTATCTGATATTTCCCTCAATGATTTGGAAAAGGGACAGGTTGAACTATTCCTTATATGACACTATTTTCCTTTAACCCAGTCGACCCAAATCAAATAGTTGGTGTGGCTGTGGCTGTCCATAGTACCTATCAGGGGCCATATTTGACATAATGCTAGTTAATTCGACCAGGGTGTAACAGGTGTATTATTTATTTGGAAAATTGCACACCTTAAAATTTCCTTTAGCTATCCTTTGCCAGAACTTTCCTCAATGTGGTCTCAAAAAAGAGCAGGGTGACAATGTAACCGTGTTAGAGGTGAACAGACTGGCAAAATGCAAGACTACCATTTTTCCATTTCAAGAAAGTGCACAAAGTAAATGAGTTATGCCTTTTTGAAAGGCAGGGCCAGCTCACCCGTGAAGCAAGGTGAGGTGACCTGCCTCAGGCAGCAGGATCCACAGGAAACCTTTCCTTTCAAAATTGTTTTTGCGGGGTTTTGTACTGTCCTAAAGAATGTGTGTTCACTTCCTCTTTCCTGGAGGGTAGGGATGCCAATTTGTTGTTTGCCTCAGCTGTCAAAATGTCTTGGGCCAGCCCTGTTGAAAGGCAGTGTCCACAAAGGGCCCTGGCCTAACATTTTCTCCTCCAGGGCTACCCAGTGTTTTCGTACCTTCATCAACGTAAAAGAGGTTTAATGAAAAAGCTTCATAATATAGCATATTGTTTAGGAGTACCCCATCTCCTTCCATTGGGTTTTTCATACAGAATTTCCCATGCCATGTGTGGATCAAGCATTGTAGATCAAGCACTGGATTCCCCTGCCTGTTTCAAGCCCATTTGAATCAAATGAAGTGGATTAGCTTCCGCACACCTACAAATTATCTAAGCTTTCAAAACAGGTATTTTAAAAGAAAATTCACTTCAATTGCCAGACTCAGCTTTGTAACAGTCAGCTGTCATCTGCAGATATTTTCATCCATAAAACCACACCGCCAGAGCCAGCGAAATTATGCAACATTGGCTTGTTAAGAGGCTTTCCTCATCAGATAATGATAATCATGCTTGCAGAGAGATCTACAGTATTCTTTAGACTGTGGTGCAGTATAAATATTTTAATCACTTGGGAGTGATCTCTGAGTGTTGTGAGCTTCCAGGGATTCCAGGCACTTACCCAGGGTTCATGTTTCTCTTTATATATATATATAATTTTATTTATATAATTAATCTTACAACATACAAATATTCAAAAAAAGAAAAACTTAAAAATCAAACAATGTATCATATACTGTATATATATGACTTCCCTCCTCCTCTTTCTGTAGTTCCTTTTTCATCATATTTTACTGCATTTCCAAATTAAACCAATTTAATTTTTATCCCCTATGTGCCATTTACATTTTATTCTACTACTGCATGTTTTTATATTAAGCCTGCTAAACTCTTAATGTGTTTACAATAATTCTGAATATACTCTGTAAATGATTTCCATTCTTAAAAAACTTGATCCTATTGATTTCTTATAATTCCAACGAAAACCAGCAGCGCAGTGAAAGGGAAGCGCTGCAGCAGCTGCATTTGAGTGGCTAAACCCCACCCCCAAGCCTCCGCCTGATTGGCTGGCTGCGAGGGGGCATGGCACAGCAGCCAGGGCAGCTGAGCAGGGGCCAGAACGCCCCCTGCCAACGTGGGGAAAGGCTCCCGTTCACAGCTCCTCCCCTCTGGAAGGAGAAGAGGCTTTGCCTTTATTTCTATCAAATAACAAGGCACAGGTTTTGAAAAGGGCAAAATTGAAGCTGTGCTGCTCTCTGGCCTTTTCGATCACCCACACACTCTCAACTACACAGGTCAAGATGCTGTTCCATCTCTCTACTTTTTTCTTTTAGAATGGCCATTGTAAATAGTCATCATGACACTGTCTGTACTTTTCTCACCTTACTGTTTCATAATTCTACCCAGCCAGGTTTACATGTACCTACACATCAGGATAATGCTTCATGCATCCGAAGACATGGACTTTTGTATGCCAGCTTCTCCATTACAAATGACCCAGGATCCCCCCCCCTTATTTTCTCCATATTCATACTCTCTCAGACACATACATTTTCTTTCTCTTCCTCCCTTGGCCTGTCTAGACATAAGGTGGTCAGGGTTTTATTTTCCCGAACCAGAGAAGCTAGACCCACAGGCACAAGTTATCCAGAAAGCTTTACCTTCCTCTTTCCCTCCCACACCAGCAAAATAATGTTTTTGTGGTAGTTTGGCACCACTCCTCTCCTTAAATAAGCAATTCATAACGCACCAGCTTAATGAAGCCTATCTGGAAATGTGGGGGTAGAGGGAGTGGTTCACATTAGCATGAGACTGGCCAGATATATCCTTCTCAGTAAGCAAGCACAAAAGATTGTTGATAAGTAAAAAATAAGTTTTGGCTATCTAGACCAATGAAATTTATCTGATGGCAATGTTCAAGGGATTCCACAAGGCAAAAATCTGTATCTGTTACTCCTTTAAGAGAAATTGCAGCAGTGCATTTGAATGTCCTGCAGATGTAAAATAAATGCCCCCCATGTTTCTATTTTCCTTCATTTTCCAATGGCATTCAGTTCAGCTTTTTCCTTTTTCCAGATATAAATCATTAAGATTTCAGGAGGCTTTGGCCGAAATGGAGGCAGTACAGATTACCTCCCCTCACACACGACTGAAACTTTTTAACTATATAGCACACATGACCATCACAGAATAATTAGATTTGTTTCATGAACAATCCTGCCAGTGTCTCTCTCTGTGTGTGCATATCTATCTATCTAATCACTCTGGGACTTTTGCCACCCTGAATACTGCACATCTGAAAGTACTTTGGCTCATGAAACATCTTGCAAACTTCCTAAGGAGATGTTCCATTTAAACATTCTCAGAACCCAGTGTTAAAGCAGCGACCAGTGTGTGCTGCTATTCCCAAGCAGAACCAGAACCAGCACCAGCACTTTGGACAGGAGCCAAGGTCCCAGTGCTGTAGCAGGGCACACTCCAGGGCCTCCTTATTGTGTTTTCTGACCAGGCACTCCTGGGAGCTGGATGCAATTGTGCTTTTAATTTCCTACCATGGCCCCAGCTCTAAGAACTCTAAGGCATTGTGTATGTTTCTGAGCACAATTCAAAGTGCTGGTGCTGACCTTTAAAGTTCTAAACAGCCTTGGCAGTATATATCTGAAGGAGCATCTCCACCTCCACCGTTCAGCCCAGACACTGAGGTCCACCTCTGAGGGCCTTCTAGCGGTTTCCTCACTGTGAGAAATGAAGTTACAGGGAACCAGGCAGAGGGCCTTCTCGGCAGTGGCACCCACCCTGTGGAACGCCCTCCCTTCAGATGTCAAGGAGATAAAGAACTACACAACTTTTAGAAGATATCTGAATGCAGTCCTGTATTTGGAAGTTTGATGTTATGTTTGATGTTATGCTTTTATTTGTGTTGGAAGCTGCCCAGAGTAGCTTGGGCAACCCAACCAGATGGGTGGGGTATAAATAAAATGATGCTAGACTCAAAGAATTGATAGGCACAGTGCCAGAGCAATGCCACTGCAGCTAAATATGCCAAGGCCACCTGAGGCAGGTGATACCAGAAGACATTTTGACCAGCCCTTCCCCTCAAACCTGGAGACAGCCCTGTTCTCAAGTGAAGCTCAGCTGGGTGACAGTTCTGGAGGAAAGTCAGTGCACACACCACCTGACTTCCACAGCATTGCCATACAAACTGGGCTGCCAGCATCTGCCTCTCTTGCTCACAACATGTGATGATGCTGATTGGGGTGTCATTAATTACATAGTTTATTCACTAGATGGCACAGGCCTTAGTTGTTTCCTGAGTTTGTTCTCTTTCTCTCCTGGATATAATACAATAATTATTGTCTTCTTCTTCTTTGGCGATCACTTGCAGCCGAGTAATAGTGTCTTCCATGAAAAAGGTTTTAACAGTGAGTCCATAAGTGACTGTGGAGGCTGGTTCTGGATCTACACCTCCTTCCACAGTGGGGACATAGGTTTCTGGGCTTGAGTTGATCACGGTAAGGGTTTGCCAAGCACGCCTTCCTCTTAGCACATTTCTCCCTTTGTCATGGGCGTCTTCAAAGCCCATGACACCTTTGGTAAAGCCTGTTCTCCAATTGGAGCACTCGCAGGCAGCATTCCCCAGTTGTTAGTGTTTAAACTACTTTTTTTTTTTAAGATTTGCCTTGAGAGAGTTTTAAACCTCTTTTGTTGACCACCAGCACTATGCTTTCCATTTTTAAGTTCAGAATAGAGTAGTTGCTTTGGAAGATGATAATCAGGCATCCGCGCAACATGACCAGTCCAACGAAGTTGATGTTGAATTATTGTCCTGCCTTAATGACTGGAATTCCCTCTGAGCCTTCCATCAATAAGAGTTTTGTTGTCACTGCTCCAAGTTGCAGAAGAATGAAAAAAGTGAAGGGGGTAGGTAGATTCCCTTCTTCACAGTTCCCAAACCACTCCCCAAATTATCGGAAAGTTCAAACTTTCAGCCCACCTTTAGTTTATATACCCAGGGATTTGCCTAAGGCTAACTTCTACGAATGTAGTTTTGCAGCAAGCATGTGATTTGAACTGGAGATTTCGAGATTATAATTCCTGCACTACATTTACTCAAGCATCCATGTGTATTTTTTATTATTATTAGTAAGTAGTTTCCATAATGAGAATGGAGTTGATTGGTGTCAGTAAGAAATGTAGTTTGTTGCAATGGGATTATTGTAGTGAAATTTAAAATGCAATGTTTTTAGAAGGGGGCAGCAGTGGGAGAGAAAAAATAAGCTGCAAACTAGTTAAGTGTATTTATAGGTGTTTCTTTATTAACAATGGGGTGTGTGTTTTTATTTATTGTTTTAGTTTTGTTTAGTTGGGTTTTAAAAAGTGTGTGTGGGGGGGTTGTATTCTCATATTCTGGTACTTGAATGGCACTTGGGCATGAAAAGCTATTGGAGAGAACAGCTGCACCATCTTGTGGTGAATGTTGAAAGTCTCACCAGTTAATACGAAACTGTATTGCAGCTTCATAGATACATGGCTGTTTTAGCATTATCAAACTCCTGGAACTGCTTTTAGGGTTTGATTCTACACATAGCAGTGATTGATTCTACACATACACACAACATGAAGGGTTTTTTTAAAAAATACTTTAAAAAGCATTGTGAAGGTTAGTAAGAGGAGTTTAATAAGGGGTTGGGTTAATAAGCCTCTTAAGGCACACAGAAAAGAGCCAGAAACAATTGTGAAGATGAGAAGTGATAGAATTGCACATCCATAACTATATCAGCATCTATTGCATTCATTCTGAATTAATGTATTTATAATGAAGTGGGCATGTGTATATGAATAGTTCCAAAGAATAATGTTTTATCGGTTTGGGGCCACATTTACCTTCTGTTCTACTGCTAATTTGCTTTCTGTGTACAAGGCGAGAATATTGAGATTAAGCCAAGTAGAAAGCAGATTAACAGCTGGATGGAAATACAGCCTTGAAATGCAAAGCTATAGATACAAATTACATGGAAATTCAGCTTCTTAGAAAGATAAAAACAGGAAATCAAACAGTGGCCATTCAATTCGCTTTGTAGTCAGAACTAGGTTTTCTGTAATTAGACCAGGATATGAAGAAATACACTATTCTGTGAAAGGAGGAAAGAAGCCTCTTTCTCATGACAAGTTCCTCTCAGAACAAAAATGAAGCAAGCTTCCATGCAAGGTTGCACCCTCCTCTTGCTTTGCATGCAAATTCATCTTCTCTCTTGTTTCATTACCCCACTTTTTCATTCTTGTTGGATGTGTCATCCCCTATGTCCACAGCCTGTGCAGTGGTTTATTTTAGATTCAATTCTCGACCCTAGCAAAGATTCAAGAACAGTTGGACTGTAGGACAGTCCATGATTGGAGAAGAAGGACTCTCTGTCTGAAGGACTCTCAAATGACCTCTATTTGAAAGAGCCCTCTTTTTGAAGCACTGTCCGGTTTAAAGACCAGTAGGGAAAGCAGGCATGCAGGCCACCTGACTATCCGCACCCAAAGGTGAGTTGTGTTGTTTGGATAATAGTAAAAGTAAAGGGACCCCTGACCGTTAGGTCCAGTCATGACCGACTCTGGGGTTGCGCGCTCATCTCGCTCTATAGGCCGAGGGAGCCGGCGTTTGTCCGCAGACAGCTTCCGGGTCATGTGGCCAGCATGACTAAGCCGCTTCTGGCGAACCAGAGCAGCGCACAGAAACGCCGTTTACCTTCCCGCCAGAGTGGTACCTATTTATCTACTTGCACTTTGACGTGCTTCGAACTGCTAGGTTGGCAGGAGCAGGGACCGAGCAATGGGAGCTCACCCCGTCGTGGGGATTTGAACTGCCAACCTTCTGATCGGTAAGTCCTAGGCTCTGTGGTTTAACCCACAGTGCCACCCGTGTCCCATCGTTTGGAGAAAAGTACTAGCTAAATTTGCACCTGTACATATAAATTAGCAAAAGTAAATCTGATGGCAATGCATAAGTGCAAGGGGCAGCCCATCCCATTTCGCTGCCTGAGGCAAAACAGGAAAGTTTCCCTAGCCGAAGCCTTGCTTACCCTGCTTGCACAGCAGTGGCTTCCAGGGAGATCTCTCCTACTGCTCTACATTCTCCAGTGGTGGTAGGGGCAGGCAGGGTCCCTGTGTGGGCACTGCCCCATGGGATTCCACTGTCCAAGATGGCTGCTTCAGCCTGCCTCGTGAGCAGGACAGCCCTGCATAAGTGGCAACCCTTCCCCATTCCTAGTCTTCTGCTGGACCAATGGGCCAGGAACACTCTGGAAAGAATGGCTTCTGTGGTTTGCTTGTATAAAACTGGAAACAATAAAACTATCCAGCATCTTTTTTTAAAAAAAAAAACCATCAGGCCTTTATTGTTTCTGAGGCTCCTTGTGTATGGCAGCACTCCATTGCCCACCCAGTGTCCCATCACTACCCTGAAAAAAATCTGATTGCATTAGCAAAACCTCCCCTCCACTATCATATCCTCATGCCACACCTACTGCTAACAGGGGCAGGCACTTATCCTATCTGGAAGTAGGTCCCCTGGCTACAGCAAGGGCTGTAACCTTAATGGCAGAGCATCTGTTCTGTATGCAAAACATCTGGGCTGAGGTGGGAGAGAAACTTGCCTTCGGCCGCAGAATGCCATGTCAGTCAGTGTAGATAATTCTGATGTAAATGAATCAATGGTCTGACTCAGTAGAAGGCAGCTTTCTGAGCTCCTATGCTTCTTCCTAACAATGGTTATAATCTAAGCTCCCTCGCATAGAAATAAGTATTTTCCACTTAACATGCTCCAAATTAGGTTATTGTCGTGTTGTCTTTGACAGAGTGAATCACTGAACTCTAAGTCAGGGCTCTCAAAATGGCTGTGTCACATCAGAGCTTCTCTATGTCCCCATCAGACCAGAGGAGCTTTGCTCATAACCCAGCCAACCACTTCTCACCAGTTCCTTTTCTCTTCTCAGTAAGAAAGCTCCACCTTTGCCTTCTCCCTTCCACGACTCTGGCTGAGGCTTATAAATAAGCCTTTAGGACAGGCATAGGCAAACTCGGCCCTCCAGATGTTTTGGGACTACAACTCCCATCGTCCCTAGCTAACAGAACCAGTGGTCAGGGATGGTGGCTGGTGGCAGTGGTGGGACCAGCGGCGAGAAAGGGCTCCTTTCGGGACACTTGTCCCTCTGCTGCCGCCTCTGCCGCTTGCAAGAGCAGACATAGGAGCCGCAGTTGGGAGAGGCGCAGTGCAGCGCAGCCTTGCAAGAGGCAGGATGCGACCCACGCACATGCAGTCTCACAGTCACATGTTACGTTTACTTCAGGATGCGAACGGGGCTTTGGGACAGATCCCGTTCGTATCCAGAGGTACCACTGTATATACGGTAGACAGAAATATTCTTCAGCTCTAGCCACATGTTCCCCACTGTTTGAGTCACAACTGTTTCCTATAATTTCTGCTGCTTCCCACAAAGAGGAAGAGGTCAGTTGGGGTCTATCCATCAATTGTGTAACTGTGTGGTACCACACCACCTGATGTTACATTAATTTGGGCATGGGTTTTATCCAAATAAGTCATATTTAGAGTAGACACAGTGAAATCCATGGATTCGTTAGTTAATGAGTCTACTCTTAAATATGATTTAATTAGATCCAACCCTATAGTTATGGGAACAGTTTATTATGAAAATCACTGAATATTTTGTTAAAACAGCTCAGTCTTGTTGTACCTTATAAAACTTAGGACCAAAGTAGACACGAAGCAGGAGATCCTTATCTTCCCATGGGGTTTTTTGTGGGGTGTTAATAGCAGCTGTGGAAGATGGAGCTTATTCAGATTGGGATAATGACACTTCCAATTAAAATCATCCCTTTCCCATCGCCACCCAGCTTTTATGCGCCACTCAGAACAAAACTTGCAGGTTCTCTACAGATTGGCAATTTTATTGTGCCAAAGTAAACCTCTCTGTGTCTTAAGGGCAGCTTCAGAGGTCTTGCTAGTAGTCCAATTGGTAAGATCAGTTAGATCGGTGAGCATGAGAGAAAGGAGCTTTTTGGTGGTGTCCCCACAGTTATGAAACACCCTTCAAAGTGGTATGTGTACAGCTCCATCAGGACAGACTTTTAACCAGGCATTGGAAACCCATTGAGTACAGATGCCTGTTTGGATGATTATGTCCTCCCCCCTATTTTTGGAGTTCTGCAAAATCTTAGAATTCTTCCAAGTTTGCTGATACCTCTCTCTTGTGCATCAGCTACATAAGCAAAGGCTGAATATCGGAAATAAAGGGAATGGTGACTAGATATGATACACGTCATTTCTATTGGTTAGAATATTATTTTCCTGAGGATAACAGTGGAAATATCCTGGGTTGAGTTCCCAGTGGATATGCCTTGCAGCCTCAGGAGCAAAACCTGAAGCTCTCCCTCATGAAGTATACTATATTGACAGAAACTTGCTTGCACCTTCAGAACACCATGGTGACAACTGTCATTCAACAAAAGAACACTCTGCAGCCCACAAACTATTGTCTTTCCTGGGCTAAGAAGATGTGAAAATAGGAACTCCCCAAAAAGGAAACTTTTGGCTGACATTAAAGACAGGAAGTGGTTGTTCTTAGTGAGGCAACTGTGACAACTGAGGTGGCCTATGATAAGAATTTCCCGAATTTCCCCATGTCTGTTACCTTAATTAGAAAACTGTGGGTTTGAAGGCTTCAGACACTTTTCTCCAGGTCCCCAAAATCCTCAGAACACCAGGAGGTCTCTTATGTCCAGAAACCCTTGGTGAACCCCGCCCATACACTGAGTTTGGAGTTTTTAATCATCATATCATTTATGAACAAAAGCTTTTGACAATGATCTCTCTAGGAGATATATTTGTTCAGTGGGCCTGTACATGGTGAATTCTTTTACAGGCAGTATCAAGAATATAAGGAAGACACCAGAAAGGCCTTCAAGAGTAAGAGAAAGCATCCCACTACTTTCTTCTTTCTTATTCACTTACTGTAAATTGGAAGTGAAAGAAGGAAGTTCATGATGCAATGCTCCTTATGAAAGCAACATATATATCCTTGCTTTCCCTCTGCTCTGCCACAACTTCTCTTCACTACAATCTTATTGAGCCTGTAAGAAGAGACGGTAAGAACAACTCCCCACCCAGCAGACAACAAGGGGCCACATTCATAACCTTTCACAAATACATCACCCATTTTTCATTGGTGGGGGTGGGGGGAGACACAGCGGGAATAATGGAATATATCTACTATCCCAATCCTTTCAACATTGTGACTGTCATCACCAGTCCAACCCCTCTAGGTCTTGAGAAACCCTTTGCTATTCTCAAAAAACTGGAAAGAGGGTGGTTTGGGTATCCAAGACAGAAGAATGCTACCAAGAAGCAGGAATCTTATTATGACTTGTGGTTTGTGGGTTAAGAAAGAAAATCAGTAATTTAGACCAACGGAAGGATTCTTAGTGAAAACGAACATGTCTGTGATTGATGTTTAAAAGAACTAGACAAAAAATATTATTGTGTGCAAACTGTATTAGAAAACAACTGCTTAACAGATTGGGCATTCTTTTTTTTTACTCCCAAAAACATTACCCATTGTTCCAGTACTTGATGATGAAAGATCAACAGATGGACAAGTAGGGAACTTTCATACCTGGAAGGAAAAGGGACTGGGTTGCTATCAAGATTAGAGAAAGAAAAGAACTGACAAACAAAAAGCTGGAAAAATACAGGTAACCAACCTATATTTCTATATACAGTGGACCTGCAACTTATACTTACTTTACATGCATGATTGCAACCTTACATGGGGGGTGGAGAGTGGTGGAAACCTGCCATTCCCCACTCCCCGTTTATTTATTTTCCCCCATCTGTACACCCGGGCTTTTTCCCCTTGTTTACCAGGCAATATTAAAATGTCAAATTTAAGAATTTTATGGGGGTTTGTTTTGAAATTTTAGTAGGGTTTTCCATGCAACTTTTTGCAAACAAAAACCTAAGCTTTGTGTATTTTTTAAGCAGAGAGCTATAGAAATAGGGAGAATTATCAATACATTTTTAATTTTTAACTTGGGAATATGTATATATCATCTGATTGTTAGGTGTCAGTGTTTGATAAAACAGATTTACAGAAGAGGGTAAGGCTAACATAATACAGAATGCCCTGCAGTGATTTTGTTGGGTGTTGCTGCTGTTTTTTAAAAAAGAAAAACTTTGTCATTAAGTTCAATATATTGGGTGACTATGGGATGCTGACTGTGGGTGATACAAGTTGTAGTTCAACAACAACTGGAAGACAACAAGTTAGTCAGGAGTATTTCAAAGGCGTGTTCTCTGAAAACAATGTAGGTATGCCATATGTAGAACTGAATAAATACAAATGAGAACAAAAACAGAAACTTTTTTTAAAAAAACCAAAGCTCCAGTATTACATGTCCCCTCATATAAACTAGAAAAAACAGAGGCTGGCAACCAATGAAATTGTTCCATTAGCAAAAGGATTTCCATTTCCCCTCACTCTTCTCTGCCTGGTCACCCTCAAACCTTTCCTGGGTTTCCCTCAAATCCTCTGGAGCAGATTTAGGGAGGGCACAGGGTGGACATAAAGGGAAATGAGAGGGAGGGAATGTTTCATTCTCCTAATGGAGTAACTTCAAAGAATAGCACTCCAATGAAAATGTGGCAGAACAATGAAATAAAACAAACCCTTTTTTTCATTTTAGGATTTATTTCTGTGTATTTATATAAAAAACGAAAAATCAGTATGGTGCCCAATATAGGATTTGTTCACATGAGTTGCCTCACAGTGTTCTGCTCTGTTTTCTTTATTGCTTTTGCAAATAATCAGGGTAAGTATACATTTCTATTGAACTGTGTGGGACTTACTTTAGCATAGATATGGTTAGAATTGCGGAAGCTCAGATGAGTGACAGTGGAGAGCAGGCAAAGTCAGAGCGGAAGGAAATGTATTTATTACCAAAGTAGTTCATTAATGTGTGGGTGGATCAGGCATTTTAGTTTTGGGGTAGGGTTGGTTCTTATGTGGGTGTAAGATGGAAAGTGAGGAGAGATGAAAAAAGCATATCTGCTTGAAGATCTCTCTCACACACACACATATAGTACACACATGTAGGCACACAATACACCTCAGGGCAGATGGATACTTGAAGAAGATTAGTTAGGTACCATAAACAAATAACGTATTACAGTAGGGAGCATTTGTGTCCACTGAAGATGATACAAAAACAACTATGAGATATAAAACAAATCATGAAGTTCCCAGAAACTGCAGCAAACAGGAATGAAACTACCATGAAATTACATGAACAAGCAGCTACATGAACAGGCTCAACGGAAGCTGAAATGAGCAGGTGTCAGACTTCAGGGACTCTGCTTCCTCCCCTCTTGGCTGTAGTTAAGCAGTACAAAGAGAAAGTAGTCTCTTACCAGTTACAGAAATGTTTAATGTACGGAGCAAAAGAGCAAGCGATCATTCTCAGAGTGCAGGTGATCCCAATTAAGGTTCTGTCCACTTCCCTCTAGTCACATCCGTCCTCTCGCCTCCTAGCCACCTGATCTCTCAACCTTTGAGCCTTTTGCGCAGTCACCTTATCTAATCTCAGAGCCTGCACAACTTCCAGTGAGAGAGTGTCAGCTAGTTCACTCTCTTCCCATTCTTCTTGCTGTTCACCTCCTAGTTCTGCCCAACCATTGTCTTCCGAACTGTGCCCCTCAGCAAACCATTGTTCCAAAGCAACACTACTCCACTGCTCCTGTGGAGTTTCAGGGTCCTGGCCATGAGCAGGGGAGGGGTAGGCTCCCACCATTCCTCATCAGAGTTGTACTCCTCAACCCAGTCTCTGAAAGCAGGTAAGCAATAGAGAATCACATCCCCACCAGGGGTAAACATTGGTGGTGGAAACTGTGTTGAAAAGCCACTTGACATTAAAAAAAGGAAGCACTTTGCATAGTTTGATCTCATAAAACACATATAGGATAAGCACATTAATCCATGCAGGTATGCAGCCTCAGAGCCATACACACACACACACACACACACACACACACACACACTGACCATTCCTATTTTTTCTCCCCAGGACGAAACGGGACATCAGCTGAAAATTTATCCTGTGTCATTTACACAGTTCGTGTTACCTCAATGAATTGCACTTGGGATACTGGCAGGAATGTTCCTAAAGATGTCCAGTATTTTCTATACTTGATATATCAGTAATTCATTTTCATTTGTTAAATGGGAGTGGGGAAGGGAATGGTTAGAGTATGCTACTCCTGGTTGGGTTTTTAACAAAATATTTTTGCATGCAGCGAAAACGATGGAGAAGAGACAGAATGCCCCCAGTACAAAAATAATAAACTTGGAAGACATGTTGGGTGCCATTTTCCTAATATAAAAGTTCCTGGGAATCATATTACCCTCAGAGTGAATGGATCAAGCGAAGAATCACTGGTTCAGCCTTTGGATCAGCAATTCTGGCCTTTCAATCATGGTAAGAGAAAGAGGGTGGGGTTTGTTTGTTCGTTTACTCACAGTGCAAAAAATTAGATATCTTGAGATATAAATCAGGGATGGGGAAGCTGTGGACCTCCAATATTATTAGACTCTAAATCTCTTCACCCCTGATCACAGGCTAGGCTGGCTGTGGAGTCAAAAATCCCTCACCCCTTCTCTAGTCCTTTGTTTTAAAATGCTTGTAAAATTAAAGAAGCCTCAGAGATGTATTTGTCTGCCTGCATTCACACACCCTGTACTCCTTCAAGACCTCTCATCTCAAAATTCCTGGCTATAAGCCGAGTGACATCTACCCACAATGTATGTGAATCTAAAATGCTTAGGAACTGGAAGCAGGGAAGTTCACCACTCAGATGCCCTTGAAATTTCACAGCTCTCCACCTGTCAAGTAAAATACTGGCTATTTCATTACAGAAAAACTTACTCCACCAGAAGATATCACTTGGAATTGTCATGAACAGCCATGGGGGTGCAAAGTACAGTGGAAACCCCCTCCCTGTGCCTTTAAAGATAATGCAGACTACTGCTTTAAGTACGAAATAAGGGTAAGAAGTTTTTTTTTTTGCTTGTTGAATAGCTTTTTGGTACCTTTGCTAGTCACATGCAGATATCTGATGTAGAAATTCGTGGTGAAAGATACATTTCACATTTTGAAAATTTGTCCAATTTCAAATGTACACAGAATTTAGTTTGACTGCTATTTCATATCTACCAGGGTGAATGGTAATTCTTAGATAGGTTTTGGTTGGTAGAGATGGAGTAGCGTACAGTTCTTTCATGAGTAAAGAAAATCCTCAGATAAAATAGAGCGATACTTTTCTTGTGGGATGACCTCCCAACAAATTCTGCATTGCAGCCTCGCTTTTCAGTTCATTTGTTGAGCCTCCCTATTAGAAAAAGCTTATAGTATTTTATCTGAATCCAACTAATGTTTCTCGGCTGTTTTGTTCTCAGTCAAAAGCCAATGTCTGCAATCTAGCCTAGAAAGTCCCCGTGCGGATAGACACATCCTCTTTCATGGTGATGTCAAGGTTGCAATGTGTGAGCTACATTGACCGGCATATACCATCACCCCAAACATGTGGGTGCATCAATGTACCCATGTGCAGAAGCATCCTGCAACAATTTTGGTTTCTGAAATCTCACCCTTCCTAGCTTCATACTGTGTGGCTCAGTATAGGTATGCATGCTGGCACACAAATCCCAGGTCTATCCTACATATTTAAAATAATGACTGGATTGTGGCGATACATTTATTTGCTGAATTCCTATATACATCACAAGCTGGTCTGCCAAATCCTTGCACTATAACAGAGGAGGCATATTTGTGGCCCTCCTCTTAGCCCCAGTTAGCATAGGCCAATAGATGACAGGATCCCCCTACATCTGGAGGATCAGAGTTTTCCCACCCTTGGTCTATAGGAATACAAAATGGTTGCCTGGTGCTTTATGGTCAGCACTTGTGGGAAGCCAAATACCATTTTGTAAAGTTTCACATCTATTAATGTATGGAAAAACGTGAACTTCTATAACTCATTCATCTTCTTTTAATATGTATGTTTATAATGTGTGTGTGTGTGTGTGTGTGTGTGTGTGTTACACAATGAAAAAAAGAGAAGATTGTGGGGGAAGTTAATAATCCACCCACAAGGAAGTCAGCCCTCTGTCCTCCGATATTATCGGTTACTCTTGACTACTTTTGCCTTCCTTGCTAATTAAGGTATACAGCCAAATTTGTGAAAGCTAGCATACTTTGAAAAAGTACAATGAAAACCAACTAAAAACGTTACTTTTTTGTCTCTAAGGATGAAATCAGAGACCACATTTCAAAAGTAAGTATTGTTATCTTATATAAACATGAGGCATGTGAACTGAATTTAAGAATGGGAGAATCATGTGTATGCTACCTTGGAAGAAAGCTGGGCTATAAATATTAAGAAGGCAGCATAGTATTCTTTTTCCACAGCATTCTGAAATTAATTAATTAATTAATTAATTAATTAATAATATTTTATTGCTTATACCCCACCCATCTGACTGGATGTTCTATCTAGGTGTCCAGATTTGGTCCAAAAGGGAAAATATAGCAAAAAAATATCCAGAATCCTCGAAAGATGGGAGACATGAAGTAAAATAAATATTTGGTTTGCAACCTGCTTCATTGCTTCAGATTTCAATGTGATATTATGCTTCAGAACTGATTACCTTCCATTTCCAAAGCCTTGGGCGACTTCCGCATTCTAGCGAATGGGGAAGTCAACAAGTGCCTATAATCTTTTCATTTTCTGCATTTATTTCAACTGTTTATATACCGCTTAACTCCTTAGTCTCTAAGCAGTGCCCAATAAGGTTTAAAATGCAAGAAAATAAAATCAGAAAAAAATACTTTAAACACCTGCTGAAATAAAGTCTTTACTGCATGACAGAAGTTCAATAGGGAAGGGGTTATGCTGTGTCTGTCTGTGATGAAGGCACAGAAACATATCATGGCCACCTCTGAAATTTCTGCCTGCAGAGGCCAGACTGTTTGGTGCCATGAATGCAGGGCTGGTTTAGCTCACACCACACCTGTAGCACTTTACTTGTATGTTAGAAAACAAAGGATTGCTGTCTTTGAAGAAATAAGCTTGATATACAGCAAAACAATTGAAATGCCCCCTGCACTAGCACTACTTGGGCTTAGAATCCCGTCTGTTCATGATTATCCTAAAGATGACCTCTTAGCCTTTCTACTGACTGTTGCTCGTATGGTTTAATGTATGCTTTCATCTCATCTATTCCTTATACTTTGGAACTCCCTGCCTATTGAGATGAAGCAGGTGTCCCAGAATTACAGACTTGAAGAAGGTGGGAGGGACCCCAAGAGTCATCTAGTCCAACCCACTGCAATGCAGGAATCTTTACCCCAATGTAGGGCTCAAACACACAACCCTAATATTAAGAGCCTCATTTAATCCGTTTCAGTATGTTTTAAAACATGCCTGTAATTTTTTCTTGATTTTCTTGTTTTATCTTTCTTAACTGTTTGAGGTTTGTTTCCTTTTACAATCAAGTGGTGTGTGTAAGTTTATGAAATAATAAGTTGATGAATATGAATTGGCATGCTATTTCACCAACAAAGACATAAAGCAGATTAATGTTCTACTTTTAGTTAGCAAGCGGAGAAACCCACCAAAATTACACGGTACGTAGGAAATACTCATTGAGGCTCCGTGCAGCTGGACAGTATTGTCCCATTGGGACACAGTGGAGTGAGTGGAGTAAACCAATTGTGTTTGGTAAGATTACGGATTTATTTATTTATTTTTTCCATTGGCCCTTTCTCTGTTATTTTCTCTACTGGCTAACTCAGGGGATTGTGTGCCTCTATCAGCCTGAGAAACAAAGCCATCCAAAAATGTTTATATATATATCTATTCAGAGAACTCCCTCAGCACGCAGAACAATATAAATTTGTAGATTAAAATATTTTTTTTGAAAGAAAACAGCCCATACTTCCAAGACTTCCAGCTTCTAGGACTTACAGAAAGTTTCTGGCAGTTGAGCCTTACAGACATCAAAAATGATATTAGTGTCAGTCCCCCTGTTGCTTAGAGATGGAACTTTAACAACAACAACAACAACAACAATTTATTTATTTATTTATACCGCCCATCTGGCTGGGTTTCCCCAGTCACTCTGAGCGGCTCCCAACAGAATATTGAAAACACGATAAAACACCAAACACTAAAACTTCCCTAAAATGGCTACCTTCAGGTGTCTTCTGAAAGTCAGATAGCTGTTTATTTCCTTGACATCTGATGGGAGGGAATTCAACAGGGCGGGCGCCACTACCGAGAAGGCCCTCTGCCTGGTTCCCTATGACCTCACAGTGAGCGAACTGCCAGAAGACCCTCAGAGCTGGATCTCAGTGTCTGGGCTGAATGATGGGGGTGGAGACGATCCTTCAGGTATACTGGGCTGAAGCCATTTCAGGTTTAGAGGTCAGCACCTACACTTTGAATTGTGCTCGGAAACGTCCTGGGAGCCAATGTATGTCTTTCAGGACCAGTGTTATATGGTCTCGGCGGCAACTCCCAGGCACCAGTCTGGCTGCTGCATTCTGGATTAGTTGGTTTCCAAGTCACCTTCAAAGGTAGCCCTATATAGAGTGCATTGCAGTAGTCCAAGCGGGAGATAACCAGAGCATGTACCACTCTGGTGTAAGGCTACCAGATTTTTTCCAATGAATCCGGGGACACTTTTCAATTTTAGTGGAATTTGTATGGGGACTGATTTGTAAATCCAGGGACTGTCCTCGGGAAACGGGGACATCTGGTAACCTTACTCTGTTGAGACAGATCAGCTGATGGACTGCTATACGTGTGTGCTTATATAAGACTGATGCCAGATTTGCAAAGCACCATCCTGGTTCTTCCCCAAAAACACTACTCTGGAAGCCCCCATCCCAGCAAGCAATGTGGACAGAGCCAAGTGGCAAGAGAGGCTGTGGTTGTTACCAGGTCTGGTGCTCTTTTAAGGACCAGAACTTTAACAATTGACTGCCCTGATCCCCAATAACCTGGTTGGAAGAGGGAAACAAAGAGTGCTGTTGGGGGGAGGTGCCACTATTGACATAGCATATTTTTTTGCTTACCTTTTAAGTGCTGAGCTAGGCAGCTGTAGCTGCCACTATCTTCTTTCCTTGCAGTGCATCTGGGTCACAATGTCATGCCCCTAGAGGAACATTATATTTGGAGGCAGGTTCAAAGGCTTTAGCCTCCTGGATTGACACTTTCCCTTTCAGCACTGGGACCTTAAGAGTTGTAAATAAATTAAAATCATGCCAGCATTGTTGGTGCCTGGCCCAACCACATCACAAGCTGATGCTGGGCTTGGGTTTATGATACACTTAGCATTAATGCCTTCCTATCTTTTCAGGTACTGACCTCAATCCATTTCCTACAGAATTATTAATACTTGTAGTACTTGGGACCGTCATAACAATCTTGCTCCTCATTTTGATCTGGAAAAGGTAAAACACAATGACCCGCCATTTTCACCTGCTAGCATTTTTAATTACCATTGTTCTGAGATTTGACAAGCCTGCGTATTCTTTGTTAGGATTTTAACCAAAAGATCTGAAAAATTCAACATTTCTAGAAGACCTGAAAACACTAAATGAAAATCTAACATATTAATATTATAATCAAAATGTTGAATAGAAGGATCTGTTAAAGATTTAAGACAATGCAGTACATATAGTGCATAATTCAATCTACGTCCTATCTGTAAATGGGCGAGTGGTCCCCTTCCCTGCATGAAGCTCTCCATCTGCAGGCAAGAGGATATGGATTAGGGAGAACAGGATTTGAGACCCTGGTCAAAGCACCACATTTTCCTTCCTGCAGATTCCACATATGGAGGTGCCTAACTTTTCCAGTTCCACAACCAAAAGATGTTCTTTGGCAACATGAGAATGTGGTGAGTTCTAGAATGCCTTGAATGCAGTATTCTGCCAGTTTTTAAAACAATTTATAGATGAATGGCTGTAATTCACAAAGTAATGCTATGTGATTGTTTACTGCCACACAGAAGGTGCCATGAAATTGCTGCTCTAGCAGTTTCCCCCCATTCGTAAAGATGTTTGTGTGCTAGAATTTTATCTAGTGTAGTAAAATATTTCCACACTTGTGTAGTAGTAGTAGTAGTAATAATAGTAATAGTAATAATAATAATAGTAGTAATAATAATAATAATAATTTTTTATTTTTTATTTATACCCCACCCATCTGGCTGAGTTTCCCCAGCCACTCTGGGCGATTCCCAATCAAATGTTAAAAACAGTACAGCATTAAATATTAAAATCTTCCCTAAACAGGGCTGCCTTCAGATGTCTTTTAAAGATAGGATAGCTGCTTATTTCCTTCACATCTGAAGGGTGTTCTACAGGGTGGGCGCCACTACCGAGAAGGCCCTGTCTGGTTCCCTGTAACCTCACTTCTCGCAATGAGGGAACCGCCAGAAGGCCCTCGGCGCTGGATATCAGTGTCCGGGCTGAACGATGGGGGTGGAGATGCTCCTTCAGGTATACTGGGCCGAGGCCATTTAGGGCTTTAAAGGTCAGCACCAATACTTTGAATTGTGCTCGGAAATGTACTGGGAGCCAATGCAGATCTCTCAGGACCGGTGTTATGTGGTCCCGGCGGCGACTCCCAGTCACCAGTCTAGCTGCCGCATTCTGAATTAATTGCAGTTTCCGAGTCACCTTCAAAGGTAGCCCCACGTAGAGCGCATTGCAGTAGTCGCAAGTGGGAGATAACTAGAGCATGCACCACTCTGGAGAGACAGTCTGCAGGCAGGTAGGTTCTTAGCCTGCGTACCAGGTGGAGCTGGTAGACAGCCGCCCTGGACACAGAAATAACCTGTGCCTCCATGGACAGCTATGAATCCTGAATGACTCCCAGGCTGAGCACCTGGTCCTTCAGGGGCACAGTTACCCCATTCAGGACCAGGGAATCCCCCACACCCGCCCGCCCCCTGTCCCCCAAAAACAGTACTTCTGTCTTGTCAGGATTCAACCTCAATCTGTTAGCCGCCATCCATCCTCCAACCGCCTCCAGGCACTCACACAAGACCCTCACTGCCTTCACTGGTTCTGATTTAAAGGAGAGGTAGAGCTGGGTGTCATCTGCATACTGATGAACAACCAGCCCAAACCCCCTGATGATCTCTCCGAGCGGCTTCATATAGATATTAAAAAGCATGGGGGAGAGGATGGAACCCTGAGGCATCGTGTATGAACGATGGAAGTCTCCAAACACTGTAACCACTTCCCCAAACCTATCTGTGTGGTCATAACAACAAAAAATGTAAGAGTTTCTAGTTATAATGGGTGGGATTCACCTATCTAGCTCCATCAGTGGAAGGCCAGTGTAAGAAACTAGTAATTTTACTGACATTTTAGTGCCAAGGATAGTTGTTTAATTTCATCTAAAAGAAATGGGACTTTCAAGTAAGTTTTAACTTAATTGGAGTTATTGAAACCATAATAATTCTACCCTGCCCATCTGGCTGGGTTTCCCTAGCCACTCTGTGGAAATTAGAAACAGGGCTGAACTGAAAATATATTACAGAGGAAAAGCTGCATTGCAAAAAGAGTTTGCTGCAGCTTCCATTTGTCATTTTCTAAATGTTGGAGGAACCGTGGAAAGCTTAACCACCAGCACAGTATTCTTCAATACTGGCTATGCTAGCAGAACTTTGTTATGAGCTGTAATAAAGAAGTGAAACTGAAGTGGTCACAAGCCTTAGGAATTAACCTTAAGGGGATTTTTCTTTTCCCTTTTTGTAGAAAACATGGGTGGACCTGAAGCCAGCAGCAGATGAAAAAATAACAGTGGTTGAAGAAATGAATTGTGAACTACAAAAACAATGAGATTTTCACTAGCCAGCTGCTACCCCAAATAAATTAGGGAAATGCTATTATTTTGGTGCTTCCTTTCATCTCAGCTGCAAATGCATGTATACAAGTACAAAAGCTGCTACTCAAGCACACTGGAAGACAATGCCAGGGATAGGTTTCCTATGCAAGTAACAGCTAGAAAAAGAAGCTTGTACTTGTGTGTATGTATATATATATATATATATATATATATATATCCAACTGTAAGGATCAACACACAGCCAACACAGAAATCAAGTCAGGTGTCATTTTGCTACACAAGGAAGTGGCAATGATGACAGCAAGGTACATGCAGCTGAACTATCTACACAAAATTTCTGTCCCCTAAAATATAAAGGGTTACAGATTGGGTGCACTAAATTCAGAAGGGTTGGGGGACTTAACTGTTTGGAAAACACTACTCTAAAGGACAGGGGCTACTGTAATGTTTGTAGTCTATCTTTGCCATGTGTCATAGAAATCAAAGATCTCAACATTTTCCTAAGATGCCCACTGCTCCAATAAATGAGCCTTATTGGCCAACAAGGCTTTTTGACAACAAGCCTGTTAAGATACTCAGTTGATTAGCTAAATCTTACATTTTGCTTGTTTTTATTGCCAGTCAAGCTTTAAGTGATCATTATTGTAATACTTCGGCATTCATGTATTGTGATTTTAAGTTTTAGTGTACTGATGTCTTGTGTCCTGCACTGAGATTTTACAAATATCATTAGCATTTTTAGCTCTTGATTCCTCTTGCTAAAGGAGTTAATAAAGGTTTATAAGAACCATTTCTAATGTACTGTGTAATCCTAAGCATTACTAGAATAGTTGCATCAGAGCTAGTCACGCTGCAAAATATTACTGTGTTGCAGGGGGTTAGAATAGATGGCTCTTGAGGTCCCTTTCAACTCTACAATTCTATGATTTATCTAATGCATTAGATAAATCATAGAATTGTAGAGTTGGAAGGGACCTCATCTTTTCAAAGCAGAGAATCTTGAATTTGGGCTATTAAAATGCTCTTCTTGTACTATGCATACACAAAGGAAACACTGAATATACCTTATCTATTTATGAATGAACTATATTGCTCTGAAGTGCTGCTTCATTCACTTTGTTAATTTGACAGCTGATGCCATCAGTACAACCACCAGCTGTACAAATCCAAATTATTTCATATCCACCTACCTGCTTTCCAATGTGGTTTTATACCGCGTTTCCCACCACTTCTTTTTTGGGGCCCAATTGTCATACTATTGCACAATGAATTATGTACATAAGCATTGCCAAGCCATTTTTTATTATTATTTTGCAGGTTCTAGCGTTACCATATTCAAAACAGGTTCCTTGGATTCTAAATCAAACTATTTTGCCCATTTGTCATAAAGATGTAGTCAAACCTCTGGAAGTCTCAGAAAGTAGATCACATTTACTCTTTTAATTTAAAAGTGGAAGTTCAATCATTAATGTCCAGTGATCAAACGTGGTATTAGCAGTGCCAAGCCAAATCAAATTCAAATGTTACCCACCCCTCAGCTAGGCCCACTCCTCTACAAAATCCTGCTGCACAAATTTAATTTTTCATCCGTGTTCCCTTCCCTATCTGAAGCTGGTAGAAGTACCATACTGCATGGCAGGCATGACCCCGAACATCAAGTTATAACAGTAAATTCAATACATCAGAGTTAATTTTGTTTATTATTTCACAGAATGCCTCAATTCTGAGAACACAAATGCTAGATGTTCAGCTGTGCAAACAGTACATAGTGCTTAAGTACAAGTGGAAAAACATGATTTGTTAAATGAATACTTCTCAAAACATGATTTTATGGTCCTCTAAGATAGGACTTGAAACTTCAGGCTGCTCTTCAGTGAAGTTCAGCTGCCTTGGACCCAGAACTGCTAGCACTACGATTATCACCAAAAATAGACAAACTCAGTAAGCTGAGTTGTCTGTTTCAATGCCGGAATAATGGTATCTCAAAGTGTTATCAGTTCACTGAAGGCAGTTTCTAGCCCTACTTAAACACAATCTGGCCCCGATAAATAAGACTCCACACAGGAATTTTTCAAAGATCAATGGTCCATAATGGCAAGTTATTCTACATGATCTGTCAATTTAACTTACAATTCTAGTAAGGGATTTTTTAGATGACTTTCTTGAACTCATCATACAACACAAGCACAAAAGCACCACCCATGCCTCGAAGAACATTAGACCATGCACCCTTGAAGAAAGCCTTTCCACCTTCATCTCTTGCAATCTTCTTCCAACAGTCAATTGTTCCAGAGTACATGATGTCAGCTGTAGGAAAAAAAAGTTTATTATTTGAAGCATTTATTCTGTGAACTACCCTGAGATCTTTTGATGAAGGGTAGTATATAAATTTAATAAATAAAAAGTTTCAAGGACACCAGGGCTATCATGTTAATTTCTGTCCAGAGAAATGTAAAAGCAGTACTGAGCTAACACATTGTAGAACTTATGCACAGAAAGTTGTTCTTCAAATATTACTCTGAAACTAGATAATATACTGCTTTTATTGCGGGTGGGTGTAGGGTAGAAGAAGGATCCCAGTTATTACTAAGCCGATTTTACAATGCTTATATGAGGACAGTCTCATCCTGTGAACCCAGAAGAACTAAATTACAATGAGTATTAACAGGAGTTAAATATTAACTACTTGTGTAGAATTAATGTGAAGTCTATATATATGGTGTCTGAAGCACAAGCTTAGTAAAAAAGAAACAAATTTGAGACACAGGGCCAGATTCACCTAACCTAGGGTGCTAGTGGAAACCAGAGCAATCACTTCCACTAGCGCAGTGGGGCCTTCCCCCTCTCTCTTCCCCCTGCACCTCTCCCAAATCAGCTCTAGGGGGTTGAACCCCCAGAACAGCACAATCAAGAGTGTGTGGTATTGCATTCTGCCCACCACAAAAGTACTTACATCTGCCACCAAAAATAATTAAAAGCCACATAGCCCATAAACATTACTTATTACTGTTAAAGTCTTGGCAGGACTACTGGCAGAAAGATGGAGTTCTGACCTTCTTACAGCAACCCAGTGATTTCAATGTTGGAAATGAAGAGATCTAGCACTCTGCTCTCTCCTCTGTTAGCCTGCTCACTAGGTTTGCATTCAATTTCAAGCAAACATCTGCATGAAATTCCTTGCAGCACAAGACTATCAGGCTGATGCTTAATGTAAAATTGGCTTATTTTTATGTGCTGCTTACCTGCTTTACGTCCAGACTGCATCATCATTCGACGTCGCACTGTATCAAATGGATAGGAAACCACACCAGCTACTGCAGTCACTGATTGTGCAATCATCCAGCTTATAAAAATGTGAGTGTTTCTAGGATCTGGGAGCATACCTATAATGAAAAAACAGAACTTCTGCATCATTTTGAAAACTGAAGAAAGGATCTGTTTACCATTACACAACATTTGAATACGTATTTTGGGGCACTTTATGGTGTATCATGAAATAATGCTCAACTGTTAAATTTTGCCTTCCTGGTTAATATAGAAGATCATATTACAGGCAGCTCTGTTTACCTCTGTTTTATGATTCAGCCATTGACACACAACTGATGGTGCCTTTTCTCAATATCTAGTTACTAGAGAAGGTGTATAATCCCTTGTGACTAACACTGCAGCTAGTATGTGTGGTCAAATCTGAAGTCCTAGTCTGCTTGTGTCCAAATGGACAGTAACCTCTTTTACTCAGGGAGTGAATCCATATAGGGGAATTCACTGACTGCTAGTTATGACCTACATTTTAATGTTTTGCTATTTTTTTAACTCCACCTCCGATCAGGCAACCTCAGTTCTTTTAGTGAAGTCTTGTTATGTTTTTAAAATATACTCCTCCATGTCATCTCTTTGGTAGACAGTGAGATATGCGATACTGGAAAGATACTCCATTCAGGTGTCAACACTTTTTTAATTAACAAAAATCCAGAACATCTAAATACAGAATCACTGCTAAAATCCATCTCAATAATATGAGCTTTGGGATTACGGCAGTTAAATTTAAGCTCTAGTCCTCTGCCCTAAATGAACAGCCTTGGGTAACTTACATACTTGGTTACAGTTAAAATTATAGGAGCAGTTAATGTAACCACTTTAGCTTTTACAACTTTCCCTTTAGTATAAGTAACATTTCAACCCCTGGCCTTTGATCTTTTTCCTCCTAGTCTCTTTCATAACCCTCTTCAACCGTGACTGCCCAGGGTTCTACTCCCTGCATTCCAATAGAGGTTTCCATAATTGAGTACAGAACCAAATAGTGACACACAACCTAATGCCTATTTAAAGCCAGTTCATTTTGTCAAACTGATTCACATGGAGTTTTCTTCCCTAGATAATCTGTGTGGCTTTGTAAACCAACACTTTCTGTGGTTTAGCTCCCTCCCCCCACCTCTATGTGGATAGTATAGCAAATGAGTCTATCAGTTTTACTTGTGCTACTAGGCACATCTCAATAGTTACATGGTGCTATTCAAAAACACCCGGCATGTTGCTTGTCAGTATCAGCCTGACCATCACATTTACCTTTTGCTGTGTCATAGATCCCAAAGTAGGCAGCTCTATAGATGATTATTCCCTGGACAGAGACATTGAACCCTTGATATAAGCCCCGCAGACCATCAGACCTGAAGATTTTGACTAGACAGTCCCCCAGGCCTTTGAATTCTCTTTCAGCGCCAGCTTTTCCAACATCAGCAGCCAGTCGGGTTCTTGCAAAATCCAAGGGATAGACAAAGCAGAGGGAGGTTGCTCCAGCTGCACCACCAGAGGCCAGGTTACCAGCAAAATATCTCCAGAACTGTGTGTGCTTGTCTACTCCGCCTAAGAATACTTGCTTATACTTATCCTTGAAGGCAAAGTTGAGCGCCTGAGTTGGGAAATATCTGATGACATTGGCAAAATTCCCACGCCAAAAGGACAGCATTCCTTGCTCTTTAGGAATGCGGACAACACAATCAATGATTCCTTTGTACTGCTTATCAGCAGCAATCTGTTGACTTGCATGTTGTACCTGCAAGAAAAAGATGTTCACAGTTACTCTAAATGAGAAATTGTATGGTTCCAAATAAGCTTTATTCTTTCAGGTTCAGTCTGAAGTATACATTTCAAATATCTGAAGTCACAATGGGAACTAGAGAAAATGGGATAGAATAATTTAATCCAATTAAGTCATTAAAGGAACAAAACTGACTTTCTACTCAAACTATGCTTTAGTATAGTGACATCAGTACTTTGGAACACCATTCCTATTGAAATCAGATAGACACCTACAATTCTGGCTATGTTGTCATTGCTGAAAATATTTGTTTCAACAAGTGTTTCCAGAAAATTGATTTAATTCAGTGCTGGTTATTAGTTCTCTAATGATTTTAAGTTCCCCTCATATTTTCTATGAATTGGCAGTTTAGAAATGCTCTTATTAGCTCACTATGTAGTTAATCTTCCAATGAGTCTTGTTAAAGCCACAAGTAGACTGTGAAAATATCAGCTTACTGTAAAAATTAAACTTATGAGCAGGGATATAGCTATTGCAACTTAATTTCTAAAGGAAGTTAAACCAGTAGAACTACAGCCATTCCTCATTGCTGTGGGATTTTCATTTAAATAAATATGTTTATATTTCTAAACTAAGGAATTAGTGCCCTTTTGCTTCCATGTAGAAACACTCATAAAACTGACAGCTTTGGTTAACATTTTGTACATCAGAGGTAGAGAATCTTTAGTCTGGTAGGCCAGATCCTTAACTCTCCCCACTTGTGGGTCAATTTTGTGTGGTTCAACCCCATTGTCAATCATCTAACATCATAATGGTTCCCATGTGTCTCTGAGTACCAGCTGGTTGAGTGCTTAGGAATCTCTGTATAATGGAGGAATTCCAGGCACTGCTAACTGGCAGAGCCTACAAAGCCCAATTTGGCAAATCCCCACCTTTAACTTCCCCACACCTGACATCAGATGCACAGCAGGTGGGTATAGCTTGCCCCAAAACAGCTTTGTGGGCCAAATGGGGACGTGTGGAAGGCGGAAGGTTTTCCATCCCTGCTGTATGCAGTTACCAAGGAACTCAATGGGGTCGACTTTTTAAAACAAATGTGCATAGGATTGTACTGCTCATCACAGGTTCTGAAGCTACCAAAGAACATTCTCTTCCGCCTTGTCCTTTTGTGGTTTTTGCCCATACTTGTAGCGTACACTGTAGATGCAGGACACACCTTATACCAGTGGCATAGCGGTTAAAGTGTCAGACAAGGACCTGAAGACCAGACTTCAACTCCTCACTCTGCTAGGAAGTTGACTAGGTGACCTTGGGGCCAGTTACTGCCTCTTAGCCTAACCTACCTCACAGGGTTGTTTCTGGACATTAAATGAGAATAAGGAGAGACATTTAGGCGACCTTGAGCTCTTTTGCGGGGGGGGGGGTTGAAAGTGGGATATAAATGCAATAAATAGAAAAAATAAAGTCAGCCACTGAGTCATCTGTCTACAACGTGACTCTCTGGGATTTCGGGCAATGCCGAGGTTTAGCATTAAATTCATGCCCTTCTTCGTGCCAGCCGGATGCTCTGGACGGCCCCTTCCCGTCCAGAATATATCCTCCCCATTTAAAAGGAGAAAGTTATGCCCTTTGGATGTACATGGCGGAACTAGTCTGGAAAAGGTCGCGCTCTATGTGTCCCTGTGCAGCGCGAGGCCTCCTCTGCCTGTCCGCATAGGGAGTCTCACAGCCCGCCCCGCCTCAGTCACGCATCCCCCCGGCTGCGACCCGAGGGGAGGGGCTTGGGCTTAGGCCCCACTGCAGCACAGGCGGCGGTGACCTCGCGCGCTCCGCAGGGGTCACCCGCCGAAGCCTCGCGATACGGGAGCAAGGGCGGAGGCGGGAGGCCGGCTGCATCCAATCGGCGCAGACGCCCTACGCCGCCGTCGCACCAATCAACGACACGTCCCCGCAGAAGATGGCTGCGGCAGCTTCCTTCGACCTCTCAGTGCGTTCCCGCCCTCTACATCTTAAGTACACCGCTACACAAAAAGGGGGGGGGGGCATAGGGAAAGAAGCGGGCGCGTGAGGAGAGAACCCTTTCATCTGCGCGTTGGGGGGGGGGGGAGAGGAGGGGAGCAGTGCCGCGCGCATTCAAACTGCCGCCAACGAACTTTCTACAGCGGAACCGGCCTAACGGCAGCCATGCGCGCGCGCGCACACAGACTCACGCGGGGCGGGCGCCTCTCTTGTCCTTGCCGCAGCCGTCGTCACGGGCAGCCTTTCGAGGGCATAAGTAGTTCCTCACAAACGTACACACATGAATGCGTATTAAAATAAAATAAAAAAGAAACCGCGCAGTGGGGGGTCCGGGCCGCGCACCCCAAACGCCTCATTCCCGGCCCTGCCCCCTCTTTCAGACCCCCCCGTCCCACAAATGAAAGCGCCCCGCGAGGAGGCCTGACCTGAAGCAGCAGCTTGACCCGCTCGATGGGCGCCACGGCCGTCTTGCTGATGGCTGCCGCCACGCCGCCTGCCAGGAAGTCCTTGGCGAAGGAGAGGGCCTGGTCTGCCATGGTGGTGGTGGTGGTGCTTGGTAGCGGCGAGTGTGCGGGGCAAGGGGCTGCGAGGCGAGAGACCACGGGCGCTGTCGCAACTCAGGCCGCCGAAAAGGGAAGGGCCAGCCCGGCTCCTGAGCTAAATGGCCGGCTCAGGAGGCTCCGCCCGCCGGGCTCCATTGGCGGGGCAGCCGCAAGGAGGAGGGATCCGCGGCTTCGCAGACGCCGGTGGAGGAAGAGGCGGCTTCCTGACGCGCTTCCTTTGCCCAGGAAACCCGCCCATGAAGAGCTGTTGAGTGAATTTATTATTATCATTATTCTTTATTAAATTGGAATGGCGGGCCCTGGTGGGTGTTATGACTGGGCTGCAGTCCTCGTCGGAGCTATATCCCCGTTGTGGCTCGAGGGGGAGTTGCAGCGGACGTACTCCCGTGTAAAGTGCACGTGTGAGCGCTCCAAGTGCTTTGCTGCCGGGGGCGGGGAGGGGCGGAAGCGCGGACTGCATGGGCCGTTGTGTCAGTGAGTTGGCACGAAGTCAGGCCCGGCTCATGTTGACTCGGGCCTGATCCCCGCTATGCCCCGAGGTTGCAGCACCAAATTCAAGATGTCAATCCCATTGAACTCGCCGGGACTTAGTGTACCCGATGTGCGTTGGGTCGGGAAAAGATTCCGCACTGGGCTTGCTGTGCCAGCAATTCACCCAGTTGGTTATCGTGGGTTATTTTATCAGGACTCTTTTAACCTGGATTGGAGGTAACTTCATCCTGTGGCCTAAACGAGCAAAGTTGAAATGGGTTCTAAACGCATTGAAGAAAAGCACTCTGAAATCCCTAATGTTAGTAGACTCCGTTGTGCATGACAGTTTGGCGGTTTAATTGCTTTGTAGAGTCTATCCGTATATTACATCCGTTTTAGATTATGGTCCCATACTATTAATATTACACTGCAAACAGTGCTGAGGCCTGACAGCTTCTGTTTCAACAGGACATGACAGGGAAGGGTAGAAAGATTACAGTGTTATCACTTATGAAACACTGCACTTTCATATATAATTGTTGCAAGTCCTTGGATATTTCCCTTTTGTATGTAATGTTTCCTTATATATTCCAGAGGACCAGCCTGTTAGTCTGTAGCAGCCAAAACAAAGGAGTCTGGAGGCACAGCTAGAAGACTAATAGATTTATTGTCATGGCATGCATCTTTGTAGACTTTAAGATGCGGCAGGACTTTGTTTTTACATATTAAAATATGTACACATTCACATTGACAGTTACTGCTTTACTGAGCTGTGATTTCCACCCCGCCCCACAAGCTGGGATGGTTCAAAGTTTCATGTAATGTTAGATTCTCCTTTACGATTTTTAATTAAGCACATGTACTTTATCTTCATCAGCAGATGGGCTTGGCTTAAGCTTTATCATTTTCACTTGTTAGCTTGCTTTCACAAATTTTTGTAAAACCCTTATTTATTCAGAAGTACCATTGGTTTTATGGGACTTCATAACTAGAAAATAATACAGGATTTCAGCCAAACTACTAAACAACCTTTTTATTTGAAAGCTGCAGTTACCAAGAAAAAGTCTCATTTAACTCAATGGACCTTCTGAGTAAACTTGCCTAGGTAAAAACAATATATCAAAAACTGTTGATTTGTTGAGACTATGAATTGATACTTTGACTGTTACTTAGCACTAACAGTGAAATGATTAAGTGATTTCAAAAGAAGGAGGAAATTTAAAAATAGGCTAATTGTAAACAATGATACTTCATAGTTTCACTAATTTCATAGTGCTTTTCAAAGAATGAAAGTGACTCCTTTTGTATTAATAGTAAAAATATCAGGAGGCTTGTTTTTTATTTCAGAAATGATTATGCAAATATATGGTAATAAATCATTTTTGGAACTTAAATTGTTAACACACTGATTGGGAAATTTCATTTTAGATATCTTTGAACAATCTTAAAAGGAATAAGAACTAAATTTTTGACAAATAGATTAAACAAACAAGTACCACCAAACATTCTGGATATATAAGTTGCATGTGGAACATGAGGGCACACAGAGAGGAAACACAATGTAAAAAACAAAACAAAAAACCTTTCAGGAGAAATTTTCTATGGTTGAAATGCAAATTAAATTGTTACAATATAAAGTGTTCCTTGTCTGATTCATCAGGGAGACCTTTGCTCTGCACATTGCATGTTGTATGAAGGAACTTTGCTAATGCTTTGTATTTATGGTTTCAAGATTAGCTCAAGAAAATAAAAATCTGTAACTCACCTGCTGATAGTCTTTGGAAAGTTACTATAGTGAGCTTTGAGTAGCTCTCTTCCCTCCTTTTATCTGATGAGAGGAGATAGTATTCTGAACGATTGTATAGCATGGTTCAGGGGGTGAACCAGAGGTCAAAGAGAAAACTTGCATGCCTCCCCTAAAAAACCCCAGTCCAGTCAATTTTAGCAAAGTAAACTGTGTATATAATCATATTTTGAAACCCACAAAACAATAGAACTAGCCACAAATTGTTTTGGCAGATCTAGAAAGCAATTTATACCTATTGTTTTAAATAAAAACGGTCATTTCTCTATACAGCTTCCTAGGACAGAGAACTGGGAAGGAATACTGCGCTGAGAACATTTGATTGAATTCATTTCAAGTTCTCTGAAAAGACATTTTTTAAAAAATCAAAGAGATATGTATTCATGTTTTTTATTGAAGTGTTATTTAACTAAATTATTCTGGATCAGAGAGGAGGGCCTCATCACCCACCTCCATCTACACATTTTGATGTCATTACTGAAATGGAGTGGGATATTTTATGGTATGAAGTTTTATTCCATGCTGACCCACTCCAAATATGGATGTAGTTTCTCTTACATGCCCACTGAACCTAGCAAGAATGTTCACAGAGAACTGCTAAGTCACTTATACCTGTTCAGTTTGGGTCCCTAGCTGTTGCTGGACTACAACTCCCATCATACTTGACCATTGGTCCAGCTAGCAAGGGATGGTGGGAGTTGTAGTCCAACAACAACTGGGGAGCCCAAGTTTGAGAAACACTGCACTAGTGAAACATTGCTGTATAAGAGAATGTGTGATCTGGTTGTTGGCAACTTTGTTGCACAATAGATTTCACAATCTGTTGGGGAACAAGTTTCTGCTAGTGCTACTGTTTCATTGGATTCTTCTTCTGTGCCACATTTAACCTTGCACAGACAGACAATATCTGATACAGCCCTGAATGAACACCTATCCCTTTCAAAAACTGCTGTACAGATTGCATGAGAAACTACATAGTAGTCCCGCTGAAGTTAGTGGAACTGTAGCTTTATGCACAGTTTGTTCTCTCTTGTTTCCTTGATGTTTCCTGAGTTTTAAAGAGTGGTTGCAAGGGGCACGTGGTAAGAAAAAATAAGCATTGATTTGAAACTAAATTGCCATCAATTATATAAAGGGGCAAGCAATGCATTTCCCAGATAGGGGAAAAAATAGGTCACCGGATTTTCTTAGTACTGTTTTCATCAACAAAATAGGACAAGCTTTTATGCATAGTTCAAACTGTAACATGACAACCATTAGTGCAACCCCAAAACAGAAACATCTATACTAATTCCAGCTGATGGTGACAGTAAATCAAATTACTTGCTCCATCTAATTTAATGGGTAGATGTTTTCTTAAAACACAAAATTGCATCTAGCAGGTTTCCTGTTATCTTAATCTGAACATTGGTGAATCCGTGTTTCTCCAATAACTGTTTATATTCCAAGCCAGTTCTTTGCTTGCCTTCCGTCATACTAAGGGACTGCAGGACAGCTCTAGCAGGGCTTGTTCGTTTCTCTTCAAGCACAATTTCTGCTACCAGCAAAGCACTGCCTGCATTTAAAGGAAAGAAAGACAGCAACGACACCGTTTAGTTACAAATTTCTAACTTCAAGTTAGCATTTTGTCTTCTCTTGCTCTACAGGAAGGTTTTTAATTTATTTTATTAAGAGTCAGGAGATTCGTATCTTTTCCTAAAGTTGCTCTATCTGACTAGAGGTGTTTGTACAGCTAAACTAGAAATGTGCCGTTTGAACTAAAAAGAGCAACTGCTGCAGGAAAGAGTCTCACCAGGACTGGGATTGCTTCATGTATGTATGTGTGTGTGTGTAGGGAATTCAACCCTTTCCCCTGCGCCAATAGCAGCTTCATCCCACTCCTCAATTTTTACCTGGACCCCTAGTGTGGGAAAATCCTGATTCCCTACAGCTGTTTAATTGTTGTGGGCAGCGGGGGTGGGGGGGTGGGGGGGAGGGGATGTGCTTACAATTTACATTCCTCAAAATTTACATTGCTATCTGAAGTGCTGTAGGCACTTTGAAGGTACGCATCACTGTCTTTGGTGATGACACAGACCCTAACTTTTTTCTTTTACATGAAAATTTAGTTTTAAATATATTGTTCTTGATTCAAGAGACCGACTGCTTTGTAATGTAACACTCCAGTGCCTTTAACGTTGAAATTAAAAATAATAAAGTGCCAGCGATATAAGGCTTCATTATCACATTCATTCCTTCATTCACCACACTGTGGTAGGGCAGTAAAAACCTGCTTTAGTTACTGACTGTACTTGTCTCCTATCCAGCTCTGGAGTCTACATCACCATGTCTAGATATACTTCCCCCCCCCCTATTTTTTTTAGGTGGGGGAGAAAGCAAGTGATCTCCCTGCATTGTAACCACTCCACTTTTTCTTTTTCGTTTTTTGAGAAGACAAAATATGCAACGCACAAAGTTAGGTGTGTTTAACAGAAGTCCTACTGGTTTCATTTGCAGATAAGTGTGCACAGGACTGCAACTTAAGATATGTCAAGGATGTACTTTAAAACCATTCTGTGAAGCTCTAATCAAAACTGCCATTAGAAGGATGTTAATAGTTCTTAAGAGCTAATATTCAACTTTTACATGTTTGCAATTGTCCTTTGATACACTACTTACTGCAATTTTACAGTGAAAAGGACAATTCTCCCCAGAGCCTCTGTGTGAAGTTAAACATTATAGGGGGAAACACAGACAAGAGGTGGCACGTGTATTAGCAACCTTACACTCTCTTGTAATATTTAATTTTGCACAGTCTTTGGGGAAATGACGATTTTCACTAGTATTTAATATATTTTTAATCTTTGTTGGAAGCTGCCCAGAGTGGCTGGGGAAACCCAGCCAGATGGGCAGGGTACAAATAATAAATTATTATTATTATTATTATTATTATTATTATTATTATTAAGTGCTAAAATAAACTTATTTCATGATATACTAATAGAAAGGAAAAGGGGAAAGAGCAGTCAAATCTTACCTGGCTTGCAAACAGCATATATTTTGCTAAAGAGCGTGGAAATCTTCTCCTCTGAACAGTCATGTAGAACTCGCGAAAGTATATAAAGATCTCCTTTTGGAAGATCATCTTTGAAAAAGTCACCTGTTTGAAAAAATGCATTTTCATTAGTTCTGAAACGAATGAACAAATCCTCATCTCAGCAGCCTTATATACACATCAATATCCCAAATATCAAGTCAGTTTTTGAAACAGATCTAACAGTCATGTTCATTAATTTTAGTGGACCTACTGTAAGTTAAACTTGGTTGAATATCACCCTATATGTTATAAGCAGCCCTTTAACACTAATGTTCATCACATATATTCTTTACCAATAATACCTTCACAAGAAACTGAGTATTCAAGGAAGCAAAGATGACTCAACATACAAACTGCCTTGTGATAAGCCTCATTTGTATCCACATATGCCAAGATTCTATACACACTGTACCTAAGAGGTATGTTTACCTGACATGAAGGAAACCTGAGCTGGGTTTTGTCTTGAAGGCTGACAGCTGGAGACACTCGTGATGATTTCTGGAAGGTCAAATACCGTGACACTCATCTCTGGGTAGATATGGACCAGCTCATAAGCTAAAGCTCCAGTGCAACCTAAAGAGAGCAAAATATTATCACAATAGCTCCTGTATTTAGTTCCTCATTTAGTTAAAACTTACTTCTGATGATATTAGCACTCAGTGCTTACCCAGCAGTAGCTATTAAAATCTGCCTAATTATAAAACTTGCAAGATGCTTTCACATACCAGTATTTTCTTTTAGAAGTGAGAAAATGCATTTAAGCTGGTTGTATGGATCATAACATCCTCAACCACTGAGATTTGCTTATACAGTGGTACCTCGGGTTAAGTACTTAATTTGTTCCAGAGGTCTGTACTTAACCTGAAACTGTTCTTAACCTGAAGCACCACTTTAGCTAATGGCGCCTCCTGCTGCTGCCGCGCCACCGGAGCCCAATTTCTGTTCTTATCCTGAAGCAAAGTTCTTAACCTGAAGCACTATTTCTGGGTTAGCGGAGTGTGTAACCTGAAGCGTATGTAACTCGAGATACCATTGTAGTGGTTGTCAGGCTCTAAGATTTTCCAAGAAAGATCTTGACCACTCTCTCAGAAAACAAAAAATGTACTCCCAACACTGAGCTGTTCCAAACTGCTATGAACTTGCTGTTAATTCTAGAAAGTAATAACTGCATTTCCATCTCAGTAGCTTCATATGTACTTTGATATTCCACCATTAAGTCTGCATTTAAAATTTACCTAAGTGAACCATGAACAGGCTTAACTACACCCACAAGAAAACAAAGAGAGTTTTCTTATCTATTCCACGGATTCTCTTTGAAGTTCAACGCTTATAATAGGACCAAAGTTATAAGGAAGGATACCCAAGAGGAAACAAATAACAGAGAATTACATATTCAATGACAACAGGAATTATAATGAAATTTTCATGCACCCAGATGTTCGAATGCCTACCTCCCAAATCACACGCAGCTCTGAACTGTGAAAGGTCAAAAGCCACGGCTACATCTCTTGCTGTTAGTTTGGAAATGCTGTGCATGGCACTCATAAAACGTTGCTTTGCCTCTGTAGTTTGGCAACAGAAATCCTTAAAAACAGATCAGACCAAAGTTTCTAGACTCATTCAAAAGAATTAGGATATAAACAGAACATATGCAGAGGTATTAAAAAACACACCTTGAAAACTACCTGCTTTTTCATCCTAAAAAAGAAATAGCCATAGCCACACCACACAAAAGAGAAATGTCATATTTATTTTTATTAATCTTAATATGACAACAAAAGTGAGTTTCCTTCACAATTTAAGAGTGATAATTCAAACATTTCAGATTATTATGAAGACAATGTCAATAGAAAGCAGAACAGAAAGTCTACTCTCTGGATCATGTCAGAAAACAGTGTTCACGAAATTCACTATATATAACATTAGGATTGCCTTACACAACTATTTGCTGCTGCTGATAATTTACTATGATGTAAATAAAATTTTTGTTGGTAATTATAATAAAATTCATTTGGAAAAAGTAAGAATGAGCCCAGAGTGTTTCTGGAATTCCTATGGTTTTGAATGATCTTCCATTTAAAACTTCCTTCCACACCTAAGAACTAGATGACAGGGAGAAGAAGATCTCCTTAACATGTCTGTGTACTATAAACACAGGTGGTTTGTTTTCTGTTATACAGGAGGGGACATTCTACCATGTGATGGGCAGAAGTGGTACAGCCCAACAAAGTTTCCCACCTCAGTAAGAACTAAGCTAGGACTCCACTTCATTGCCCAAGCACTCCAAATAACTGATGGAGGGAAATAGTTTGCAGATCATAGTAATTTTAGGATCTGACACTGAATTCTTGATTTTAGCTTGTATTCAGAGTCAGGTATTTTTCTCAATTTAACTACTACAGTGGTTTACACAAAGCATTTATTTGTCCACTGCTTAAACCTTACCAGCATAGGACTTTGGGGTTATTTTTTGGCAGTTTTCTATTAATAGATAGATAGAAACTTTACTTGCATTAGCAAACTAACATATACCAGCCTTTATGGTACTATACTGGGTGTGTGTGTGTGTGTGAAGAGCCCATTTGATGGCTGCCAGTATTAAAATGTGTAGCAATATAATCTAATAATATATATATATATATATATATATATATATATATATATATATATACACACATACATACACACACACTTTGGTTAACTCTGAATATTTTGTGTAATTGGTCTGTAGACTGTATCCAATTTGTGTGCCTCCTCTGACAGAAAGCTATTTAATTCAGTAGTCTTTTGTAGGTGAAATGGGTTAAGGTGATCTTCAAAGATCCGCCATTCCTGCTACAGTTCCCTGCACATGCCCTGAGCATCAGCTCTGGAGGTTTGGGAGAGCATACACCAGGGCAGGTGGTGAGGAGAGCTGAATGGGAAGAGGGACTTGACAAAAATTGCCACCTTCCCTTTTCTTCTTATGGATAGCTCTGTTGGCTCAAAGAAATTTTCCATCACAACAAGCACCCCAGTTGCATTATAGGCACCCAGCTCTTCAAAAAATGAATTCCTGAGCATACTGTGGCAGCTCACAATCAAAAAATGAAAGTTAAACTTGCCCAGTAGTGACCATCTCCAAAGCATGTAATGTTTTAAACCAAAGCTGTATATAAAGAATGCATGGATTCTATACTACCTGAATACAATCTTCTGCTTTCTTCTCAAATATTTGGTTCAGCGCAGTCCCCTCTTTGACTGCCAACTCCAAATGTTTATACAGAGGCCATGTGTGGTCATTACAGTAGAGAACGTAGTCATGAAGTGAACATTCGCCATCTGATGCTAGATATAAATTTGCCATATCTGTATTGCTGTAACCTTTGAAGACAGAGAATTTTGCAAGATCTGTATTATTTTTCCTCAGTGTCTCTTTTTTCCATTCATTAAGCTAAACCTAACCAGCTGCAAGGGTTTCACAGCTCAGTTGATTTCCACAGATCGGCACAGCTCAGTAAAGAATTTAATTAAACCCAATATTATAATTGCTTCTTATAATCAGTTTGCACATTTCCTTGCCACTGAAAGATGCAATGTGATGTTAAGAAAACGACACTGCAGCCCTAAAAATGCATTGTTTTCAAATGACAAAGTTCAACCTGAGTGCAGTAGTGTGCAAGTGGAAGCATGGGAAGTGTCCCAGGGACAGACAGGCACTTCTACCCACAGGACATACTCACACTGACCAAAGTGTTAGTCCAAAATATTTTGAGCACTGGGGTAGGAAATACAACCCCTTAAAAATAAAAAAGGGAGTCGCAGACACCAGAATAGTTTGGCCTTAAGTGTTGCTTTTTCTAAGGCTGTGCTACGTTAATCAGGAAATCATATTTGACTCATTTCTCTAGACACACTTTTTTGTTCTTCTCCGTTACATATGCCCATAGTCTAGCCAACAATCCAATTGCATTAAGGTCCTGCTACAAGTTCCTTTTCTTTCCGCACCCCCAAATGTTTTAGAGAAGAAGGCTCACCTAGATGGTTCTTGTCCAATAGGCCAAGAGAAGTACAGGCATCAAGTAATCTTTCTGTGCCACACATCGAGGTTTTAAGTTTATTAGCAGCTTCCATAGCTGTCAAGGTGCCCTTATCTTTCAGAATATCAAATACTTTCAGCTTAGATGCCACAAACAAAGCCTGCGGACATGAAATATACATTGGTTACTAAAAGAAAAAATAATCAAGGCAATCCATAAGCTACTAAGTCACATCAATGCCTGGGTTAGCTGCTCCAGCCCCACTTTGGGCTACACTATTTTGGATGGAAGTTCAGCTGCTGAAATTTGTTACTGATCACGACATCCAAGAGATTATGGGAGACAAACAGTAGTCACTTGAAAACCAGAATATGTGGAACTGTTTACTGATTTTTCTTTCACTGTCACTTCTGTCAGTTCGTTCTGGTTATCTATCAAAATACAAGCCACGGTAAGGATATTACAGAGGAAATGATGGTTGCTAGACTTGGCTGAAACAGACACCTGTTCACAAGACTTCATGGCCGCTTAACGTTTTTAATGCTGAATTTTAATCTAAAAATGTACCTTGCTGAATACTAAGGGTATCCAAAAAAATGTGTAGTTGCCAAGCATTCACAACAGAAGAATCTAGATATATTTTTAAAGAGAAACAAGAGGTCTATAAAGGGATTTTTAACTATGAAGCAGTTGTGAGTGAGTCAGTAGAGGCCAATTGGTTTTTCATTCTGTACCAAAGCTGCCTGGTATAACTAGGTCAGACAATTTTTTTCTATCTGTCCAGAATTGTCTATTCTGATTGGCAGGGGCTCAGGACTTCAGGCAAAAGTCTTTCACATCACCTTCCATCTGATTCTGGATAAGCAGGGGATTGAATCTGAGACTTGCAGCAATAGACTTGGGCAATATATGATGGTTTGCCCAACAACCAAGCGGAGAGAAGTGATAATTTCAACTTTTTCTTAAAAATTAATGACCAGCTTCAATTTACCTCACTGCAGTTCCAGGTCGGATAGGAGAATGGAGAAGAGAGAAGAGAGCCCACACTGGGTATAGCAATGATGAGTTAGGGCACTGAGTCTATGTCGTGTCAACAGCCACCTCCCATTTGCAGCAACAGATGGAGAGTTTTGTAGTGGTATTTACAAACATCTCAGGCTGCTTTCAGATCTTCACAAAAGATCTCTTATTTACCCTTGACCAAGTATTTGAGCCACTAAGAAATGTAAGAACCAGCATATAAAGAACTGCAACTGTAAACACACTCTTGTTCACCAAAAATTCATTGTATCCTAATGGACAAACCTGTACAAACAGAATAAAACCTGTTGATTTCAAGGTCTCTGGAGCTCAGGTTATTGTCATTAAAATGCAGGCACATTCCCCAAGCCCACAGGTGCCACATTCCATAAAATTAACAAAAACTTTTTTTACAGATCTATATACAAAAGAACGAAAGATGGGTTACCTTTGATGCTCTGAAGCCATCCAGAAGGTGAGTGAGTTTAGCTGGGAACTGCGTTGCATTTTCTATTACACCATTCTGACTTTCCACAGGTGTGTTGCAAGAATGACTGCTCTTTATGCACTTTTCCAGGCTGTGGGGGACTCCACCGCCGTTTCGCTTCTTAGCACCTTCAAACTGTGTGTGGTTATCTGAAGAGTCACATTCCCCATCACTTAGAATCTCAAAAGTCTCTACTGAAGGGATAGAGTCATGCTTTATGTGATGGATAGTGTGCTTTGGGGGTGGATAATATAATTCTGCTAACTTTTTGCAGAAGCGATTCAAAGGAAACCCCACCACGTTCAAGAAGTCTCCGTGAACATATTCCACTAACATTCCCCCAAGTGCCTGGATCCCATAGCCTCCAGCTTTGTCCCTAGAGAGAAAGTTAAAAAAAATAAATTGAAGCAGCACTTGGATGGAAAAGGATTGGATATCTTAGTTTCACCTAGACATTATTCTGCATTACGTATTTCAAAAGCTAAACATTTTGTCCAGGATCTGAAAATATAGAGAACCAAATAAAGAGTTTATGCTCAGTGGATTTTTTGTCTTGTATTTTCATTGTGAAGTTGACCCAACCATGAAACTGTTTGACACTTCCCTTGAGTTCGAAAGCAGTTCAGGTGGCGTAAGGGGCAGCCATTTATGAAAAACATGTCTAAAGCCTTCTGGGACTCGTGAACTAGTGTTGCATTTTGGACTCTCAGTTGCCCGTGGAGACACAGGTCAATTCTGTGTCCACAGCAGCTGTCTACCAGCTCCATCTGGTATGCCAGCTGAGACTCTACCTGCCCACCTGCTGTCTTGCCAGAGTGGTACATGCTCTGGTTATCTCCCGCTTGGACTACTGCAATGCACTCTATGTGGGGCTACCTTTGAAGGTGACTCAGAAACTACAACTAATATAGAATGCGGCAGCTAGACTGGTGACTAGGAGCGGCCGCCAGGACCATATAACCTCAGTCCTAAAGGATCTACATTGACTCCCAGTACGTTTCTGAGCACAATTCAAAGTGTTAGTGCTGATCTTTAAAACCCTAATGGCTTCGGCCCTGTATACCTAGAGGAGTGTCTCCACTCCCACTGATGTCCAGCTCCAAGGGTCTTCTGGCTCATTGCAAGAAGTGAGGTTACAGGGAACCAGGTAGAGGGCCTTCTTGGTAGTGGTGCCCTCCCTGTGGAACACCTTCCCATCAGATGCCAAGGAGATAAATACCGTATTTTTTGCACCATAACACTCACTTTTTTCCTCCTAGAAAGTAAGGGGAAATGTCTGTGCTTGTTATGGAGGAAATGCCTACGGGTGGCATGCCTACGGATTTTCCTCCTCTAAAAACTACGTGCGTGTTATGGTCGGGTGCGTGTTATAGAGCGAAAAATACGGTAACTTTATGACTTTTAGAAGGCCTTTGAAGGCATCCCTGTATAGAGAGGTTTTAGATATTTGACATTTTATTGTGTTCTTATATTTTGCTGGAAGCTGCTTAGAGTGGCTGGGGCAACCCAGTCAAATCTGTGGTATAGTATTACTACTACTGCTACTACTACTACTACTACTACTACTACTACTACTACCAGGTCTGAACCTGGTTAACTTCAGCAACTCTGTGACAACAAGAGCACCTAGGGCATTCATTATAACTCTTTGCTAACCCATAATACTATATGGAGCCTTCAAGATCCCAGATGCAGAAAACAGTCAAATGGCTTAATTAAGAATGCATCTGTGGCGTGATAGTATACAGGGTTTTCACAGCTATTTATAGCCTTCTAGGCACAATTCAAAATGCTGGATTTGGTGTATAATGCTTCTAATTCCCTGCTCAGTGACTAGCAGGCTCAGCAAAACCCAAGGGCCAATGTAGCATCTAAACAACATGTCTTAAAGGTGCCACTGAACTCTGCTTCAGCAAAGTAATGCCGCTGTTAGCTGGTATGTTAACTGCTTAAGAAAAGAAGAGCAGAGTAATAGTGTTCTAGAAGTATGTGTGGCTTGTTTCTCTTTCTCCTTCAAGGAAGAATGTTGTGTTAAGAACCCCCCAATTTCTGCTTCATATCCACATACATAAGCAGACATCTATTTTTACATCTGTGCCGGATGGGGTGATACAAGCTAGAGGAGTAGAGAAATCAGTTTCAGTACACACTTTCATTACTCTTAATGGAAGGCAATAAATCCAGGAAGCCCTTTGGATTTTTCTGCTGCTCAAAAAGGAGAAGAAACGGTACACAGTCATCTAAAAATAAATTCAGTTGTGGAGAACACATAAGCTTGCCTAAATTCTTGTTGCAAAAGACTTTCCCCCCTTTGTTCTAGTCAGGCAGACAGAACTGTAAGGCCCTAATGTCCCATGCTGAGGCTGATTTCTAAACCCAGAGGGTTTGGGTCATTCCGTTTAAAGGCTGATTGACTTCTGTTTCATTTTGAGATCTCATGAACTTTTGACCTGTCCAAAGCACACGAGTTTAATTATGCGCAAGCCACAAAATCCTGACAGGAAGGGAATCAGCTAAATCCATCACCAATCCCTCCCAAACACTGTGCCAGGGCAGCATTTGCGTATTGATTTGCACAGAAAGATCAAGGCCTGAACATCTGTAGTCTAAACATCTCTCTCGGTTGCAAGACTGAAGTTCATCCTAAAAATCCCTAGCATTTACTATGCAAATGACACAAGTCTGATCAGTCACATGCTCTCAACAAAGATTTAAAAACATGCTAGTTTGAGCACTAAAAATAAATAAATCAGAATTTCCCACCGGCAAAAATGGCAATACCTAAAGCTTAGTTAGCAGCCATTTGCATCTCATTTTTTTAGTCACCTAGATATGACACGCAGACACCAACATAAGTGAGGTGTTCACAGGCACTAGGAATTCTGAGCTCCCTGCCTTCCTAAAGCAGTTCCCTGTGATGTCTCCAAAAACTCAGAGGCCTTTGATACAGAAGGGAAAACTACAGTCAGGATGGGGCATCTTGTATCCCTCAAGGTAGTTTTTTAAAATCATCATCCAATGTGATGTTGGTTTTTGGGGGACCTTGAAAAATCAGGTAATTTCAACAGGTTCGTTTTTAATTCTATTGGATGAGACTTTCACCTAAACCCCACAGAAAAAGGAAGTATGTGTGTGACTGGTGGAAGAATAACCCAAGAGAGAGAAGCCACCTTGAGTCCCGTCAGGAAAAAAGGCAGGGAATAAATAAATATAACAATAATAATACCCACAGGCTCCAAAAGATCCAGCCCTGGCCTAGATGTTCAAATCATGTTTAATAATGCACAGGGTAACATTTAGGAAGGATGGGGGGGACAAACTCCTCTTCACTTTGATTTTCAGGCCACATGTGGTTATTCTTCAGGAGAACCTATGTTTTTGGCAATTTGTTCTACGCCCCTGTATAACTGTTACATACAACTAAAGTATGTCTGCAAAGCTGAAACATCAAAGGCACAAATCCAGTTTTCCTCAAGATAAAAAAAAAAGGAGGACGAGAGAGAGACTGGTTGTCTTGATAACAGTGTTATATCTATGATGCAGACTAAACAAATGCTTTTGATATATCCTGTTTTCCACATTCATTTTTTAACATATAGTAGGCCTTTGAATTCTGCTACCAATTCTTTCCTGCCCTCACCCTCAAAATCCAAAACTGTTCCCTCTCACTCTTGCTAGATGACAAACCAAACATATTATTTTATGAAATGTTACATATTCCCAGACTAAACTCCCTTTTTGTTTCATGTGCTACACAAACAGCCAGTTTTCCCACACAACAAGCCATCTAGAGTGATTAGGTCTGCATTCAAATCCACTCCCAACTATTGTGCTTACATGGGCTCACCACTGTGAATATACTCCCATAAGAGTTCTTCGGAGAGTGCAGAAAACTTAACTTTGGTTTCTTCATAGAAATCTGTGACTTCAGTCTCTAGCTGATTATCTAGAAAAATAAAAACCACTGGTTAAAAAAAATGACATATCTGATGAACACCAGCAGTTTTAAAGCATTTTTATTATGAATACGTTACACTGCAATCAGTAGGCCTGCATTTCCAAATTCAAATCCAAATTATGCTGCAATGAATACATGGATCTTCTACATATAAATGTGCTTCCAGTTACTTCAATAAAATGAGATGCTAGTTTATAAATATCCCTCTAAATATTGGTGAGGCATTTGATGCAATCTGTTGAAAACTGGGTTTATATTTCTCTTGCCCTTCAAGTCAAGGATGTTCTTCTGTACTGATCTGCAGTGCAGATCTTTGTTAACATTCTGGAGGCAGCAGCAATATACAATGAGCTAAATAGCTGCAGGATAGATTGGTGCAAATGATAGTGGAAGCGAAGCATGTTGTAAACATTATTACAGACTGAAGGAACATCATAATTTGGCGTTAACTTATATGCTCCTCAGTACCAGCATGCGTAGTTTAATAAAAACAAAACATGCTTTCCAAAGGCTCACTTACTCATTTAAATTGGATAACATGCAAAACAGTGGGAAAAGTTATATTTGGCAGCGGTACTACAAACTCTTTTACACAGGATCGGGCATACTCAAGTAGGCCTTTGACTCTCTCTCCTTTGAACTAAAGGCACATTACAAACTGCTTTCAAAAACATGCTTCATTCTTTATTTTATTTTTTAATGGGTAGCCTTTGGGTATGGAGGGCTCATTTTTGAGAAACAATTCCAAAACAAAAACAAAAACCCAACCTTTGGGCATGTGAAATAAGTTGTGCAGCTCTTTGGAGACTAGCCTTTGTTTTGCATTAAAAAGAGAAAATCTTAGTCAGATTGAAATGTTATCATTATCCAGATAATCAGTTCTGGTCTCCACCCAGAATCTACAGCATGTTTCCCAACAGTCAACACTAAACTCTTGGTGCTGCCGCTGGAGAAGAAGCCCATTGCAGGGCCTGTGAGTTAAAATCCACCTGCCTCGTGGGCAGAGCTCCAGAGAAACTATCATCGTCAGACCTGGAACTGAGCTTTGCTTTCCACCCTGCCCAGTCTGCAGCACCTTCTCAAACAGTCACCGTTATCGCTTTTGGGAGAAGGAGCAGCATCGCTGGACCTGGGCTGCCTTGTGGGATGTTCTCCATATAAACCAACAACATTATGCAGCAGCTCTTTTAATGCACAACTAGGAATTTTGGAGGTGGTTGCCTGGCAAGAGCACTGTCCATTAGATATATTTTTGTATCAGTGCTACGGCTTGCTTGTTGCTGCATCATTTTCATTTACTTTGGCCTCTTTTATCCCACAGAACATTTGATTTCCTAAGCCGGAAAGCCTTTTGGGAGCAGGCAAATTAGGACCAAGGAAAAACTACTGAAAGCCACTTTTGAGTCTTTAAGACAGAAAACAAATGAATAAATACAACTTTATTGTTGTGGGGCTATGATATGACTTTAAACTCTTCAGTGCTGCAACATACATTTTTAAACCACCCCCTTTGGTCAGAACTCTTCCTTTGGATTTGAGATTTGGAGTTTATCCCCTGTTTTGACAAACATTGTGGCTGTGATCCTATACATATTTTACTGAAAGTAAATCTCCTTAATCAATGGGATTTGCCTGAGTTGACATTCAGGGCCACAATACAATACAATACAATACAATAATCCATTTTATTTTGAGGGGCAAGGATAGCACATGGGAACAAGACACTTTCAGTGGGAATGCATGTACAGTGGTACCTTGGGTTAAGTACTTAAACCGTTCCGGAAGTCCGTTCTTAACCTGAAACTGTTCTTAACCTGAAGCACCACTTTAGCTAATGGGGCCTCCTGCTGCCGTCGCGCTGCCGGAGCACGATTTCTGTTCTCATCCTGAAGCAAAGTTCTTAACCCAAGGTACTATTTCTGAGTTAGTGGAGTCTGTAACCTGAAGCGTATGTAACCCGAGGTACCACTGTATCAGGTTGCTGTGAAAAGGCAAAGATTCTGATTTATGCTAGTGATACTGACTGCACGTTCTGTTTGGTGCTTCTGGGCTGCCTTCAGCCACTGGAACAATTCTAGTTGCTAAGATGTCTGCCTACAATCACATCTGATTCTGCGATTTACTGCCACTGTGTTCATGTGAGTGGGGAGTAAATAAAGGGTGATGTCACCTTGCCAAAATAATCACCTAGGTTGGCTTTACTGTCTTTTGCCTGATCAGTCATATGCTCCTCAGTGACCTTCAATTGAGATCAGCATTTGGGGGAAAGGGGATTAATTACTGGGAATTTCTGGAAAGATAAATACATGAAACTGGGTCACGGTGTGAATGTCAACATGTTTGCAAGCAGAATCAACATGGAAGTTGTCAAGCCGAGTCACAGCCAGCAAAGCAACAAATTGGCAAGGGCAACTCCAAGAGTTTTACTATGAACAGGAAGTTGACAGTGCCCAGTTCTATTCTAGTTAGATTCAATTTATTTCTAGATCTGAGACCTACTTAAAATGCTTGTTATCATTTTGCCTGTTACTGTGTTAGTTCTCCTGACCTTCAGGGTCAATTTTGGGGTTGGCACATGGTTTGGGGAGATGGGGTCCCACTACACTAGCAGACGTCCTGAATCCAGCCTTTTGTGTCTTCCAGCAGATGCCACAAGCCTCTACAGAAGCCACTGAGATGCCATCACATACCCTTTGGGCTGGGGTGTCTGATATCCACCCACTTCAAAATGAATTCTCAAGAAGAGTTTGGATTTGATATCTTGCTTTATCACTACCAGAAGGAGTCTCAAAGTGGCTAAAATTCTCCTTTCCCTTCCTCCCCCACAACAAATACTCTGTGAGGTGAGTGGGGCTGAGAGACTTCAGAGAAGTATGACTAGCCCAAGGTCACCCAGCAGCTGCATGTGGAGGAACGGAGAAGCGAACCCGGTTCACCAGATTACGAGTCTATCGCTCTTAACCACCATACCACACTGGCTCTCAAGACTTCTAAGCAATTCCATTCATCCCAAAGTGGTGTCCTCTAAAAACAGTGGATGCTATCCAACTCTGAGCAGACCCACTGAAATATGAATGGACTTAACTCAGTCATGTTCATTAATTTGAATTTGAGTAAAACTTAGTTGGCTATCACCCAGTGTACTCCTCAGTGTGAACAAAGAGAGAAAAGCCAAACTCCTGCAGTCTTCCGATGCACGCAGACACTAAAGTCCCCCACTTGGTGACTTTCAAATGAGGTTAGACTGCAAATACCATCATTCCTTACCCTAATGGCCATATTGACTGGGGCTAATGGGAGTTGCAGCCCAACAACATTTGGAGGCTTCCGGGTTGGGGAAGATTTCACTGACAAGTAAGTAGGCTACAGGGTCAAATGAGACTTTGATTCGCCACAAGCATCTGTATTCGTTCTTACCAATTACCTTTACTGCTGCAATGAACAATCGCGACACCTGTGAAAACACTGTGCTCCTTGCCACTCAGCCTGCGAGGAAAAACAGATATATTTAGGCTGCAGCCAATTTGCACTAATTTCTTGGAAATCTAACACTTGAATTTGTTTGAAAAACAAATTCTGCTCATTTATGAATGATGTAGCAATGTTGGCAATCTACTCAATTTTATAGCCTTACAAACCAGGCAAAGCTAGGCACTTCACTTTGATTCTGTTTTATTCTCCCACTGAACTGAATGGGGCTTCAAAGTGCTTGACTTTGGCTGGATTGCGTTTACATTGATGAACTGAAGTTTACCTCTGAACTGAAGTACTACTGAAAACCTGAAAAAGGCAAGGAGAACCAGGCACAAAATGATGCCTTTCTCCCCTTATCTAAATGAAAAACAAGCATAAAATTAGAAAGCATTGGTGAGAAAAACTAATTGGTGTGCTATACTTTGGGGTTGATTGCCTCTGACGGACGTGAGGTCTCTTTTTTATGTTTTGAAGAATTAGATTTATAAACTACTTAATCATGAAACACTCTAAGTGGCGCACAAACAAAATATCAGTAAGTTCTCTTCTAATGTGTGACTAGGCAAGAGAAACTTTTATAGGAAACTCAACTATGCAATACCGTACTTTTCGCTCTATAACACGCACCCGACCATAACACACACGTAGTTTTTTGAGGAGGAAAATCCGTAGGCATGCCACCCGTAGGCATTCCCTCCATAACACGCACAGACATTTCCCCTTACTTTTTAGGAGGAAAAAAGTGAGTGTTATGGTGCAAAAAATACGGTAAATAGCCATGGTCAAATTACGTCCAATTTGATTACGCAGAACAGTAGATCTAAGCATGGATTAAAATAAAAGCTTGATGCTTTCACAAAAATGTATCGTGGCCTGCCTGCTGTGATTCACACACAGGTGTATTTGACAAGCAGATTTTAAAAGTGATCCAGAGATTAATCTGAAACAGAGCTAGCCTGTTATGAGCTGTGGGAATAACTACACAAGAAATGCAGGTAACTGTAATAGTTACCTATTTCCCCAACAAATGAAACTACATGCTTGTCATTCTTATGAAGGGCAAATGAAAAGCATATCCCAATCAAGTAATTTTTCATTTGATTTCCATATCCACAAATAAGGCCAACAAAGGCAGTATAACATGGTTAGAAATAAGCAGTGATTTGAAGTACAAACTTTGAAAGCATCCTATATGCATCTTGTTTGTCCACTGGTTTCTCCAAAATCTGTTCTTCTATTGTCTGAAATGGAAATAAATATATTTAAATATGTATATTTGCATACACTTGTCAAGGGAAAGCCTAGTTCTCTCCCATAGAAGAGTTGCTACTTGAGGTGAAATAAGGACATAGGAAGCTACTTTATACCAAGTCAGTCCAATGGCCTATCTAGTTCAGTGTTGTTGACACTTATTGGCAGCAGTTCACCAGCATTTCAGACAGGAGTTTTTACTATCCTGCTCTGGACTTTTTGCATTTAAAGTGCCGTATTTTTTGCTCTATAAGACGCACCAGACCACAAGATGCACCTAGTTTTTGGAGGAGGAAAACAAGAAAAAAAATATTCTGAATCTCAGAAGCCAGAACAGCAAGAGGGATCGCTGCGCAGTGAAAGCAGCAATCCCTCTTGCTGTTCTGACTTCTGGGATAGCTGTGCAGCCTGCATTCGCTCCATAAGACGCACACACATTTCTCCTTACTTTTTAGGAGGGGAAAAGTGAGTCTTATAGAGCAAAAAATACGGTATCTACTGTACAACTCAAGCTACAGTCCTTCTCCGCTTAAACTCCTTTTCACCCTGGGATATTTTTACATATTAATGATTAGCTACTTTGCTTTCTGTCTGTGTACAAAGCGCTTAAAGTAAACACTGCAGGTGATAAGCGTTTAATTCCATGCACAAGTAAAAGCAGGAAGTCTAGGAAAGAGCTATTTAAACCCTGAAGTTAAAAAAAGCACATTGATGGAAGCTTGGGCTGGATGGTTTGGCATACCCAATTTCTATCGTGCAATTATAAGTACATGCAACTTCTACTTTCCGAAAAAAATGTGTTCCTAGCAAATTGTTCATTAGGTGAGCGTTTGCATGACGAGCTGACAATTTCCATTATTTCCTAACGATTTCCATTATTGGCTGCAGCCAATCAGCAAAAGAGAGACAAAAGAAAAACTGATTTGTCCCATCCCTCCTGCTCTCTGATTTGTCTGATCTGTCCCCCATCCCTCGATTTCTGCCCAAAAACGATTGCCATCAACCAGCAAAGCACAAACTAGTAAGGAAATGGCAAACTCTGGCTGTTCGGACACCTAAATCAGTGGGGTGTGTCGCATGGTTTGGGAACAATTCTTTCTGTTTGGATAAGTGAATTTCTGTATTGTGAGTGAAAGCGGGACCTGCGTGTATTGATAAAACAAGAGTTGCTAATTAGAGAGATTCTAGTTTTCAGCTGCTGGTATATATGACTTACCACTATGGTGTCTGCCCCTATAACGACATCGGGTGTTCTAAGATGTTTCTGAAAAAATCAAAATGCATTTTGTTCAGTTTTCCACCTTAACCATAGCTTAAACTAACAGTTGGGAAATTAAACAGCAAGTGGGGAATCAGCACAATAGAAGCAATCTTGAACTGATTTAGACTGCATCCAGCTTCCCCATCAACCATTAAGTAAAACAGTTATGCTAAAGGGGTCACATGAGGGGGTTCTGTGACGACTTGGCACTTGCTTGGTCCAATCACTAGTGCACAACTGTCTGGAACAGGAAGCCTTCCTGTATTACTGTACTATAGATTAAATGTCAACCTAATGTCACATGGACACAACAAATTGTTTGCATGCTCCATCTCAAACACTCATGCACTTCTGTAGTTAAATAGTTCGTGGTTAATAAGCCAAGTTCAATAAACCAAGATGTAGGGATCTGGACTGCAACAGCAAAGAGTTTGACAGCTTTCTTAAAGCATCGTCTCAGACGAGGTCCCTATATGGCTTACCAGATGCATTCTGTTTGCCACTTCAAGTGCCTTTTGCCTTGCAGTTTCTACAGCATATTCAAAAGGAGCTGCGAAAGATGACTTCTCAAGCGTCTCTTTGAACCAGGAGGGAACAACTTCAAACCGGAGGCCCTGTTAGAGACACTAAGTTATTTCAGCAATAAATCTTACAAAACTTGAAGGCTATGTGGATGTTCTCTGCTTAAGGCCCTGGTGGAGGGACTATTGAACTGGCTAGCGGCTACTGAAAGCCTTTATCTCCATGACTCTGGAGGCATGGTTGGAAACCAGCTGCTTGAAATCACGGGAGGGGAGAGCGCTCTTGTGCTTGAATCCTGTTTGCAGGTTTCCCACAGGCATCTGGTTAGCCACTGCGAGAACAGGATGCTGGCTTAGACAGGCCATTGGCCTGATATAGCAAGATCCTTGCATGATCTATTGTCTAATCCTCTTTTAAAGGTAAAGGGACCCCTGACCATTAGGTCCAGTCATGGCCGACTCTGGGGTTGCAGTGCTCATCTCGCTTTATTGGCCGAGGGAGCCAGCGTACAGCTTCCGGGTCATGTGGCCAGCATGACTAAGCCGCTTCTAACGAACCAGAGCAGCACACAGAAACGCCGTTTACCTTCCCACTGGAGCGGTACCTATTTATCTACTTGCACTTTGACGTGCTTTTGAACTGCTAGGTTGGCCGGAGCAGGGACCGAGCAACGGGAGCTCACCCCGTCGCTGGGATTCGAACCGCCGACCTTCTGATCGGCAGGTCCTAGGCTCTGTGGTTTAACCCACAGTGCTACCCGGGTCCCTTAATCCTCTTTTAAAGCCATCCAAATTGGTGACCATCGCAGCCTCCATTGGGAGCAAGTTCCACAGCTGAACTAGTGGATCAAGTACTTTCAAAGACTTCAAAATGTGTGAGAACTGAATGTACCTTTGAAGACCTGCCATCTCATTGCACTCTGTGCCACTGTCTTTTCCCCTCTTCCCTCCCCCCTGGAATGTTGTGGGGGTGGGAACTGTCTTTAGTGCAGCCTGCTATCCTGGGTCTGAGTCCAACCCATGGTGAACTTGCACAATAGCACCTTCATTTCATCTCATAAACTATTTTACAGGCTGCAGACATGAACTTTTCATTGCACTGAACATCCATTTATTTCCTCGCTGCACTTTTAGCCAGATGAACTTGAAAACTTGCTCCTTTCTTTAGAACTTGCTTTTGAATCCCCACCTCAATAACTGACACAAAGGTTTGTCTGAATTTTTTGTCCCCTTTGAAACAGAGGCTTGTCCAAAGGACAGATGTGCTATTTGTGGCTGGGGCAGTGGCTCCAACATATGCCAAGTAGGATTTTAGGACACTAATATATCCTGAGCACTTCATTGTTGCTTCCCAGGACCAGAAGCAGAGTGCTGTGTGGCTCAGAGTAGGGTTGCCACAAAAATGAACTAGTTTGGGGGGGCAGACTTTTGTGGGGGGAAGCAGAACCGCAGATTTGTATTATTTTTTCCTGATAAATAGTTGGGAAGAAAGTGGCTGCCAATGGGATTCTCCCTCTCTCCCTCTTGAGCTGTCAACCTGGCAAGCAGGAATTCAAGCGGTGCAGCTTTTCCAGCAGCCAATATGCAGTGATGGGCTGTTTATTAATAGCATTACAAGTTATTTATCAATCGCCTTCCAAACCACCGTCTCAAGGCGACTTACACGTGAAGTCGCCACCTGTGCAGCCGCCCAAAACGCAGCAGCCCCCCTGGCGGAAAGGAAGGCAAGGGCCACCCGGGGGGCGGGCGGTGCCAAGCGGGGCGCAGGAGCCGCGAGAGCGCACAGGCTGCCCCGGCGCGCAGCCAAGGCGGCACACTCACCGCGTTGGTGAGGATCTCCTGGCGGCGCGGAGAGGCGCTGGCCAGCACCACCCTCTTGTGGACCAGCTTCCCGATGACGGGGTTCAGGACCATGGCTGCGGCGGGACCGGACGGCCGCGGGAAGGACGAGCCGACGGAGAGGAGAGGAGGGAGCCAGCCGGCGCCTTTATCGCGGCGCACTTGGGGGAAGCGGCGAGGGGCGGAGTCCTCCAGCCTCTCCTCCCCAGTTTGCTCGGAGGGGAGGGAAAGAGCAACCTCTCCTTCCTTCCCGCAATGGGCGGCTGTTGCTGCTGTGGTTTAGGAAAGACGTTTTTCATGCCTTGTAGACTGGGGGGAAGTGCCCTAGAGATTATTGAGCAAATAAGGGGCAAGATCTGTTTGAAACACAGACCAACCAACAGTATCTCAAGGGGGTGGGGGTGCATTTAAAAACGTAGCAACTAAGCATGGCATTGTTTTCTATTTCTGCCCCTTGGTGGCCCTGGGCTTAGTGGTCTCCAACTAAGCAGTTCCTTATTCCGTTCTTGCTGCAGAATGAGGGGGCTTTCCTTCCAAGGCAACCACAGCAAAGCACACACGACTTTAGTTGGAAAATAAGCACCACCTAACCCCAGCCACGTTTGGAACAAGAGGGCGGTCTCCCATTCGGGGGTTCAAATTGGGAATCTGCTTTGGAATGCAGGATGTTTTCAGTCCCACGTTTTATAAGGGAAGGAATCCCCATGAGAAGGTGTAGGAAAAATCTTTGTACTGTAGATGACTTTTATAAATCTACAAACAAATATGAGTCCATAGCACATGAAAATCAGCGAATCTCAAAAGAGTCTACTTTGGGACCAGCGACAGTAGGGAGAATTGATATTCTGGTGACCAGAAAAGCAACCAAGGAGCTGGGAAACCTCTTGATTTAAAGATCCCCCTCACCATGAATTTACAGAGTGGTCTTAATTTAAGTAAGAAATTATTCCACAGTATCGGACGTCACCACATCTCTGCCACACAGTAATATGGAGATAATAAATGCCTTTCCCCATAAAGTTGTTATAAAGCTTTTCATTTTTAGAAAAGAGATGCTGGACTAGATGGATCCTTAGTCTGATCCACCAGTACTAGTTGCTGTAATTCAAAGTGGTGTTGAAACCCAATGGAAACAACTAAATATTTGTTTATTTATCTATTTGTTTATTTCAAATCTTGCTCTCTCATTCCTTTGGAACTGGCAGCTTGGAGTGTTTATTGCCACATTTTTGTACCCAATCTTTGCATAAGCTTACATCTAACAAAAAAAGTGTCTTTTCAAAGTGCCAGAATCATACTGGTATTCAAATGCATACTGCCTCCAAGCAGTTGCCAAATGTTTCAAACGGCCAGTACCCAGGAGTTATGATTTCTGTTGTTCTGAGCATTCAAAGCAAGCTGCATTCTAACTGCCTCAGAACTCCAAGGAGCAGTTGCTACAGTGCTCAGACCAGCTTCACTCTTCTCAGATCTTCTCTGAGGTTAGGCACACGAAGAGAAAGCCCTGGGGAAACTCCTTGCGTACTAGAGACTGGTTGAAGAACTGATTTCATGTAGGTGCATATATGCAGCACCCCTCAGTTCCCCACCAACACAGCAGTGTTTTCTCAGATAAGAACAAATTTACTTTTATTTCCTTTTGTTCTGTCTGAGAGCCACTTGGCAGGCTTTTCACATTGTGTGTGTGTGTGTGTGTGTGTGTGTGTGTGAGAGAGAGAGAGAGAGAGAGAGAGAGAGAGGATTAAGGTCAGAAAGGATTCTGTCCTGAACAGTAGCTGTATTGGTCTGTTGCACCAAACTTTCTTTCAAGAGTAGAATGCTTAACTTTGGTTGGCTCATGCCTGACATTTTAACAAAGAGAGGGAAGGGAGGGGAGCATAGGAATGCAGAGGAGGAGTGGACAAGACAAGAGTCCAATTACCTGCATGAAGGGGGTCCATACAACAAAAGGGGTTGTGCGGTTGTGCAATTTCTTCACCCCTGGGGAAGTCTGATTCCTGGCACTTATGATTGCAGGTACAGCAGACTTTTCCATTCCTACGTCTCAAGGGGGAAATGCAGAATTTGCCCTAGAATGATGGCATTGTTTTAGCTGCACATCACTATTTGCTCAAACTTTAGGAGATGCCCATATGATACCGTGCCTAACTATCTAACTGTTATCTTTTGTCTGTTTTTCTCCAGCATGCCTTCTATTGCCAGCCTTCCCAGTACCAAAGCTCCAGTTCCACCCCAGGCACATTATGGCTCCTTTCTGGTACAGCTGTTGTGCAGGGTGTCCTGTTTTCAACTGGGTGCCTTTGTCCTGGCTCTTATTGGCTGCCCCATAATGCTAATCTTGAATGGAGAGTGTGGCAGGTTGAGAACATCATGGGCAGCAACAAACCTGACATTGAAGGAATTGAGATCTGGGGCACCTGTTCCGTGTGTAGAATTACGATGAAGAAAATCAACATTATATGCATACCATTAAAAGATGAGGAGTCCCTACCCTCTGAAATAATCATTGCCTAGGACTTGATGCCATTGGCTTCAATTGCTAATGCGGTGACCGTTTTTTGTATGGCCTTTGCGCTATATAACATCTTTAAGCCTGGAAAACACGATGATTTCATCGCTACCTTCTTTTTTCCTTCTTGTGTGTGTTTGCAGTCTGTACAGAGAATACTGGCCCAGTCTTTGAGTGCCTGTGTGCTGCTCTCAGCCCTGGCCAGCAAGAACAATGATCAGGGACACTCGGCTTCAGTGGTCCAGAGAGACCTAGACCGCTTCCAGCTTTAGGCAGAATAAAAAATAAAAAATGATGGAACACAAAACAAAATAGCGGTACACACTAAAGACATGATACATAATTAAATGTGATGAAATATCTGTGAACAAAAAAGAACCATGTCTTTTACCCAATCATCTCTCAATTGCTTACATTTTCAGCTCTAAGCTGAGAGTGTGTGTCACATTTTGGTCTGCTGCAGATAGGAACAAGTTGAGAGAAGAATCAAATACCAAAAAATTAAGAAGTGACTAAATCTAAGGCCCACATAATTATACAAACTATAATTTTGATCCATGATTTTCTTAGAGTCCTGTAAAGTTTTCAGTTTTTAGGCTTCCAGAAGGTTTGGTTTTCTGCCAAATTTCACCGGATCTTATTTTATTTTGTTGCTGCCATAAATACAATTCTGCCCCTTACAGCTTTCCCACAGTGATTTGCTGTTAGGAATGACTTTGACAGAAGACCACAGGTATTTAGGAACAGATTTCCCTGTACAACACAGTAAAATTGTTATCTATACAGACTGTGCTCTCTGTGTCTATAATCCATACTGTGAAAGGAAAAATACATTACACATTTGTAAAAGTCAACAGTTTCATAACAAAACCTTGGACGTAGTAATCTTTGACCTGCATATCCAGCCTAGGCCACTACTTTCCTGATAACTCCTGGTGTCATTGTTCTTCATCTCAGTCAACTTGCTCACTTCATCCTTTGGTTTCTCAAAATTTGTTCTGGAGTAAGTTATAATGATTACCTGTCAGGGTCACCTGGTCCCTGTGTTAGCTTATTAGACATGGTTTACTTTGTTGACATTGGGGTATTTGAACTTTTCCATAGAAAGCCTAGCAGGGAGGATTTGGTTTCCTAACACAAACTTATTTTTGCTTTTTGCTTTACTAGAACATAGCAACATAACATTTCTATAGAAAAGCATACAGTTACTTTATTATTTCATTATTATTTATTTAAAAGCATATTTGCCCTTCACACCCCAAAACACTCCCAAATGTCAGCTTACAAATGTCAGTTCCTGCCCGCAGGATTACGATTTCTATTCCGCTCATATCTCATCAAGGCTCTCCAAGGAACTCAAGGTGACAGAAACACAGGCAGATTTAGGGACCAGTTCTCTTGCCCCGGGTGCAAAACTGAGAGGGTGCCACAGGGGGTAATGCAACAATGATGAACAATGGAAGGTGATTCTGTGAGATGCGAGGGGGGGCATCAAATTTGGGTATTGCACAGGGAGCCACTGAAAGTCTACCACTGACATAAGTGATTTTCACTCTCCTTGTAGCCTCTCACCAACCCTGTGAGATATGGAAAGCTTAGTGGGTCTCTCACTGAGGACTCAGCTACATTGGCAAAGAAAAATTGCTTTATTTTCGTTGTTTATGCATTCTAACACAGTGGCACCAGATGGCGCTGTGGAGTTTTGCTTTTTGCTCCCTTGATTTCTCACTGAGGGCTCTCACTGCTGAAATTTGAGTTTCTGAGGTCTGCCACTGGGATGGTGGTGGGTGTAGCGGAATTTGTGAATACAGTAGAATCTGTAGAATACTGATTTTATTTCTAATTTTGGAAGCCTCATTATCTGCTGATACCTCCCTCTTGCACATGACTTTTGACTTTTTTGGCTGCATAATTGATCAAATGTGGCTGCATAATGGACCCCACATAACTGATCACATGACACGGCACACACACACACACACACACACACACCCCATTTGAGTGGCATTGCCCATTCAAATAGTTTATTGGGGGGGGCGGGGCGGGCAGGCTGAAGGGACCTCGGCCCCCAGGAACTGGCTCCTATGCATGGTACAGAACACAAGTCTGCCCTACCTACCCAACATCTAGATGTTCTCTAAATAAAGGAGATCCAGTGGGAAATCATTTTAAATCTCCTATACAAAATATCCTAAGGTATATATTAACATATTTCTATCGTTTCATTGGAATAGTCATTGGAATATTTATAAACTGCCAACTCATGAAAAACTCAAGGCAATGAAATCATTAAAATATTATGAAATTATTCCTATATTACAATACACATAACACCGAATCAAAAATAAGTGTCTAAAAACGCCAGACGAAAGAAAAACGTTTCCAACCTGTGACAGAATTCCAGAACTACTACAGGTGCCTACAACTGGGAGAAAAATCACTTGGGGTTCTTCATTGAATTGACCACAAGAGGTCAGTCAGCAGTGATATTTTAAGACTATTCTTTTTTTCCTGAATCGTCTGCACTCCCATGTGGCAGCTCATTGTGGTCTTGGTTCTGCTCATGCTTGCAAAGGATTCACATGCCATCCTCATAAAAATGCTGCCACATATTATTTCCCTCTTTAATCCAGATTTACCATTTCAATAAATAGAAGCACTTGTGGAAACTTGTGGTAAATCTCAATTACATTGGGGGTGGGGGTGATGGGATGGCATTTTGCTGAAGACATCATCCTGTGGAAGCTGTAAGAAAACCAAAAAACTTGCATGCCTAAGCACCACTCAGGTGGTTCCATGCATCAGTCTGTTGCAGACTTGCTGCACTGACATCCCATTCATTTGTTCAAACAAGTGGCTAGGCAGAAGGTATCTCTGCTGCTTCTCAAATGCAGTAGAATCAGCAAGCATTCTTTTTTATTCCCGATTGCTTAATGATAGCAACAACAAAATGTGGGCATTTGTCCTGGTTTGTTTTCAGGGAGATTAGATCACATTGGCTCTTTCAAAACCATCTGTTCTGATTTGTTTACAAGGAGGTTAGATGATGTGTTAAAGCAAGTGTTACGCCACACACTTTTCAGTGCAATTTCCCTTCACAGTCCTTATTGCAAAAAAATAATAATTAAAAAAATCATTCTTTGGAGGAAGTGGTTTTGTTGCATGAGACCTCTCAATGAACTATAAGATAACACTTCAACATTCTTCAGATAGGGACATTTCTTACTGTACCCCAACTCCCCATCTCAACTTTGCCATTTTTTGTTCCCCCCAAGCATTTCCTATCGGGAGAAGCGCAATTCGCCACCATCACATGGGACTCAGCACACATGCCCTGTGCCATCCTGAGAAAACCCCTTAATTCTGATTTTATTTTATTTTATTCTCTGGTAGATTTACAAACACGCAGAGATAAATAAGTTTTAGGAAGGGGCAAGATTAGACATGGATACACAAAGTGTTCCTTAAAAATATAGTAATCAAGACTCCATGAGGTTCGCTCCGATCCCCCTTTCTTCCCACCCAGGGTGGCCCTGCTCTCTGCCTCTCCCTCAGAGCCAGTTTGGTGTAGTGGTTAAGAGCGATAGACTCGTAATCTGGGGAACTGGGTTCGCGTCTCCGCTCCTCCACATGCAGCTGCTGGGTGACCTTGGGCTAGTCACACTTCTCTGAAGTCTCTCAGCTTCACTCACCTCACAGAGTGTTTGTTGTGGAGGAGGGAGAGAAAGGAGATTGTTAGCCACTTTGAGACTCCTTTGGGTAGTGATGAAGCGGAATATCAAATCCAAACTCTTCTTCTTCACGCAGGGCTGGGCCTTGGTGGCAGCAACCTCACCTCCTCACCTGCTCTCCAGCAACCACTACGAGCTGCTGAAGTGGGTAGGCCAGCAGCAACAGCCATAGAAAGGCCACGGAGAAGCAATGGGATGCTCCATTTGCTGCCACTGCTCAGGACACACACTGATTCCTCCTTCTCCTCGGCAGCAGCAGTGGCAGGGGAAATAGGGACATTCCAGGATCAAATGAGAAGCCGGGTTGGCTTTTGTAATTCTGGGACTGGTTCCTGGAAAAACGTCACACTTGGAAGGTATGCTATGATTGCTCAGCCCAGTATGTTAACAAAGCCCACCTGAAAATAGTGAGAGTCTGAAAGTGCACTGAGTCTATATAAACACACACACACACACACACACACACACACACACACTTCCTGAAATTAAGAAAGCTGGGCATGGTGGGGATGTAACCATAGGTGGGTTTTGTGAGAAAGAAGGGGAGTTCTATTCAGACAACTGACCCATCTAACTCTGTCTGCAGAGGTGACCAGCAACAACCCCCAGGACTTCAGATGGAGCTGTTCCTAGTCCTACTCAGAAAGGCTGCGTATTGAACTCAGGATTTTCTGTGTGAGAAACAGATGTTTTGTCACTGAGCCTTCCCCCGTGCATTGCTTGTCTGCATGTCTGTGAAGTACCATTCAGACATGCCTGTGCTACCTTTTCTACAAGGTGTCCACTGCAGTAACATTACCCGCTGCTTCCTATCACCCAGGGAAAACTTCTCTTTAGTGCTCAATTGGAGCAAACAGCAATCGGGGTTTCCACAGATTAATGTTTGCTAAAGAGCCATGGGTAAGGAGTGGGGCAAGGGGGAAAAGGGGGAAAGCATAGGTCAAGTGGAAAACAGCTCAGACCCATGCTTTCTAGACATGGGACAAGTGGAAGTTTGGACTTTTGAAATTATCACACATACACGCGCACACTAAAAAGCAAGCAAACTTTTTCTTTGGATAACTGGCTCAGGATAATAAAGTGCAATCCTACAATGTCTTGTCTACTCAGAAATAAGTCCCAATGAGCTCATGGGAGGTTACTTCCAGCAAAGTTTGGGTAAAGGAATACAGCCTATTTTTTCCTAAGCACTTCATGTAATTAAATCAATTCTGCTTATGAAATTGACATCATTCACCATTTTTTACCACAGTATATTGATTTTAATAGGAAAAACACACACGCCATACCATTAAGAAAATCCCAACATGGTACTCTCAAAGAACTGAAAAACTTACAAAACATTCACCTTTAGTTAGGACTAGAATCTTATAAATGGCTTCAGCAACTTCTAAAATTAGCTATAGGATTAAATTCAGCTCAGATTCACATTTTATACAACCATGAATTATACATTGGAGGGTCCTCACACTTCTGGTTTCTAGCTCTGTTGGTTGCACTTATCATCCAGAAGATTTTTGAAAAGATTGAAGCTGTGGAATGAGCCACACCTTTATTTATTCCATCAATGAAACACTTAATATGAAATCTCAAATCTCAGTTTAAATCTCATGTAAGACTGCCTAGTGTGTCTTAATATTTTTGTTTACAGTGCCACCAAAGGTCAGTAGTGCTTGCACTCACTGACTTGTCTGGGAACGGTTATGGACCACAGGTATGAAATTTACGGCCTGTAACGCCTTAAGAGAAAACATAATGAAAATGATATACAGGTGGTACTTAACCCCAGTCAAGCTAGCAAAAATTTATCATCTGCCTGATAATAAATGTTGGAAATGTAAAGAAAATGAAGGTACTTTCTTCCACCTCTGGTGGACGTGCCCAAAGATCAAGGCCTTCTGGGAAATGATATATAATGAACTAAAAAAGGTATTGAAATATACTTTCTTGAAGAAACCAGAGGCCTTCCTCTTGGGCATGGTCGGCCAATTGGTGCGAAGGGAAGATAGGAATTTCTTTATGTATGCGACAGCAGCGGCAAGAATACTCATTGGGAAATACTGGAAGACACAAGAATTGCCTACCCGAGAAGAATGGCAGAGAAAAGTGATAGACTATATGGAACTGGCTGAGATGACCGGCAGAATACGAGACCAAGAAGAAGGGTCGATGGAAGAAGATTGGAAAAAATTTACAACATATCTTCAGAAATACTGTAATATAAAAGAATGTTAGAAAAGGTTGGAGAAGAATATTAGACCGTATTGGCAGACAGAGTATAATGGAATAAGTAAATATGTAGTGCAAAATAAAAAATAGAGGAGAATTAAATATTTTTGAATGTTAAATTAAGTAAATGAAAAGAAGGTTAGAAGGGTTTGCTGGAGATACGACTTAAATTATAATACAAAGCAGAGAAGTGAGAGGAAGTCTCGGAAATAAGTAAATGGGAAAATGATTTTAATGGTTTAATTTGATTTTTTGTTATTTTTGTATTGTGATTTTTTGTCTTTTGTATTTTTTTCTGTACCGTGTGTTGTTCTTTTTCTGTAGGGTGTATGTGATTTGTTTTTCTTTTTTTTTGCTTTTTTCTTTCTATGTAATCTTAAAATTGGAATAAATATTCTTTTTTTTAAAAAAAAATAAATCTCATGTAAGACTGCCTAGTGTGTCTTAATATTTTTGTTTACAGTGCCACCAAAGGTCAGTAGTGCTTGCACTCACTGACTTGTCTAGGAAACAAGGAAATATACTTTATTGATACCTCCATATTAAGCTTGAAAGTTCTGTTGATCAAATTGTATAAAGCATTAAGTGGAAATTAAAAACAATTACTCAAACTTAGAAGCAAGGCCGGAAATGATTTAAAAAAAAAAAGAATAATTCAAGAGACAATGGAACTTGTATTTGTACACATACAAAAGTTGAATGTTTCATTGTTAAGTAAGTGGGTGAAGGTGTTACTGACCTTTGGCGGCACTTTCAAGCTTAATATTAAGATCTCCATAAAGTAGATTTCCTAGATACTATAGCCACAATATGTCAAAACAGAGAGGATTGAGTTGCAAATGGCTTGACTGCCATGAGCTAAAAAGAGATGTGAAAGTGGTGAATGTTAAACATTTATTTTCAGCAAGTAAGTGAATGCCGTTTTAGAATTGGTTCCTTAGGGCAGAACTCCACATCACAGCACATTTGGGCTGCCACAAAAGCCGTAACCCTGTCTTCAAACTCTACTCCAGTCCCTCATAATTTATATTACTTATCCCTTGATGGAATGCCATCATATCATAGTTTTTCCACCCTGGCCCCATATCACTGGGTGATGTTGAGGCAGGCACTGAAATGCATGGCACGATGACATTTCTTCACATGATTAGCTTACTGCCTTTTAAGGGAGGTTAGGGGAGACATAATATTTGGATGGATATTTAATAAATAATAAAAATAATGTCATTTGAGGGGAGCAGCACCCTGTCTCTCCAGTAACATGTAGTTCTGCCTTTGGTGTGCAAGTCAAGGTGTTCCTTGATATCTATACCTTCCAATGACACCAGCAGTGGCTTCATTCAATGACACCAGTGCTATGGTTTCATTTTACGGAGCAAAGATGGCACCCGCTTCCCATTTGAACCCCGGTGTCAAAACACACTTTCACTTCTTTGCAAACATGGTCTATGTTCCGCCACCCCTTCCGCGTGTCCGCTTGACATCGATCTTGCCGACGTCGTCCTGGCAGAGAACATGCTTTCCCTTCTACTTTCCCAGCTTTCCATCAGAGGCACCTTCTTGCCGATCACCTGCATGAATGTCTGATAGAACTCCTTGGATGCAAAGTAGTAGATGAATGGATCGATGCAGTTGTTGAGGCAGCTGAAGCACAAGGTGAGTTTGTAAATGTAGTAGTAGCCTTCCTGTTTACGGAGGCGGCTGATGATGTGCACCAGCAGGACAAAGTTGTTGGGAGCAAAACAAATGATGAACACCAAGACGACTATGGTGGCCAAGTAGATAGATCGGTTCTTCTGCCCATTGCCATATTTCTTAGAGGCCTGGATCAGCTTCCGAATAATGCTAAAGTAACAGATTATGGTCACTATAAATGGGAGCAAGAAGAAGAAGAAGAAGGGCAGTAAAAGGAAAGCTGCCCATGCCCCCATACTAGGAAGCATTTTCCACTTAAGCACATCGAAGCATGTGGTAATGTTCAGTTCTTTCACTTCGAAAGTCAGGTCTTCCGCTTCTAATGGCCATAGGGCTAACAGAACAAGAAACCACATTCCAAGGCAGCAGGCAATCGCGTATCTCTTTCTTCTCCATTTCTGAGACGTCATTGGTCTTACCACTCCCAAGTATCGCTCCAAACTGATGCAGGTCATAGTGATTATGGAGCAATACATGTTTGCGTAAAACATCACTGTGACGAAGCTGCACGTGCGCCTGCCGAAAGTCCAGTTGTTCCCACCATAGTGATATTTAATTTGGAAGGGGAAACAGGAAGCCAGCGCAAGATCGGTGATGCTAAGATTAATCATGAAGATGACCGAGGTGGTTCTGGGCTTGATGTGGCAGAAGAGTATCCAGAGGGAGAAAACGTTTCCAGGGATGCTGATGATTGCTGTCAGGGAGTACACAACTGGCAAGGCAACCATGATGAGTTGGTTCTGGAGCATGTTAAGGGTTGCACTGTCCAGAGTTGAATTGGTACTATTTAAATACATTTCGTATGATGGGCTTGTTGGTGCTTGAGGCTCTGCAGAATTCTGTCATGTGACTGAGGTCTGCAACCTAGGGTGGAGAAGAGATAAGTGAAAACAACATGTAGCAACAATTACATCAATTTTCCAGCTTCCTTTATGGCTAAATCCATTTCCAGCTATATAAAATCACCACCACCACCAAGTTGCCCTTATATCTTACTATTATGCAATACTGTGATATCTTCAGATTGTTCAGGAAAAAATACTTACGGTTTTGAGTAAAAAATATTGTTGAGTAAAAAATACTTACAGTACATGATTCTTAGCTGATGTTGCTGTCATAAGTAAAATGCAAAGGCAAGTTGTTCCTGCTATGAACATGATACAAACACAATACAAAAGTTCAAAAATGCAATATTGCATCAATAGGCACACCCCGAGATTATATTGTATGATATAAAAATAACTCCTTTTATTATAATTATTTTATGCTTAATAATATATCAGTTGGGTAGCACTGAGGGGCTAATTAGTGTATACTCAAAGGGTTGGATGCCATGAGCTGGCCTGTCCACTGCAATGAATGGGAAAGATGTTTCGGGGGAGGTAGGACTCTGTGTGTGTATTTCAGTAGGAATTAAAACCCTCAGGAGATTGAAAGCTTTCACTTAATTATTTAAGACTTAATTAAGAATTCTCCTTTTGATGAGAAAATTCTGCATGCAGGGTACCACAGGTGAGAAGGCGCTCTCCCCAGGTACTGCCCACATCCCCTCAAACGATGGCAGAATGCTATGGCTCAGCCATGTCCAGACCTCAAGACCTGAGGTTTCATTCTGCAGATGAGGAGCAAGCAGTACAGGGCCTCCCAGCAGAGCTTTGCACTGCCAATGCCCTAGGAGCCATCAGATCTCGGCGTCCCCAGGACTAGAGATCTCCACACTAGTTGCCTGGGTCCCTAGCCAACTCTCATATACTTCCATGTGCTGCCTCTTCCTTCCAAACAGCTCATGTGCAGCTAAGCAGGCACTTGGGTGGCTGCCTGTTCCATCTACTTGTGCAGCCCTGGGGGAGGATGGGTGGGTCTGTCTGGATCGGAAGTCTCCTTTCCTCTCATTCTGAGCTGCTTCACTGCTGAAGCAAGAGCAATATAGGGGCAGTTGATGTGAGAGAGTTTCTTAAATGCACAGGTCCCAAGTCTATGAGCGTGTTTAAAGGTAGTGTCAGACCAGAACCACCCCCCTCTTGTACCCTCGTACCTAGATGGCTCAGTTTGGGGTGAGGATTTATTGTGGGTAGACATTTTTAAAAGTTACCAAATCATTATTTTTAACCTACGGTTTGAATAAAACATCCAATTTAGGAAGCTGAGAAGTTCCACCATTTAGGAAGCTCAGACGTTTTGGCATACGTGGCCCCAAATCCTTAATGTTTCTCTGTTAAACCGGTCCAGTTTCATTGGAACTAGAACCAACCAGGTTGACAAAGGTACATTTTCACCAACATTTGTAAAGAATTCGGGGCTGATCTGCCCATAATGAAAGACTTGTTGGGTTCCCGGCAATTTACTATATTATTGTCACTACCACCACCACAGAATGACAGGACTGGAAAGGGTCCATCAGTTAAGGAGACTTTGTTGTGGTTTCTTTGCATTGGTCAAGTGACAGATTGCTTCCTTTCTTCACGTAACCAATACTGAAGATGGCAGCGATTATAACCATACACCATTTATTGCCAAAACAGAAAGGTCAACCTCAGAGATTAAGCCAAAGATGTAAAAGGCAGAGATTTCCGCCCCATATATCTGACTTCACATGACATCTGTGTGTTGACAAATGCAAAGTAAATCAAACTGACCAAAAAATAACCTCACAGTACCGATTAAGTAATGAAATCTTCAAACCACAGTGTGGATCTTTTGATGAAAAGTCATGCACAAGCGCATTTTATTAGAAAAGATTAAATGCTAAATATTAAACATTATATAGCTAATGGAGTGACCAGAACTGTCATTCTGGACTCAGGGTGTGAGCACACTGTTGATATTTACTGAGATACTATGCCATCATTGTACTGAAATTAAATATATTGGCTTTTGAGCTTAGAAAGGAGACAACTAATTCAGTGCACCCCCTCCAAGACCTACTCAAGAGGAGGTGCACCAGCTTGCTGCTTGGAACAGGTCAAGGGATGCTTCTTTGCTGAAAATGCTCGCTGCTTGAAATAGCAGGCAGTTTTTTGCAAGAAGCAGGTAAATACCAGAACCTTCCATACCAAATGTCAGGCTGGAGAGCCTACACTAGTGGTGAAAAGTCGCTTCATCTTGCTGCTTCATTCTGCAAAGGAACACTGTAAAGTAAACTAAAGCAGAAGGGTGGGGCAAGCTTCCTGTACTGTTATCATACATAACTTTTAACAGTTGTATAGAAGGGAGGATTTGGAGGGTTCCTCTTTCTGCATCCCTCAAATGATAAGCTACACATGCCAACATTTGCAGCTTATCATTTAGGGCAGGGGTCACTAAGCTGCTGCCCATATAGATTTCACTGCTGCTCCTGGGCTCAAGGCTGTTTCTTTTTTTAAATAAGTAAGTCTCTAGGTTTTCTAAAAAGAAAGTTATGTGGCAAAATGTGCAGGTACCTTCTAAGCGATTTCTGTGAAATGAGAGGGAGTGTGGTTTAGTGAAATATGGTGTGATCTCCTCCAGGCAGAGGGCCTTCTCGGTAGTGGCAGCTGCCCTGTGGAACGCCCTCCCATCAGATGTCAAGGAAATAAACAACTGTCTGACTTTTAGAAGAAATCTGAAGGTAGCCCTGTCAAGGGAAGTTTTTAATGTTTGATGTTTTATCGTGTTTTTAATATTCTGTTGGGAGCCTCTCAGAGTGGCTGGGGAAACCCAGTCAGATGGGTGGGGTATAAACAATAAAACTATTATTATTATTATTATTATTATTATTATTATTATTAGGACCAGCAGGACATAGCTGTCTTACCATGGATGGCGGGAGTGGCTGCCTCTCTAGTTTTGTGTTATGCCACATACACCAGCTATTTTGTGACAGCGCCCCAGCACTTTCTCAAAATTCAGAATGTGCTCGCTGGTCCAGAAAGATAGGCAACCTCTGATTTAATGGCTCCAAAAGTGAGACCTTCCAGATTTCTCCTCTTCTATGCAAATATATTCAGAGTACAGGAGGCAGCTTGGTCTGTTGCAGATGCTCACTGTGAAATCACATCCCTCACAATGCCTCTCAGACATCACAAGGCCCCTTCTGCGGAAATTATTCCCTCTTTGATGTGATGCTGCCTTCCCCACAACAAAGCCCAGAAGTGGGGTCCTAGGCATAGGCACCACCCTGAACCAGGTGCTGAGACTTGCACCAGCTATTTCTGGTGTGCCATTCTAAGACATAACACACTCTGTGTTTTTGTCTCATATCTATTCGTGCTGCTTGAGAGAAACCAAATGAAGTATAGCACTTGCATGTGGGGAGGCGGGGGGAGAGAGATGTGAAAGGAAGCTTGGATGTGGTTTCCTCTGTTGGACCACGCCTTAACATATGACCCTGCTGCTGCCAGTTCTGCAAATACACCTGATTTGTATATCCGCTGCTCTTTCAGACAGTAATTGGCAATATGAAAATGGTAAGTCTAGGGTGGAATATACACACATATAAAAACCATTCTGAAAATGCTTTCTTAAAAAAATGTTTTTTAAAATATATTGAATTTTCCATAAGGCTCACCATCGCCATGTAATGTCACATTGTATATTGCACTTAAAATATACTTAAAACGTTTTATTTGCAGCTATATAGCTGAGTCCTAGAACAGTTGTGGATTTATTTATCCAATTGCTTGCGCATTTAAAAAGGTCTGTGCCAGCACAAGATTTTCTAAAGGCCGAAGTACTTTTTCACCGAAATACGTTAATGTTTCAAACATAGTTGACAACAAGATGTTGGCTTGTTGGTTTCACTGTTAAAAGTACTTTGACACATTCTTAGAAAAAAATGTGAAGAGATTCAAAACATTCATTTACAGGGGAAACATTTTGTTCTGTTATTTGCATGATTAATTCATTTTATTTATGAGAAACCATAATGTGTCTCTCAGAGAAAAACAGGGCAAAAGAAAACATCCAGATAGAAGGCTTTGTGTATATACAAGACAGAATCTCAGAATTGTAGCGTTGGAAGAGACCACGAGGGTTATCTAGTCCAAACCCCTGCAGTGCAGGAATCTTTAGATAGAACAGTGTTTTCTCCTTAAAATAATAGTGCTTTGGATTTTGAAGCAAGGCATCTAAGTCCAAGACCTTGGAAGTAGCCTGTGACTGTCAGAAAAAGAAGAAGCAGTCATAGGCCACCCCTTACCCAAGAGTAAGCTATATCTATCACATTCCCCGACTGAAGTTGAATTCTGAAGACCAGAACTGGTGGCCAAAGACCTTTCCTTTTGTGCAATCCTTTGCTGGGTCCAACAGATGAATGAGTGAAGTAGCAATCAGGCAAGAAAGTGAAAGGATGTGAGGGAGGAGAACTGCAGCTGAAATAATTGTCCTTCTCAAGATGGTCCTCATACACATAGACGGATGCGTTTCACGATATTCATTTCACACATGCATCCGCCATGCAGATTTCTTAAGAGAGATAGCTATGCCCTTTTTACAACAGCAACCAGTCCACCAATCACCGCTGTCACCTCAATCTTATTTGCAAGTTTAGCAACTAACTGCCCACTAAGGACAGGTGCAAAAGCTGTCATCCTTAATAGACCTGGAAGCAAAGAAGAAGAAGAAGAAGAAGAGTTTGGATTTGATATCCCGCTTTATCACTACCTGAAGGAGTCTCAAAGCAGCTAACATTCTCCTTTCCCTTCCTCCCCCACAACAAACACTCTGTGAGGTGAGTGAGGCTGAGAGACTTCAGAGAAGTATGACTGGCCCAAGGTCACCCAGCAGCTGCATATGGAGGAACGGGTAATCAAACCTGGTTCACCAGATTACGAGTCCACCGTTCTTAACCACTACACCACAAAGGGCCAAGAATGAGTGCGGGCATAAAGATGCGAACATCTATTACCTGTGAAATAATTGGATGATAATGCAGGGCTTTTGAAGAACAAGGAGATGTTCTCTTTAGTTGAATAGTACTGAAAGGGGAAAGGGAAGAAGGCAGCTGAAATAAGGGTGCATATCAAGCCGCAGACAGAGGCAAGGATCCCAAGGGGATTTACAGGAAGTAAATGGGTCAAAGGAAAGAAAGAGGATGCAAAACAATTTGGGGAGGGGGGAATCTGGGTCTGTGCACTCACCCACGTATTCAGCTGCAGTCCATCATGCTGGCCTCATTTCCATCCACATTCCCACCATTTGGTAGGCATCTCACTAGCACATGGCAGTACACTTAATGAAACATTTAGGCTAGCGCGACAGGAAATATTTCTACAGGGTCATGTGCATCACAAGATAAAGGGAGTGTTTTTGACTGCTGATGTTTTTGACTTCCTTTTTTCATAGATTATATCATGTGCAAACTGTCTGGTGCACAGTTTTAAAAACAAACCGAGAAACATCTGTCCAGGCATGCGAGACGCTGATTGTTATTATTATTATTTGCTCGCACAGATTGGTGGCACAGAAATGGCTGCCACAGAAAGGGAGAGCCAGGTCAAGTCAACAACCAAAGTTCTCAAAGGAGAACTTACTATAGATGCAGTAGATGCTGGGAGAGGGGGAGGCATGGGCATGCAGAATAAGAGGGAGAAGCGGCTTCAGAAATGGGGTTTGGGAGGTGAAGAGCGAGCTTAGTAGTTGCAAGCTTAGAGTGGGAAGAGGAATCTGTGGGACATTAATGGGGGGCAGTGGGGTTGGTGAGTGGAGCCAGTAAGGGTAAAGCCCCTAGTTATTGTTACTGATTTATTGCATTTCTCTCCTGCCCATCCTCCCAAAGCGGTCCCAAGCAGCAAATGTTTTTGATGAAAGGTGCAAAAGGAGATTTGCATGAGCCCGGCTGTTTCTGAATGTGGTACACGAAAGGATGCAAAAGCAGCAGGTGCCAAAGAGACAGCATGCATGTGCTGTTCAGGACTAAAATAACCTGGTCGTTGCACCAAATTGTCATCAAGAAAGTTCAGAAGCCATTTCACTGCAGAACCTCAAATAACTATGCAAATAACACTTCTGGCAAACAACACACTTCTGGGAACACCGAATCAGCCGCTAAAAGCTACTGAGGACAAGGTCCACTCAGATTGGTGCGAATGAAGTTGTTCTGTTCTAGGAGTCTGACTAAGGATATATGAATATGTCAATTTGAGTTTCTCACGCTGCCAATCTTAATTTCAGTTTCGCACATTCTTGCATCGGCTTGCAATTTATTTATTTAACTAGTTAATGTGAAAATTTGTTGGTGTTTTAGTGCAAACATCACACATTATGCACATTATTTTTGCAAGAAACTTCTCTAATATAATGCGCTTTATATATTGTTCACACAGATATATGTAATTTTGTGCACATTATTTGATTGGCGAACTGCATCGCAAAGTTTGGAGAAGTGTGACTTTCAAAGGATAGCTGTGTTTCGGTTCACATATCATTTTGGGAAGTGCATTATTAGTTAGGTTCATATTGAAATTCAAACTAAACCAAGTTTCTCGCCCATCCCTATAATGCAAAAATTATAGACTGAGATTGAGATGAGGCAAGGCTTTCAGAATTCAGTGGCATCTTGGATAGCTTCACGAAGGGTTCAGGCTGAAAACTCCATAAAATAGGGCTGGCCACTGTGGTGGCAGCCCTAGGTTGTTGATTCAATTCCATAACCCCTGACTATTGCTGAGAATTCTTGGGGGGCCCTGTTCCTATCCCAGAGCTACAATTCTCAGAGTTCCCTGTGAAGGGAGATTGATTGCTAAACCACTCTGAGAATTATAGCTATGGGAGGGGAAAAACAAGCCTGCTCACAACTCTCAGCACCTTTAACAAACTATGAGATAACTCAGTCAGTAGAGCAGGAAACTCTTAATCTCAGGATCGTTGGTTCGAGCCCCGCGTTGGGCAAAAGATTCCTGCATTACAGGGGGTTGGACTAGATGACCCTCGTGGTCCCTTCCAACTCTACAATTCTATGAATCTACACAGTTCCTAGAATGCTTTGGGGGAAGCCATGGCTGTTTAAAGTGGCATTGCAGGTCTTTAAATGTTGGTGTGAATGTGGCCTAGGATTGTTTTTTACTCGGCGACCGAATCCATGCACTTGCGTTCTGGTGTCTTTATTCGATCTGGCTATACCGTATTTTTCCGTGTATTGGACGAGGTTTTTTGACACAAAAATCATGTCAAAAAACTGGGGTCGTCCAATACACGGATAGTGGCATGGGGGGGAGCTGCTGCTGCGCACAGGGAGCGATCTGGAGGCGCTGGCTGGCGGCGCGCAGCTTCTCCTGATGCCGCTGTGTGAGGGAAACACTCCCTTCCTGTGCGCAGGAAATGATCTAGGGAGTGTTTCCTGCCCGCAGCTGCGTGGGGGGAGAGGCTCAATAACTTGGGGCCATCTCCCCTCATTTTCTTAAAAGTGAGTTCCCCAAAATAGGGGAGGTCTTATACACGGGGTGTGTGTGTGTGGAAAAGTACGGTATATATTTACAAGCAAACTATTTCCATTGTAAAGGGGTTGGCAGGGTGGAGCGGAGAGGAAAACCATATAACCTACGCTGTCTACTGAAAAGTGGCAGACTTTTCCTTTAGCAAAAGTCATTTGTTGAAAACGGGACATTGTGGTCAGGCTTGGTGTTACCACATAGAAGGTAAAATACTGCCAAATGCAGGGCGTGGAAATGCTTTTTGAGTGCATTTTGCATTTTAACCCTTTGTCAGAATTGGCATCACCACCCTAAAGGCTTTGAGACTTCCTGCGGGTGAAAAGGCTAGAGGTACTTAGGCTGGACTTAGTGTAGTTCCATTTAAGGGAGTATTATATTATACAGGCAATGAGACAGGGCAACAGTATAGCAGAATCACTATGCTAACACTAGAGAAATTAAAAGGATTAGATCAGGATTAGACCCATCACTTGGAGGAAACCATAGTCACGTTTCGCTTGTGTTTTCTTCAGAACGTGTCCATAAGCACATACTCTGAGGAGACAGAAATAAGAACTGTGTTTGCTCCAGTGCTTCTTCCTAGAATTTTTTCTCTGTAATACCGTGATCTAGTTTTGTATGTCCCTTTCACTTCTTGTATATACATTGATCCATATACAAAAAAATGGGGGGGGGGGATAGTTCAGACCCTCCAAGTGCCCCTGTTTTCCAGGGACAGTTCCAGATTTACAGAAGCTGTCCCGGTTTCTGATTTGATCCCTAAATGTCCCGCTTTTCCTTAGTACGTCTATTTTCATCAAAGAAATGTTGGAGGGCATGGAGTTAACCAGCCAATATGTCAACTGAAGGTAGCCCTGTATAGGGAAGGTTTTAAAAAATGTTTTATTATGTTTTTATATATGTTGGAAGCTGCCCAGAACAGATGAACAGATGAATGAATGCAGTGGCGTAGCGTGGGTTGTCAGCACCCGGGGCAAGGCAAGTAATTTGCGCCCCCTAATCTGTGGATTTTAGTAGGGGCAGAGAGTTGCAAGTGTGAGTGCGCCCCCCCCCCAGATGTTGCGGCCGGCCCCCCTGCACCCCCCCACCCTACGCCACTGAATGAATGTAATGCTGGGGAAAAGGAAGGTGAGATGCTTGGAGGACTGGCTGGAAAACAGGCCAAATTAGATTCTAGCCTGATGGATCTGGAATTTCAGTGGCAATAAATCAAACAGACTAATGACTTTTCCAGCCCGATCCCTATGTATACAAAGAGCTTGTGCCCCTTGTGAAAGAGCCTGCACTCTACAGCCTTGCAGTGAGGCAGGCCACAGAATGTGGACTCATCTACACAACTGCAAATAAAACATTTTAAATGTGTTGTAAAGTGGAATATACAAATGCGACACTGGATGGGACAATGCAAAATTCAATGTATTCAAAATGCAAAATTCAAAATGCAAAATTCAATGCATTTTTCAAAATGGTTTTTTTAAAGCATTTTCACAGTGTTTTTATATGTGTGTGTAGATTCTACCTAACTCTATGATGTGCAGGGGGGCCTCCCTTTCCTGGTAATGGCGAGAACATTCCACTGTGCCCAGCTGAGGGATAGTGGAGTAGGGGCTTCACATACTTCTTTGTGGGCCACTCTCTGTAAGTAAAATGAAGCAGATAAACAGCTTCTTCCCTCAGCCATTTCTCTGTTCAAAATCAACCTCAACCCTTCCTTCCTTCCTTCCTTCCTTCCTTCCTTCCTTCCTTCCTTCCTTCCTTGAATCAAGGCTCTGAACAAAATGAAGGTAAATAGCTCCTGCATTACTGAAAGTTTTCATCCAGGGGCAGCAATTACTCCTGATTAGCCAATATGACTACGTATATAACTATATTGCAAAAGAAAGAATGCTAGCGGGAATGAGTGAGCCAACAACCATCTTTCTGGCAACATTATTATTGAGAAATTTCCATACCCCACTTCCTAATTGCCCAAAAAATATACAATAGACAAACACACAGAGAGATCATGCTTAATTGTCACCTACATTGAAAGCAGTCCTCCCCCCAAAAAAATCCTGGACTGTAGTTAACCCCTAAGAGAGCTACAATTCCCAGCTCCCTTAACAAACTACAGTTCCCAGGAGAAGCCGTGTGCTTTAAATGTGTTGTATGTACACAACCTCAGAAAGCCTCTCCTTTGATTGCCATCAGAGAAGAAAGATAAGGTCACTTCCAGACTTACTGTTTATGAGCAATTATCCAGATTATTATTTTTTTTAGACAAACGTTTGTGGGGAGAGATTAAATACCACAGACATTCATTCTGATTGATTTGCAAGGAGGCTATACCATATTTCATCAAGCATAGCCAGTGCATTTTCCTGTCACTTTCTTTACTGCAAAAAGGTCACGGTGTGAGGAGCAAGAGCACCAAATCAACTTTAATTGCGGAACTAGAATGTACCGGCACGTTTCTGGATCCCACCCCAAAATAGCGATGATCTGGAATCAAGTGTTCTAAAAATAAAAACCTTCAATTCTGATGCATATATAGCAGCTGCCACAGAACGGCCATCTTTGCAGCCTGTGGCATTTGCCTTTGTGCAGTGGACAATGGCTGATTTCCTCCGCGGCACTGTAAGACCTCACCTTTGAGGCCCAGAGCCATCATGCAGACAATTGCCTGATCTGCTGATGGCAGCTCTGCACACAAACAACTTGCCACGTGGAGTGGTTTGAAAACAGTGTGGCAGCTGCGCGGGCGCTGCCTGCTCTTGAATGCTGGGGTGTGTTGTAAAGCTGTGAAACAGAAGCCATGAGCAATGAGGAAGTGGTTGCAATGATTTGTATCAAAGTGCAGCGCAAATTGGAGGGTGCATGGCTAAAACCTGTATACAAACTGGAGTGGAAACTTGAAAGTAACCTTTAAACCCTGTTTTGCTAATAAACGGATATGCTAAATAAATATGGCTGTAAACTAAAAAGAGAGAGTCCCTTCTACTCAGAGTAGACCCATTGAAATTAGTGGACTTAAGTACACGTATTTCAGTGGGTCTGCTCTGAGTATTAATTAGTTGGCTGTTACCTGATACACGTCAACTCAGAGGCATATGTCGTGCCGGATTTACGTGTAAGCTAAACAAGCTATAGATTAGAGCCCCACTCTCTTGGGAACCCCAAAACAAATACCCAGGGAAAAAACCTGGATGTACATTTCCAAAATATAAGATAAAAAACAAATAAAATAAAACCTACATACAGCAACAGTGTTTTGTGCTGTGTAGGCTCCTATGATGTAAGTAATGGGCCCCACCTGCTAGTCTGCTCCTGGAAATATTTGCTCATTTCTATATATAGGGTGCCTACATTCTGCATGGACTGGTTGCACGGCAACATGTGCAAATGGCTTTAGATACCTATTATGGACCTATTAGCTCCATAAATTACCATATAGCATATATTCAACACAAAAAACCAGCGACAATTTGTTGTTGACAAAGGACAGCTGGACATATAAAGGGCCCAGTTACCTTCAGTAGCTTAGGGCCTCATCAAATCAAAATCCGGCTCTGGGCATATGCAATTTTGTTGAATGGGGCTTATCTGGATTGAGCTTCGGTTTATTGGCTCTCACCCAGTCCATGACCGAGGCAATACTGAACATCCACTGCCACACCTGCAGATGTAAAGGAGAAGTAGAGCTGTGTATCCTCAGCATACACAGCTGGCAATGTGCTCCAAAACTCTGGATAACTGCCCCAGAGCGATAAATCAGCTGCCTCAGAAGGATAAATAAAGGCTGTAGATAAGTACAGAATGGATAAATCAAGGCTGTAGATAAGTACAGAATGGGTGGATATCTATTTAGCCTTTTCATCTCAAGTGGAAATTCTGAGGCTGGTCTTGGATTGGGGCAGTAAACTCCAAGGGTTCAAAAGTGACCCTCAGAACTGTCCCCTCAGAACTCTGTAGACTACTCTTCTCACTGTCTATGCTCCACACCTTCCTCAGGTGCCTTTGCTTCTGTCATTGAACTGTCATAATGCCTCTTGCTTGCCTGGTTGGAAGATGGAGAGATGCATGGTGTGGGTGGGATACCTCTGATTTTGGCATGGGCAGAATGCAGCCTACTGTACAAAGATAAGAACCACATCTATAGCTGTGGCCTCCACTGCTCCTGCCTCTACTCCCACCTTTTACCGGTAGGCTGCCCCTAGAAGGTTGTCTGTAAGGGCTGAAAAGGTTTCCCCACCCATGCAAGACCAAGCTTTAACTCAGGCTTCCTCAACCTCAGCCCTCCAGATGTTTTTGGCCTACAACTCCCATGATCCCTAGCTAGCAGGACCAGTGGTCAGGGATGATGGGAATTGTAGAAGAAGAGGAGGAGGAGGAGGAGGAGGAGGAGGAGGAGTTTGGATTTGATATCCCACTTTATCACTACCCAAAGGAGTCTCAGAGCGGCTAACATTCTCCTTTCCCTTCCTCCCCCACAACAAACACTCTGTGAGGTGAGTGGGGCTGAGAGACTTCAGAGAAGTGTGACTAGCCCAAGGTCACCCAGCAGCTGCATGTGGAGGAGCGGAGATGCGAACCCGGTTCCCCAGATTATGAGTCTACCGCTCTTAACCACTACACCACACTGGCTCCAGATGTTTTGTAGTCTCAAAACATCTGGAGGGCCGAGGTTGAGGAAGCCTGCTTTAACTTGAACCAAATAAACTTTGCAAATTCATTAGTGTTTCCATAAAGAGTAAACTTGGGGAAAGGTGATTTCCATTTAAACCTTACAATTTGGCTATATGGAGTGTCAGGCAGTTTGCAGATTGCGTACATGCATGCAAAGCATCCTTGCCTGTGGATTTCTAAATGTTATCTCTTTTATCTATAACACCCTTGAATGCTGAAGGCTGTGCTAGCAGTTGAGATCTGTGAACTAACGGGTAGTTTCTAGATCTTGCTCGTGCCAACGAGCAACTTCAGTGAGTGGGGTAGAGCCTGAAGTAACATGTGAATTAGCTCTGAAGTGACCACTTCTCTACCAACCAGCCCCTCCCTTGTTGTTACCAATCATTTCAATTTTCCTGGGTGGGAAGAAGAAGCGTACAGAGGGGTGCTGCACCATCAGCTTTTCTTTCTGATGATAAGTAGAGAAAAATCAGTACTGACATTTATTAATGACTAGAAACCCCTTACGGACTTTCTGCGCAACAAGGAAAAAAAGAACTTGTGGTATCAGGGTTTGAAGACTATGGGGGGGGGGAGGTTGGTTTATGGAAAGTAGAAGAGTTGGATGTTATTGTGGAGTAAGAATTTTATACAGGTTTTTAAAGGTGAAAGAACCCCCGCCCCCAGCTGATTCTCCATCTTTTTTCTTCTCTTTTTTATCTATTTTATTTTAATTCTTATGTTAAAAATGCTTGATATTTGATGTTTATTTCCGCATTATATCAGGAGAAATGGCTTGCAGAAATCTATACATTCATTAAAAACTGCACACAAAATTGTGCTTATTGGGAGAAATAGACACTAAAATGCTGAGCTCTTGAAAAAAAAATGCTACAGAACTATGGAGAACTGAATTTCATATTGGAAAAATGAGAAACCAAGAGAACAAAAATGATACTAGTTGCAGTATAAGGCAATCAGACTGTGTATGGTGTAGCACAAATATATTACCTGCATTGTTCTTCACATCTGCATTGCTCCTGTGTGTACCATAGTAGGCTTGCATGCACAGAAGGAATGTGCAATATTCACACCTATATACCAGTGAATATTGCAGGAGATTTATTGGTGGGGACATCCTCACTACAGGAAGGTCAAGTCACACGATTCCTGGTGAAAGAAGTATTCTCTTCTTTTGAATCCACTTGTGTGAACTGATGGTGCAAACATGGTCTCAGACTATACTTATGATCTTTCCCCTGGGTGACTACTCCAGCTTCAGCTGCCTGGAAGTTTATTCTGATTACTGGTATGTGGTTTCCTACAGCTGTACTTTGCTTATCCGAACCCAAACTTTCCTTTTTTTCATTCATGAAACTATGTATATGGTAAATCACAGTCTTCCCACAAAATGCATCGCACCTGGTGCTGCAAGAATATACCAGCCAACGTTATAATGGGGGTGGGGGATGGCGACAACACTAAAATGCTATTTTCGGTCCACGACAAATAAATTGCAGGAGATGGCAAAGATATTTACATCATACTCAAGTACTGCAATTATTTGTTTTGTAGCGAAACCCCAAAGGTAACTATGTACTAATACAGAGGTTTTCATCCTTTTTGGGTCTATGGCTGCCTTGAACAACTACATTCTTTCTGTAGTTGTGGAGCCCAGGAGCCCAGTTATGTTATGTTATGTTATGTTATGTAGAGCTGACAGCCCCTCATCCCTTTTCAAAAACCCTCCCTTGTGGAGTGTTCCCTTAGCCTCCTCTCTCCTCTCCTCTCCTTGGGAGTCCTCTGGACAGTCACAGCTGCTGCCCCTGATCTCTGAGCTGCCCTGCCCCACCCCACCCCAAAGAGAGGTGCCTCCTCAAACTGCTCCACAGGGGTTTGAGAAACACACCATGGCCAGCTCCAGAGGGTAGAGGTAGAAAGAAAGAAAGAAAGAAAGAAAGAAAGAAAGAAAGAAAGAAAGAAAGAAAACAAACCATTGTACAACCTATAACAGGCTTCCTCAACCTCGGCCCTCCAGATGTTTTGAGACTACAATTCCCATCATCCCTGACCACTGGTCCTGCTAGCTAGGGATCATGGGAGTTGTAAGCCAAAAACATCTGGAGGGCCGAGGTTGAGGAAGCCTGATCTATAAGATATACATATATGTGCAGCATATATATAATGTGCATCAAGGATGTGCCTAAACACCAGTCAGTATGCACATGTACCAGATATAGCAGAGAAGGTATACATATATCATGAGAAGTCAATTAAAAACTATTGTATGGATCCAGCTAGCCGAAGAGTACATGGGTTTAATCTTGCCAGATTTCTATCTCATCATTACTTAAAGGAGCCTATTTTACCTGCGTAACAACACAATATGGTAGGTTAGCTTGAACGACTGGCCCCAAATCGACCAGTGAGCTTCATGCCTGAGTGTGGGGTGCCAGGTCTCCCTAACTCCAACCACTACGTACAGAATGGATTAAAGAACTAATAATAAAAATAACATTAAAGGCAGATAAGCAGATTGGCTAATTCCAAAATGGTACACAGATGGTGAAGTGGACTTAGAGGAGCACTAAAGACCGTAAAAACTTTCCTGTACCTGAAATTTTCCATAGGTCAGCAATTGGCAATTATTTTACAATTAAGAGGATAGACCAGAGTTGTCTGTAAAAGTCGCTTTCGACAAACTGTTTTAGCCTATGTAAGAGACAATAAGCACAGTTTGCTTTTATGCACTGTGATTTTAAAAATTGCGGTTGAATTCTGCAAGCAACCAAGTTCTGCTTTCATGGTGATTAAGAGACTGAAAATGTTGCTTTCCTGATAAAGATACATACTAATAATTCTTAAAGGAGTTGTGCGAAATGATTGTCTCCCACACTCTTTCCCCGCTAGGACAGCAGTTTCAAAATTGCTACAAATCATTACTTCATTTGTTTGCCTGTCTCAAGTACAGAAAGGTTTATTAAATCATTTGTGTTTTAAATGCAATACAACATCGCTTTAAAATAGTCAGCTTATACACAACTAATTTAATTTTAAAAGCAGTTCCTAATTTAATCTTAATAATACTTGTGGCTGTTTAATAACACAGTTCCTTTCCCTGAGTTAGTTGTTGATTGCGAGCTGTTATGCAAGTTGCTTTGATAGCAATGTGCAATTGGTTAAGCCATCAGTGATGGTCTTATCGGTAGACATGGCATAATTCACTGCAAGAAAACTTAGGATCAAACAAGGGACATGAAAAATCACACGTATCTCATAGAATGTAGGTTTTAGATGACAAAGTAGCACTTACCTGCTTTGGTGTGTAGTTCATAGCATGCAAGAGCCACATGTGATGGGATGGGAAGTAAGTGAGAAGATGTTGTTTTGGCAGCACCCCGCAGCTCAGGAAATGACCATACATACATATATATTTTGCAACGGTTAACTGTTTCCTCACTTGTGTGCTGATCACAGATAACTCATGAGACCCCAGTCTGTTTAGCTAGTTATCGAACAGGACCTCTCCTTCTCATCCATAAATGTCAAACTTTCTTTTATTAAAGTGGATTGGAATGTTTGGTACCATTTCAAATTATGAAGCAGGAAGATGTTGGGCCAATTAATCTTCAGATGGGTGTTTCCTTTGCATGTGTCTGTTTATCTGATCTAACAGCTGCCACTTACTGGTGTATTACAACAGTAAATAAAAGGTAAAAGGTAAAGGATCCCTGGATGGTTAAGTCCAGTCAAAGGCGACTATGGGGTTGCGGCACTCATCTTGCTTTCAGGCTGAGGGAGCCGGCATTTGTCTACAGACAGCTTTCTGGGTCATGTGGCCAACAGGACTAAACTGCTAGTGGTGCAACAGAGCAGCATAACAGAAACCAGAACACAGAAACGTCGTTTACCTTTCCACTGCAGCGGTACCTATTTATCTACTTGCACTGGTATACTTTCGAACTGCTAGGTTGGCAGGAGCTGGGACAGAGCAACGGGAGCTCACCCCATCTTGGGGATTCAAACTATTGACCTTCTGACTGGCAAGCCCAAGAGGCTAAGTGGTTTAGACCACAGCGCCACCTGCGTCCCTATCTAGCTCAGCATCCTGTTCTCATAGTGGCCAACCAGATGCCTGTGGGAAACCAGCAAGCAGGACAGGAGCACAAGCGCTCTCTTCCTTCCTATGGTTTCCAGCAACTGGCTTTCAAAAGCATATGGCTTCTAAACTATAGAGACAGAGCATATCATGGCTAGTAGCCACTGATAGACTTATGCTCTGTGAATTCATCTAATTATCTTTTGAAGCTATCCTAGTTGGTGGCCATCACTGCTTTCCGAGGAAGCAATTCCATAGTTTAATTATGTACTGCATTAAATGCTTTATTTTATCTGTCCTGAATCTGTCCTGAATCTAATTAACCTTTATTAGATACCCACAAGTTGCATTTAAGTGTATCACTAGAAACACCTTTCAGACATGCATTTGAATTCCCTTTGAATTTGTTCCCAGCTATCTGGACTGGGAGCCCTGTTGATTTTCTATTTATTTATGGAAGTTTTGACCTCTGCTGAAATAGGTTTGTACAATATTCTTCCTTGCTCATCAGTGATAGGCTATAATTTAGGAATAGCTAGTTTTGTAGTTTTCTTCATTAAGTTTCAAGGAACTATATAATTTAGAATACTATTTGGTAAAGGTTTTAATTACCGTATTTTTTGCTCTATAGGACTCACTTTTTCCCTCCTAAAAAGTAAGGGGAAATGTGTGTGCGTCTTATGGAGCGAATGCAGGCTGCGCAGCTATCACAGAAGCCAGAACAGCAAGAGGGATTGCTGCTTTCACTGCGCAGCGATCCCTCTTGCTGTTCTGGCTTCTGAGATTCAGAATATTTTTTCCCTTGTTTTCCTCCTCCAAAAACTAGGTGTGTCTTGTGGTCTGGTGCATGTTATAGAGCGAAAAATATGGTAATTACCGACTGTCAGAAAACACTCCACCTTTCTGTTTTATAGAGAGAGAGAAATGTGCATATTTTTTCTTCTTCAGCATATCAGTTAATGGGTTTGAGTTTCAATTCCCAGCCTGATAAAATCATTGATTAAAAAAGTTTAAAGATTTTGTAGCTGAGTTTTTCAGGCTTCACATTCTTTCATTAGACTGAGTAATAATTGCCTATACGCTTTACTTGAAGCTGTGGTCTTTTGTTTAATTTCCAAAATTGAGATGTAATGTAAAAGCTGTTGTTTGATTAGAATGATTATCCTATTAAATTTTCTTTTTACAGCTATGCACATCCTTGGTTTGTGGCCTTCATAGCATCCCCGATAATAGTTAAATTTGGATTTGAGCCTAAATAAAATGTAATATATTCCATTATCAATTTCTTAATACGTTCCATGGAGCTTTTCCTGTTAAAAAAATTTGAGTCTCATCTCCAAACCGATTGGATAGATGAGTCATAGTTAAGTTGCAACGTAACCCATAGAGATGAATGGTCTGACATAGTGTTAGGAAGAATCTGGCATCCTATAGCTGCACCTCTAGGGGGCCAGAATCCAGCACATACCGTACTTTTCTGTGTATAAGACTAGGTTTTTTTAATTAAAGAATTATGTGCAGAATTGTGGATCGTCTTATACACAGATACAATCTCCCCCCATTTTCTCAATTTGGAGTCCCCCAAAATAGGGGGCGTCTTATACATGAGGGCATGTTATACACAGAAAAATATGGTAATTCAGTTGTAAGAATGAATAGGACCTGGAGATAAATAGTTGTAGTCCCTGACGCCCTGGGTGTACCCACCAACAGGAATCCATCAGGTGATAGTGCAAAAGATGGAATCGCATTTCTAATGTGTTAAAAAGAAAAGAGAATTGCTTTGCTTTGACCATATGTGTCCATCATTCAATTCACAAAAATATATCCTCCCTTCTTGTTTTGTCCAAAATAATGATGACAGCTCTAAAATCGAATTTTCCAGCTGCTGTAAAAAGGTTATTGAAGCATGGATGTTTAGGAAGCCTAGCGTTACTATCCATGTGATGTGTTTCCTGGAGAATTATAATTGATGGTGTTGTCTTGTTCTGTTAGGTAAGGGGGGCAGTTTCCATTTGTCCCTTCTTGCTTTAGGCTCCTGCAGGTCTCCCATGTTAAATTCATCTTCCTCCCAGGGGACCTTCAATTTCAGTAGTGTTAAGACAGGTTCCACTTCTCCTTTTCTGGTGCCTTTGTGCGGCATGCCATCAATCTCCGCGATGGGAGCAAATGGAAATCCCCATTTATATTTGATCCCTGCCTCCCTGAGTTGTTCTGTAGCTGCTTTAAGGGGCCATGGTGAAAGGGAAAGGGGGTTAATAAGGCTGGAGAGAAGATAGAGCTCCAGTGTTTGTGTGAATACCCATGCAATGGAGCCATCTGAGCATCAAAAGATGCACACAGATAATTGTATGCCAGAGGGTATTTTTTTATCAGTTTCTCAAACCTTTTAAAGGATGCGGGTGGCGCTGTGGGTTAAACCACAGAGCCTAGGACTTGCCAATCAGAAGGTTGGCGGTTCGAATCCCCGTAACGGGGTGAGCTCCTGCCAACATAGCAGTTCAAAAGCACGTCAAAGTGCAAGTAGATAAATAGGTACCACTCCGACGGGAAGGTAAACGGCGTTTCCGTGCGCTGCTCTGGTTTGCCACATGACCCAGAAGCTGTATGCCGGCTGTACGCCGGCTCCCTTGGCCAATAAAGTGAGATGAGTGCCGCAACCCCAGAGTCGGTCACGACTGGAGCTAATGGCCAGGGGTCACTTTACCTTTACAAACCTTTTAAAAACGGCCATGGAGGTTCCATCTTAAGAATGCTGCACGTGCTACAAATTCCAAAACAGACAACTTGGATTGCACTTCCTATAACTGAATCAGAAGAATCTTGCACATTGTGAGGTTCATGTTTATTTATTTCCATAGTGATCGGTGCTCAAGGCGAGACAGGTGGGGGGAGGAAGTGAGATCTTTTTTTCTTCGAATTAGGTCAGATTTCATGGCATTCATTGAGAAAGTGTGAGGTGGTTATCGAGCTGCTTTGAAAGAAGTTGTTGCCTCTTTACTGTCAGTGATTTGAGGGAGGGTTTGAGCGTGTACAGGGAAATTTTGGCTTGTGCAGTTGAAGTGGATTAAAGCGTTCCATCACCCTAGCACAACAAATCAAGCAAATAGACCTTTTCGTTAGGAATGTGACAGGGAAATGCATTGAAAAGTGTGGGGTGCTGTGTGGCTGACTGCAGTTCATCACTAGAAAACTGAATTAATTGAGGCCTGGATTAATTATGTCTGGGACACTGCCCTCTTAGAACTTATTCTGCCGAGAAGGAGGACCATATGGGGTGTGCCAAAAAGAGATAGGTTTGAGGAGGTTTTTTGGTTCTTCTCTTTTATAGATAAGGGACAGCATACTTTATATCCCCCAGTTCCTAGGTGGAGAGTCCAGGTAGGAGCTCATTTAAAGTGTGGTTATGCATCAGGCATAGGATTATTGCATTGATATGATTCTCCAAATGCATGAGAGCAAAGTGCCCATAAGTGGATACTTTTCTTCCTTCTGTACTCTGCTTTGCTTTATACAAGCTTGTGACTGCAATAATTATGTGTGGTAATAATTGCTGTTTTCACTGTAAAGAAAATTGTGTGTGTGTGTATGGAGAGAGAGAGAGAGAGAGAGAGAGAGAGAGAGAGAGAGAAGTGTGGGAAATATTTTCCCAAGATGGCTTACAAATATGTTGTGAATCACCCTATGATTGTTGGATGAAGGGCAGAATACAAATTTAATTAATAAATAAATGAATATAAACAAACAAAAACAAAAACACCTAGATGACAACAACAACAAGAGCAATTTTATTATTTATACCCCACCCATCTGGCTGGGTTATCCCAGGCACTCTAGGTGGCTTCTAACACATATAAAAACATAATAATACATAAAACATTAAAAAACTTCCTATACAGGACTGCCTTCAGATGTCTTCTAAAAGCTGTATATTTATTTATCTCCTTGACACCTGATATGTATTTTTATATTTAGAAATTCCAAAGTCCATTTTTATAAGCTTCGTTTGGTTTGTCACGACAGCCCTGTGAGGTGAGCTGCTGTTGTACTGATTTTCCATAGGAAATCTGGGCACTAAGAAATGTGCCCTCAGTGCCTTGTTGAGCTGTGCTTTGCCCCTCTCTCTACTACTGGCCATAGCACCAGGAAACGGGATCAGAAGCAAATTCTAAGTCTTTGAAAGTGCAGAAGACCCATATTTATATCTGTTTATTAATAATACTTTCAAAAGGTTTTTCAAAAGAGCACATTAAGGTAACGTAGAAGGTAAAGTGAACGAGTTAATCATCCCCCTCTTGTGTGCCTTTTTTCAGATTCACCAGTGTAAACTCCTAACTGAGCTGCATGCTCCTTCCTGAGCAATTGCTAGTCATGCCAAGCAGATTTCAGTTTGATAAACCCAGCACCTGCTTGCAGATTGTAGTGGCGCTTTCCTTGACTATTTTTAGTACATATCTGAGGCTGGGAGTCTCATTTTCACTCAGCTCCCTTTCCCATTCTTAGTGTAGAGAGGAACATGCAAGCTAGGAAAATGATGATCTTGCTATATTCTTTGTTGGTGTTTTATGCGTTATTTATCATTCGCTCTGTAAGCAGTGTTTCGGGTGAGTGCCAATCGTTAGGGAGGAAATTGTCTTGAGTCCCATGGAGAGTCATGGAGAGGGTGGTTGGATTAGGAAGAGGAGTGGGAGGAGATTAGAGAGTTGGGGCAGGACAGCCCAGGGAAGGTCCTAGCAGGCTGGGGGAGGACAGCCTGAGACGTCAAGGGGAGTCTGGCCTAGATATACCCTCTGAAATTTCTCCGAGGAAAATAGGGACGTCCTATTTAATAATAATAATAATATATATATATATATATATAATTTTTCCCCACCCAATTGACTGGGTTGCCCCATCCACGCTGGGCATCTTCCAACATATATAAAAGCATAATAAAGCATTAAATGTTAAAAAGCTGCCTTCAGATGTCTTCTAAAGGTTATATAGCTGTACCTTGGATTCTGAACACCTTGTGAGTCCAACATTTTGGCTCCCGAACACCGCAAACCCGGAAGTGAGTGTTCTGGTTTGAGAACATTCTTTGGAACCCGAATGTCCAACGCGGCTTCTGTGGCTTCCGATTGGCTGCAGGAACTTCCTGCAGCCAATCAGAAGCCGCGCCTTGGTTTCCGAATGTTTTGGAAGTCGAACGGACTTCTGGAACAGATTCCATTCGACTTCTGAGGTACCGCTGTATAGTTATTTGTCTCCTTGGCTTGCGGGCCACACCCTCCAACATTTCTCCAGTGAAAATAGGGACGTCCTACCATACCCTCCAACATGTCTCTGATGAAAATAGGGATGTCCTAAGGAAAAGTGGGACATTATGGGATCAAATCAGAAACCAGGACGGCTTCTGTAAATCCAGGACTGTCCCTGGAAAATAGGGACTCTTGGAGAGTCTGCCTAGGGAGTGCCAGGTAGGGAGGTATTGACTTAGATCATGGGAAAGGGCTATCAAGAAAACATGTCATTAGGTACCCCAAGGGTGACATTACCACCTGTTGAAGTGTCTCCAGTGGCTCTACCTATCAGTGAATAGCCATTCCCTTCTGTGGATGAGTCCAAAGGCAAGTGGACCCTACTGACTCCACCTTCACCTCCAAAGACATGGAGTTGACAGCACTGGCATGAACAAACCTTGCATGCCCAGCCTCTAGGGAGGAGTAGCAGCTTGCTTGCCCAGTCCTGGGACTTGGGATGTCAACCATGTGAATAGCTGTGCCTGACCCACAGGGCAGAGCATGGGGTGGGTGAGCATACCAATTGTTGGAACAATGTCCTAGTTTATGCCTAGCCATGTATCACAGATCTCTGTTGTGCCTTGTAACCTGTAGACCAATGCTGGGATGCTTGTTTGACTTCCTAATAACACATTTAAACGTTCCAACTGTGATGCGTTCCGAGTCTGATAGAGAGAGCCAGCACACAAAGAGCCACATATGACAGTGAAGTGATGCTTAGAGGAACTCAAGAGCTTGCAAAAGTGCATATATATGGAGGGGCCAAAATTCTTCAGTGGGAATTGGCTGGTGTGCCTGAACTGAGCAGAATTTAAGCATCCTGCATATTGCAGGATTAGTTTGCTGCCCTCTCTCTGGCCTGGCAGGGGAGGGGAAAGGATGAGTCATCTCACCACCTCCGCCACCCATTTTCAAAAGTAGTAGCATGAGCGTGCCTGGACATGCCTGAGCAAAGCTCTTGCCAGACCATGTCCAATACCCTTTCTAGTTGCTAATCATGGGTATTTTACATGCTTCCTTCACAGAAATAGTGTGGGAAGTGATGGTTGCATTTATATTCCCAGCCTTCTAAGCAATAAATGTTGCAGGATGGCTATTCATTGCATCACAGGATAGACCGCCTTAATGTCATTCTTCTTTTTCCGTTTTAAAAAGGACTGCATGTACATTTCACTGTTTGAGAAAAATAGTGAGGCTGTGCTTCCTCTAAAGAAAAAACAACCTTGCAATAATTAAAATAAATGTCTCAAACATTACAAAATTGTCCAGGAATGGTTACAAGTTGTGTAATCGCTATGTCACAGACACAATTCACCACATGCCCATCACACTGGCACAAGCATATTCCACATGGTATTCACTATCACAACGAATAATCTGTATATTGGGGCATGGGGGGGGGGGATTACATTTTCACAGTGCCATGATGTTTTTTATGTACTAAGCAAATTTGACAAAAGGCATTATCCTAGAAAACTCAAATTGCATATTAGGAATTTTTTAGGGCTGGGACTAAAAACAAAATGGAAAATATAACAATGCCTTCATATAAATGCAGTAACCAGAAAATAGAAACTCAAGTGGCCAGGGGACTGGAGTCATTTCTCTCAATGTAAGGCTGAATGCCTGATGTTTTAAGGGAACTGTAAGTAAAGGAAAGGGTATGGCAGAGGTTTATAAGATGTTGAATAGCATGAAGAAAGCACATAGAAATATTTGCCTACTTCTCAGAACACTAGAACTCAAGTTCACCCAAAATGGGCAGTGGCAAAAGGAATGTACATACCATACAATTGCTTTATGGAGTTTTCTACCACAATATGTGATGACGGACCACTAGCCTAAATGGATTTTTAATGAAGACTTCACATAGTCAATGGAAAGCGAACATGGATTGTCCATGTGCAGAAGCAGTGTGCCTTCAAAACACCAGGTGTTGAGGGACAAACAATAACATGTGGCTATTGTCTTCATGATTTGTATATAGGTTTCTGGCTCTTCGCTGTTGGAATACCTTAGCAACATACGAGCAACAGCTATATAGTTATTGTATGAAAAACAAGTCATCTGGAAATCCCCAAAGCCTCACATGCATGGCCAATGAATGCTGGTGTAAGCAAATGCAGCCCATAAAACTTTTGTGAAGATCAGCATCTGAAGGTGCTTCCATTGTATTTACTTTGCAACCTGCCTTGAAGCTCCTGTATCCTGAAAAAAATGTGTCCTGGGTCTATCTCTTCCTCCAGCTGGAAAACCACACTGAGGTAAGGTTTTTCTTCCTGTCACCCTTGTTTGTGCCTTAATTCTTTCTGGTTTAGACATTCAAAGGTTTTCCCCACACATATAACTATTCCCAGGGAAACATTTGCATGGAGTAACATAGCCAATGGATCATCCAAACTTAAGCTGCAGCTTCCTAGTACTGATCTCCACAATCATGGTTGCATATTGTTCAGGTGCTGAGATCACATTGAGGTCATTGCTGAAGAGCTCCATCTGTTCTGTTCATAGGCCAACTAGTTCCGTTAGTTCATAGCCCAGGGGTGGGGTACCTCTGTTCTGAAGGCCACAAAAGGCATACTAGGGGTCCTAATTTGGCTCATAAGGGCATTTCCCCCCAACTGTACCCACCAGTCCCAACCACACTTAAGGATGGGGAAGAAATTCAGTTCAGTTCTCATTTAAACTCAGATTTGTCTCATTTGCAATTTCTAAAACAGTGTGAGAACTGAAACATAGTTGTCAGAGCTGCTTCCAGATCCTAGCTCACAGAGGATCACGCTAGCCAGCGATCATTAAACAAAAGTCTTTATTGAGTTACAGTTTCCATTCTCAAGCTGCTGCGTGCAACTCTACGTCTCATGCTTAGACCGGCGAAGCTCCGTCTGAGTCTCCGCCCCTTGTACACCAACTTAATATCCTAGCCCTGCTCCACCTTTTCCGCCTGACTGTTCTTCTCTGGGTCCCTCTGCCCCCCGGGGTCTCTTCCTTCCGGGATTCCTCTGACGCTGACTCCCCTGACTCTTCTCCCTCCTTTCGGCGGGCTTTGGGACCTGGCTCCCTTTCCGGGCTGCCTACTGCGCCACCTTCCTGTGCATTTGAACTTGGCGCGCGCGCCCAACCTTCCACCTTCCGTCTGACCGTTTCTTCGCTCCCCGATGGAGGTGTGGCCACTCCTGACTCGTGCCCTCCCCCCTGTTGTGAGTTGCCAGCGCTTGATCCCTGGTGCCCTTCCTCTTCCCTGCTCTCTGGCGGTGACGTTGGTCCCGATTTCCAACTGCTCCCCTCTGAGTCCCCTCTGGCTCTATCTTCCTGGGGTGTCCCCCTAGGCTCCCCCCTTGCCCTGGCCACTGGTGCTCCTTTCTGTGAATCTTCTGATTCACTGGAAAGACTCGGAGATCTCGGGTCGTCGTCATCACTCATCTTTTCTTCTGCCTCCTCCCCCTCGCTCTCTGTTTCCTCCCTTGCCCTTGCCTCTGCTCCTGAACCCCTGACATCCATCCCCCCCTCGAAGCCCCCTCTTCCCCCTCCCCTCCTTCCGGTGCGGGATCTGGGTGCTGCCGTGTCAGGGGGACGAATGTCGGATACAGTTCGCTTCCCGTGGCGGGCCGCCATCTGAAGTCTTCCGGTTCTTCCTCCCTGCTCTCGTTGACGACGGTCACCTCCGCTTCCATCTCTGTGCCGCCGTGCTCGAAGCCCGGGTCGTCCCGAAAAAGTCCATGTCCGTCTCTCCCTCGTTGCCTTCTGGAGACGTTGCTCGTCCTGGACCCTCCAGCCACCTTCTACGGAACTGCTCCTCTGGTCGATCATCCCACCAATACGAGGGTTCTGAAGCAGATCCTGAGGGTGACCCCACCCGGGACCCGGCGTCTCGGGTCGGTTCCTCGTCCGAGTCGAACCCCGGAGCGTGCTGGCTGAAAGCGTGGGCGTGAAAAGCCAGTCGTCGAAAAAGTCTGCTGGCATTGGCCTATGTGGGAAGAGGGCATGAAACTCTTCTTTGAGCAGAGGTTCGTCTAAAGCGTAGCCCGGCACCCAGCTGTTGGCACTGGCCGGGGTGCCCTCCTTGGCGAGAAGGTATTCTACCCCCTCTTCCCCCCATCTGGAGTCCAAAATCTCCGTGACTTCGTTGATGCGCTCCTCCCGTGCCACTCCCCCCTGCCCGGTTCTCTCTCGGAGCGGACCCGGTGCCGTTCCTGGTTCCTGAAACCTGTGAGGTGCCTTGTAGGGAGTGAGCACCGATCTGTGGAACACCGGATGCATTCTGGAACCCTCCGGAAGAGCCAGCCTGAAAGCCACCGGGTTGACCTGTTCTTCGACTTGGTAGGGCCCCAGTTGTTTATGCCCTAGTTTCTTCTTCGCCAACGACCTGGCCGGCACTGCGTGGGCTGCTAACCAGACCCAGTCTCCCACATGGATCTCTTCGCCAACCCTTCTGTGTTTGTCCGCTTGTACCTTGTATGCGTGTTTAGCCAGCTCCAGGTGCCGCCGCAGCTGATCGTGGACCTCCTGCAACTCCGGCGCGAATGCATCTGCTGTCTGCGGCTCCCCCTCCCCATTCTTTCCAGTCCCGGGAAGGTTCTGGGGTGCCTCCCGTTGTTGGCGAAGAACGGCGTGACCCCCGTGGACACGTGCTTCGTGTTGTTGTAGGCAAACTCGGCGAGAGGCAGGTAATCCACCCACGTCGCAGGCTGTTGATTCGCATAACATCTCAGGTACTGCTGCATGATGGCATTGACCCGCTCCGCTTGCCCATTGGTCTGCGGGTGTCTAGCCGACGCCAGGTTGATCTTGACGTTCAGGAAGCCCATCAGCCTCTGCCAGAAGTTCGAGATGAACTGTCGCCCTCGGTCGGACAGAATAGACCGCGGCAGACCGTGAACCTTGAACACGTGGTCTATGAACAGTTTGGCGGTTTGTTCCGCCGTGGCCACCTTCGCACACGGAATGAAATGTGCCATCTTGGAGAACAAGTCCACCACCACCAGCACAGCCGTCTTGCCCCTCGAGCTGGGCAGATCCGTGACAAAGTCCAGGGCCACTCTCTCCCATGGTTCGAACGGAGTTTGCAGCGGTTCCAGCAGTCCGGCCGGCGGTCTGTGCACTGGTTTGGCCCTCTGGCAGGTGTCACACCTCGCCACGTAGTCCGCGACTTCCCCTCTCATTCCTGGCCACCAGAAGTCTCTGGCTACTAATTCCACCGTTTTCTCCTTGCCAAAGTGCCCGGCAGTGGGCGCGTCGTGCAGCTGCTGCAGTACCTTGGCGCGAAGTTCGTCTCCCGGCACGTAGATGGCCCCTTTACGGATGAGCAAACCATCTCGCAGCTGGAACTCGTCGGTCGCTGCCGTGCCCCTGTGCGCCTCTGCCATCTTTGCTTGCGCGAAGGAGTCATCCTGCAACGCTCGTCGCACCGCCTCCAGGTCAACTGTCGCCGCCGTGCACGCCCACACTGTCGGTGCGAAGATGTGCATGGCGGCCGCTGGCGTTGCCTCCTCCAAATACTGTGGCTTACGGGAGAGAGCATCCGCCATGATGTTGGTGTCCCCGGGACATACTCTATTCGGAAGTCGAAATTCGCAAAGAACTCAGCCCAACGTATCTGCCTCTGGTTCAGGAACTGTGCCGTGCGCCAGTGCTCTAGATTCTTGTGGTCCGTGCAGACCTGCACCGTGTGCTTGGCGCCGATCAGGAAGTGCCTCCACGCTTTGAACGCTGCATGAATGGCCAGCAACTCCCTGTCCCAGATGGTGTAGTTCTGTTCGGACTTGCTGAGCTTCCTTGAGTAAAACGCTCCCGGCCTCCAAACCCCCTGCGGGTCCTTCTGCAGCAGGACTGCTCCCACGGCTCTGTCCGAGCGTCTGTCTCCACCCTCATCGGCCTGCTGGGGTTGACATGAAGCAGTTGCTCTTCCGACGCGAAGAGACGGCTTGAGTGCCTGAAAGGACTGCTCCGCCTGCTCTGTCCAGATGAACTTCTTTTTCTTGGAGCTGAGCGTGTCCGTGATGGCCGCTGTCTGCATGGCAAAGCCTTTGATAAACTTGCGATAGAAGTTCGCAAAGCCGACAAACCGTTGGACCTCCTTCCGGTTGCGTGGGCTTTTCCAATCCAACACTGCTCGGACCTTGGTGCTGTCCATGGCGAGCCCTTTATCAGACAACTTGTAGCCCAGGAAATCCACCTCCGTCACGTCGAATTGGCACTTCTCCAGCTTGGCGTAAAGCCTATGTTGCTGTAGCCTGCTCAGCACTTCTTTGACGTGCCTGTCATGCTCCTGCTGCGATTCCGAAAAGATCAGGATGTCATCCAAGAAACAGACGCACGTCTTGTAGAGAGCCCCGCCAACACGTGATGCATGAAAGCTTGAAAAACGTGGGAACCATTTTGCAATCCAAAAGGCATAACTCTATATTCGTAGGTGCCCAGGGGCGTGAACATGGCTGTCTTCCACTCATCTCCTTCCCGCATGCGAATGAGGTTGTACGCCCCTCGCAGGTCCAACTTGGTGAACACGCTGCCCTTCCGTACCTTCGCGAGGAGGTCGTCGATTCGGGGCATGGGGAAGTCCGATGGCTTGGTCACGCTGTTCAAAATGCGATAGTCCACTACAAGTCTTTTTTGGGGCGTGTCCCTCTTCTTAACAAAGAATACCGGACTGCCCCCGCTGCCGTGGACTCTCGGATGAAACCGCGCTCCAAATTATGATCTATGAACTCTTTGAGTTCCTGCAGTTCGTCCTCAGACATGGAATACAACTTCCCTTTGGGCAGCGCCGCCCCTGGCAGCAGGTCAATTTTGCAGTCATATGGTCTGTGGGGGGGTAGCCTGTCTGCCTCCTTCTCACAGAAAACCTCCAAAAATGCTGCGTACTTGTGGGGAACCGCTTGCAGCGTGCCGAGCTGCAGCTGTGACTCCTCTTCCTCTCCTTCCTGCCGGGGCACGATGCAGTGTTCAGCGCAAAAGGAAGAGCCGAAGGTCAGCTGCCTCTGGTACCAAGCCAGCGTCGGGCTGTGCTTGTCCAGCCAACTCATGCCCAATACAATGGGCGTGTCCGATAGTTGAGTGACATTGAAGCTGATGATTTCCCTGTGATTCCCAAGTCTCATCACCATTGGTGGCGTCTGCTTCACCACTTGCCCCCCTAGCAGCTCCCTGCCATCCACCGTGACAACCTGCAGGGGCAGCGTGGCAGGCAGCAACTGTATAGCGTGCCGGTCGACAAAGTCCTGCCCTATAAAGTCCGCATTGCTTCCGGAGTCAATGGTGATTGGCACGTCCATGGTGATGCCATTGGGCAGCTGGAGCGACGCGGTGAGCCTCACTACTGGTTTGGGCGGGAGGGGGTCCATGGGCTGTAAAATCTCTGGGGACTGCTTCACTGACACGTCTGGCTGGGCCCCAGTGCCTCTTTCTCCAGCCAGACTCCGTCGTTTCCCTGCCGTGGTTCTCCTTGCTGCGTTGCTGCAGTTACCATTGCTGAGGCTGCAGTGTGCTTGTGGAGCCTCTGGGGACACTCTTTCGCCATATGCTGTGGATCATCGCAGATGTAACACTTCCTGTTCCCTCTAGGAGGCTTCGCTTTCACTGCTGCCGGTGCTAGGGCTCTGGCTGCTGACTGAGCCCTTGCACCTCCAACCTCCATAGGTTCCGCTCCTCCTCCTGGCGGAGGCGTGGATTGCGCACGCGCTGCTTCTCTGGGAAGGAAGGAGGAGCCCCTGGCTGGTTCGCGCCCTCCACGCCCTTCGTCCCTGCTCCACGGACGTTCTTCCAGCCGCACCCCCACCGCCAGCGCCCTCTGAACGATCTCCTGCGTGGTCCGGGGTCTCTCCCCCCTCGCAATTTCATCTTTAACCGAGCCGTGCAATCCCTCCCAAAACAGGTCTCTTACAGGAGCCGAATCTCTGTCCCATTCCAGAGCACTGACCAAAGCGAAAAGCGGGCATGGTACTGCCTTACGCTGGCCCTCCCTTGCTTCAGTCCATGTATCTGCTGCCGAGCAAGATCCACGTCAATGCTTGATAAAAAGCACCCATCCATCGCTTTAATAAAGGCATCCGCATTTTGGAGCGCCGGATCCTTATCTCTCCACAAATTGCGCAGCCATGCTTTAGCATCTCCATGCAAATGGGACATGATGAATCCCACCTTCTCTTGCTCATCTCTAAAGTCTTTGTTCAGCAGTTGCAGTGCACACATTACATCTGCTCTAAAGTTGGGGTACTGTTGCAAATTCCCATCGAAGTGAGAGACCAGACCGCCTGTTCGTCTCCCCAACCCAATCCCCTCCGGTTTGGGTGTCAGTTGCCCTTGCTTCGTAAGCACTTCCAACCTGACCTGGAGATCCCTGTAGGCGGCAGCTGCGTCCTCCTCTCTCTTCCTGGATGCAAGAGCCTCGGCATTCAGTCGTGACACTGCTTCTCTGAGTTCCGCTATCTGCTGTTCGGCCGTCATATTGTCTGCCGTTCGTGAGCTCGCTAGTAGGCACCCGCTTTCTCTCCTCTCCGCGAGGCCGTAGATGCCCACAATTTAGGAGACGGAGCTTACTGTCAGAGCTGCTTCCAGATCCTAGCTCACAGAGGATCACGCTAGCCAGCGATCATTAAACAAAAGTCTTTATTGAGTTACAGTTTCCATTCTCAAGCTGCTGCGTGCAACTCTACGTCTCATGCTTAGACCGGCGAAGCTCCGTCTGAGTCTCCGCCCCTTGTACACCAACTTAATATCCTAGCCCTGCTCCACCTTTTCCGCCTGACTGTTCTTCTCTGGGTCCCTCTGCCCCCGGGGTCTCTTCCTTCCGGGATTCCTCTGGCGCTGACGCTGACTCCCTGACTCTTCTCCCTCCTTTCGGCGGGCTTTGGGACCTGGCTCCCTTTCCGGGCTGCCTACTGCGCCACCTTCCTGTGCATTTGAACTTGGCGCGCGCGCCCAACCTTCCACCTTCCGTCTGACCGTTTCTTCGCTCCCCGATGGAGGTGTGGCCACTCCTGACTCGTGCCCTCCCCCCTGTTGTGAGTTGCCAGCGCTTGATCCCTGGTGCCCTTCCTCTTCCCTGCTCTCTGGCGGTGACGTTGGTCCCGATTTCCAACTGCTCCCCTCTGAGTCCCCTCTGGCTCTATCTTCCTGGGGTGTCCCCCTTGCCCTGGCCACTGGTGCTCCTTTCTGTGAATCTTCTGATTCACTGGAAAGACTCGGAGATCTCGGGTCGTCGTCATCACTCATCTTTTCTTCTGCCTCCTCCCCCTCGCTCTCTGTTTCCTCCCTTGCCCTTGCCTCTGCTCCTGAACCCCTGACAATAGTCATCTTTCCAAGTAATGTGTACAAAAATACACATACAGCAGCAAAGTGTCCATAAAACTGCATATATCGGTGAGAACATACAAATACATATTATATTATGGGAAATTGTTTTGCAAAAAAAGGTGTAGATTAGGATAAATTTGTATCAAAATGCTGATGAATTTTCATGAGGACCTTTTTTTAAAAAAAAAACTGCAAAATGATGTAGAAAACTAAATTTAAGATTGAAGTAAGAGAAAAAGAAGAGAAACGGAGCAAAACCAAGTTTGACAGATCCACCCATCCCTACCTACACTTGATGCCATGTGATGTCAGGTGTGGGGCAGGTAAAGCTGCAGCTGCAAAGGAACAACCAGGCAGTTGCCAGGGACCAGGTGCATGAAAGCATTCACAAACCAAAATTCATCTTCACTCTCAACCTCTATGACTTCACTAGGCCTACACAAAGTGAGATTCTATTTCATAATCCAATGATAGGATTTACCCTAGTTTAGGGTTGCCATGTTTCAAAAAGGAAAAGCCCAAAATGGTTGGGACATCAATTCTGCCTTTGGAATCCTAGTAATGTCCAGGAAAATCCAGACATATGGCAGCCCTACCCTAGCTGATCCTCCATTAGCAAGCCCAAAAAGGCAGGATTCGGGGATGGAGAACTCCCTCAAACCCTCCAGGTGTCAGAAGCCATCCCAGTTTCTGATTTGATCCCGGAATATCCCACTTTTCCTTAGGATACCCCTATTTTCATTGTAGAAATATTGGAGGGTATGGAGTTATGAAATCCACAAAGCCAAGGAGATAAGTAACTATACAACCTTTAGAAGACATCTGAAGGCAACCCTGTTTAGGGAAGTTTTTAAATGTTGAATGTTTTATTATGTTTTCATATAAGTTGGAAGTTGCCCAGAGTGGCTGGGGCACCCAGTCAGATGGGTGGCATACAAACAATAACTTCTAACAACAACAACAACTTCTTCTTCTTCTTCTTCTTCTTCTTCTTCTTCTTCTTCTTCTTCTTCTTCTTCTCCTCCTCCTCCTCCTCCTCCTCCTCCTCCTCCTCCTCCTCCTCCTTCTTCATCTCCTCCTCCTCCTTCTCCTCCTCCTCCTCCTCCTCCTCCTCCTCCTCCTCCTCCTCCTCCTTCTTCTTCTTCTTCTTCTTCTTCTTCTTCTTCTCCTCCTC